AGCGCCGAAAGGTAAATGACCAAAAGCCATCGAATCGACGAGCGGCGAAAATGATTTTTGTCGTGCCGCCAAAATGGATTAATCGAGGGAGTTTTTATTGATGATCAAAACATCGTTTGGAGGACATTGCCATGTTGAATTAATTGTAAGTTGATTTATGCAACATCTCTGGGTGTTTATGTTCGTTTTGAGGGGTTCTTAATGCCCAGATATTGATAGGGGGAGTGCCCTTACAAGGTATTAACTTGGGTCTGTAATGGCTAGTTGGTATTAGTTTTGATTTATGTCAGAGATCATCATTTATTCTTGATAGACTTTACAAGGAAAAGCAGATTTATCTAGAAAATAAGATAATACTTAAGGGAAATACTATTTATAATAAAATTAAACATGGCCAAAAGATCTTACACAATAATCACTAACTTTACGATTGTAAGCCCAAAAATGTTTAAAGGAATGCTAAAATAACATGCCATAAACTAAAGATTATTCTGGCAAAATAAAACAGGAAATAAACTATCGAAGACTATCCAATTTAAGCTGGCAAGAGATAGCAATTTTCGATTCTTGTTGCAGTTAGTGTTCTCCATTTTCATAACGGCTGCATTGACCCCCAAGGGGATTATTTCGTAATTGTCGAAAATAATCGATAAGTGCTACGTCAGCCCGTTCGGATGTTTGAATTGCTCTGCGAAGCGCATCCGAAGGGTGCTAGAAGCCGCTATTGTTTTTGGCCTTAAGTGGAATTTCGGTTTCTCTTGGCTTTTGCTTTTAGCAGGCCATGTTGACTTATCTAATTTGCATAATTTCGCACGCGAAAAACACTCTGAAATTATATATTTTTCTTGGTGTTTTTTGTTTTTTCGCATGCAAATTGAAAATTGATTTTCGTGTTGCGCAAAATCAAAGGTGTCGAAGGTTATTTGTTGGGAATTGCATTTCGTCTTGTTTGATTGCCACATAAATCATATTTTATGGCCGCAAACATCGAAAACATGCCCAAGTTTATTGAATTTAGCCACATTTTGATTGGCTTAATTGGCTGCAAGTTTTCATTTGCCTCTCCAGGGCCTCTGGGGAATGTGATTGATTTATGAACTGATTGATGTGCTGCCGTTGCATAATTCATACAGCAGCAGCCTCTAATTGAGGCCAATTTGTGGATGTTGTACACAGAGAATATTCCCATGGCTTTCCGTTGACCCTCCACCCACGACGACCCCTTATTAACACCTTGATCTTGCTTCTTTTCCCTCGATATTAGCAAACTATGCCAAATATAAGCCACAAACCAAATATAAAAAAAGAGCTACGCCCACCTCGAATGCCGCGGGCCAAACGTAAACAAAGCGTGCCCAAAAATAGTTCTCTACCCGCGCGATTAGCATCTGGGCAGTCAAACGTGATGAGCCTCCTCTATCGGCGATTTCCCTCTGGCCTCCACACTTTGTGTCCAACTTGCGTGACACTTTTGCCAAGCGGCTGGGATCAACGCATTCTCGCCGAGAACCGGCTAATTGTTCACACCCGCCAGGCCAACTTGGCAGTGGAGCAGAGGAGTAATGGAGCTATGAGCTATGTGCTGCTATGGGGCCACACCCAGCTGAAACTAATCTGTAAACAATTAAGGCGGAGGTTGCCAGTGCACATCTCGCATTAATTTGCAACATGTGTGCCATTCGGCTAATTAAGTTTGCCCACTGATGAATTTCAAAATAATGAGCAAAGGGGTGTAGGAAATTAAACTGATTAACTTTCATTATGTATTCACGAGTATAATATGTTGACAATCTCTTAAAGGGAAAAACACTTCATGGATGTACAACTCGGAAATGATAGCGCTTTAATAAGAAAACCCTTTGATTGCAATTCAAAACAACAAAATAAAGCTTGTGAATAATATTTCAAAAATTACAGCAAATCTTAAAAAATCGCCTTATGTTTTTATTTTTAAAGCATAAAAAACTATCTTGACTTGCGTTTTTCCCGTTTACTGCGACTTGAAATGTAAATCTGAAAGTGTTTCCAATTCGTTTTATTAGTCAGCATTAATTTTTAGTACACCAAATTCGTTGCAGACGTTGAAAGAGCCATAAATTCAATAATTAAATCGGCTGCAGGTCAACCATTAAATGCTCAATGGAAAAGTACGCCCCGAAACAACGGGCAGAAGACCCCGCTGATAAGGCACAAACTGGGGGATCGGTAGTTGGGGCTCGGAGTGGAAGTGGAAATGGAAATGGGGACCCGTGCCTAGGAAGACACATATCACATTTGACTCACTTTCACACAAACAAACGAAAGGCAAAGGCAACAAACAAAGGCAAACAAACAAGAGGCCGGCGAACGTGGAAACTCAGAAACTTGGAAACTCGGCAAATACAGTACAAACACGGCCTGCGAGCACAATGTGAGAAATGTAGGTGAGGGCACAGTAAACATTGCCTCCAACCGATATTTTGGTTGCCGAAGCTTATCTCTTTCTTTTCCTTTTTTTTGTGTGGGCAAACATATACAGCCCGCGTTCAAATAATAGTGGTTACACAAGGTATAAAAAAGGGAAACAAATGTACATGCATGTCTTTGACAAATTTTCCATTTGATCAAGAATAGCCGATACACATTGATCTGGGAACTACATATCTTCAAATCTTAAACCCATATGTGGCTCTAAACTGTTGACCGTAGCTGTAAGCTCTTCGTCAAATGCAATTCAAAGTGATTATGAAGGACCACACTTTTCCATATCTTTTGAGCTTGGTATTTGAGTACCGCTGATATGTAACCCACACACAAGCACACACACAATACACCCACAGCTGTTGTGACGGCGACTGATTAACTAATTGAAAATTTGTTTTCGCCCGTTTACCGCTTCTGTCTTCTCTTTCACTAATGGAAATGGAAAATGGGAAACGAGGAAAAAGACGGTAGCACACACTTATGTATGTACATCGCCGCCCTAACGGTAAAAAACATTTGTAATTGCAATTTGCTGCGGAGAGTCAAGTGTCAGCTGTTTGCCGGGGGCAACTCTTTCACTCACCATCTCCTTTCCCCTCACATTCTCACACGCAATATGGCGTCATGCCTTTGGCATCTCGCTCGCACACACACTGAGAAGAAAAACATGTGTGGTCGAAATAAATGCGACAATTAAAATAAGTGAGGCTTTTGCCTCTGCTTTGGCTTTAGCCACCATTGCGAATTGCTGTAAATTACAGTGTGGATAAAGAGAATTAGAGGGAAGGAATTCTAGGTCAGTGGATGAAATGAGCTCATGTGCCATACAGTGGTCACTCGTTAGGAGGAACTTTGGAGGAGTGGTTAAATATTCAGGGGATTACATTACAGCTGGATTAACAGCTTGGTAACATTAATTTATGGTTTAAATTAACTGATATAACACATTGAAATGTATGATCCCAATAGCAAAGTGGATCCTAAAAGGATAAGGCCATAACTGTATTTACGCGTTAAGTTTATTATCATTTGACTTCCTTTAACTTGAAATGATTTATATAAACGTTTAATATCTACCTACCTCAGAAATGAATCCTCCCCTCGTGATAAAGTTCCCATCTTTCTTATACCATTATTTACCTTCTGTTTAGTTAATCATTGATAATATGATAACGTTGGAATTTTCTTATTTATGATAAGTAAACATAAACAAGCTTGCTTTATTGGCGCCCTGATATGAATATGATATCCGTAATGCCAACTTCAGATACGCCGAAATTCTGAAGGGGAATAATTATTGATCGATTGCCGGAAGACTTGAATGGGTTGCTAAATTTACAAGCCCCTAAAAATAGAAATATATGGCAACCTAATTTCCCAGAAATCCAATGAGAGATTCCAAATTACTCAAAATGATATCATGGTAATTTTGGTAATGCTCTGGTTCTTCAGTAATACATAGTGTTCTGGCCAAGATAAGGATAAGAACTGCACTGAAGCAGTGACGCATAGTAAGCCCACTTAAGTACATTAGCCACTTGACTTTTGGCCAAATCGGAATGCCCACGCTTCTGTTTTAATTTTATTGTTGCTTCCAAACAAACTTTTGGCTTAAGGTCCAGAAAACAGAAAACAGAGGGTGCTAAATTTATCGGTTTAAACGCAGACAGCTGTTGCGATTTGAGTTTTGACTGAGTCATTATAATTCGCAGAATTCCGTCTTGATTTGATTGATTATCTATATAGTAACTTCTCTTTTTTAGCCACCAAGATGCTCTCACATATGCAAATTGGGTTAATAACTTATTTCCATGTTTGTCTTTGGCCTTAGATGACTTTTATTTTCACAGCTCTTGATGCGAAGTGGGATTTTTTATTGATTTTTTTTTATTTGCATGGGGAAAATGCAGTGTGGAGCGGAGGAGGAGAAAGTGGGCAGAGGTGGCCGCCGAAATACGCGTTTTTTTTTCTTAGCGGCTTATTTGTTGTTTGCGGCTCACATATATAGCGTAAGCCCTTGTAAAAGTGTGTGTAAAAGAGAGAGAGAGATGACAAGGATACAACTGAGGTGGAATACAGAGAGCGTTAGAGAGAGAGAGGTGGCGTCCAATTCCTACCCCAATTACGCCCGGTGGCTCCAAAACAGCACACGCATACACATGCAAGATGAAAACACAGCTGCAGCGGCGCTGATTTATTGATTTTTCCCTGGGATGCCACACACATATTCCTACGCTCTTTTATCAATTACATAAAAGTTTACTTATAAAATCTACCCATTAAAATGGAATAGCAAATAAAATTAGCCACAAAGGGATTTAAAAATAGACTTTTTCACGCCTGCCCTTGAGTCTTTTTATCAACCGTTTCTTTTCTACCTGCCTTTTGCACAACACTCACACACATACACACACGCACAGACTTGCAGAGGCGGTTAAAAAGGAGGCGAAAAAGGAAAAGAAGATTCCAAAAACCCACACGAAACAACAAACTCTGCAATTTACAAGTTCGTGTGTGTATACTTGGCTTGTACTTACCTTTTTTTTAGTTAGTTAAGCTGATACAAGCACAGTTCGCAGGAAATCGCAGTGGGAAAATCTTGTTTTCATATTTTTTTGATTAATTCGTTTTATTGCACGACACTTTCATTAACATTTCTTTTGATTTCTTATGGGGCAATTTCGATTTGGACTGGACAGGCTTTTCTGCTTGTTTTATTTTATATATGCCTTATGTTTTTGCTGCTGCTGGCTTGGCAAAAAGGAAACTGGTTTTTCCGCACAACTTCGTTTTTTCGCGTGCGTGTTTCTCTCCTTTTCTGAATTATCCGCTGGCACTTGACCGACGTTTATTACGCCAATTGGCTTTAAGTTTGGGTCGCAATTGGAACAAAACTTTATACTGGCCAATTGTTAGCTATTCGTTGCGTTTCTTTTCGAAAAAAATACGTCGCGACGAAAAAACGCGAACGTTTCTGCAGTTTAAAGGGTTTCAGCAGTGTAACCAAATTTGGATTGAGAAAAATACGATTACTAGTTTTAGAGTGGTCATTGTACACATTTGTGTAAATACCAAATTTACCTACCACAGACTCAAACCATTTCGGATAAGTTGGAGAATTAACTAGGTGGCAACAATAAGGGGATTCTTGAATAAGCCGTTTGAATATTTCAAAAGAGCGCCAACGTGTTATTTTAAAAGAGGATTCGTCCAAAATACTACTAATTTCCTTTCCAATCATAATGAAACACTTGGAGTATTATATACATAAATGGATTTAGAGTACTTTATGACATTTATTTATTCTCATTTTATATTATTAACGAAAAATGTACATAAAAACGTTACTGCCTTGCTTTTCCTTCGCTTTGCCCCCGATAATTATACATAATTTGACTTTTCCTACAGTTTTCCGACTCCGACACACACGTAATTTGATGGGAAGCCTGGCTAAATATCAAAATACTGCTCTTGACTGATTTTGGGTAGTGGTTAATATGGTTCTGGAAAACTCCACTTTCTCTGTACAGGGTAAAATTCTTTTATACATTTCGAGTCCGGAAAGGGTCCTCCCTATATCTGTATTTATGGAATCTGGATCCTGGACCTGGCCTTATTCATTCATCTAACGAATTAGCTATGTATTGTGTTAAGTTTGCTTTAAAAAATTAGCCTTGGCTTATAAATATATTTCTGTGTAGATTTTCCTCAGCTTTTCCGCCAGTTTTAGCCCGCGGTTTATTGTAGAAGCAGCCTGTAGACGGTTCGTGAGACGCAAGAGTGCAGTTGCAGTTCGGTTTTTGCTATTTTGATTTTGGTTTTTCTGTTCAGTTTTTGGTTCGCTTTACAATTAATTTGTCTGACAAATTTACACAAGTGAAATGGAATCAAAGCGAATCAAATTACATATGCGGTGTAAAATTACAAAATATCTTTGCGCAGATTATGTCGTATTAGTGGATATACGATAGGTTGCTCGCTTCGTGGATAGAGCGGGTGATCTATAGATTCTTCGAAGGTACAGTGGAATATTTAACAATCCTTAGTATAGAAAGTCTATTTAACGATATACAGTTCAAAAATGCAATTTAAAGAGTAAAAATATAATCTTAGAAAGAAAACCTACGAACTATAGATTTCACCCCTCCATCCACACACCATACTATACAAGATATATCAATACGACCTGTTAAACTGTCTAATAGGTCGTAATGCCCGGCTACTTAAGATTATTGTACAAGCGACAGAATCAGCAAACTGGATAGACGAAACGAAACCAATCGAATCGGATCCGAACGAAAGACTGAATTTTGTTAACAATAAGTGGGTCATTACCATCCCGATCCCCTGGGTACCCGATCTACTGGTACTCGTCGTCGCTGCTCAACAGCATGGTCTTCTCGTTGTAGTTCTGGCTGATGGTCGCCACCCGCTGACCACCAGGCTGGAACTTCCTCTGGTTGCCCAGTGTCTTCGAGGCCATGCAGTTGCTGCCGCCGTTGCCCCCAGATCCTGGTCCAGTGGCCACCGCATTGTATCCTCCGCTGGTGGGCTGAGAGGCCTGCATGGCTCCTGTTCCAGTTCCCGAGCTCGGATCGTCGGGATCGTAGCTGGAGACGCGAATGCCGCGCGAGTTCTTGCCACCTGTTTGAGTGTTAGTGAAGGGAATGGGCTTAATTGTACCGGGCCACATGAATCGAGAGACTATATCTATTTACAGGGACCTTTAGATCATGCCATGCTGCATAACCTGTACCACGATTAAGTTTCTTCTTAGGGTAAGACCTAATTGAAACATTTGAAAATTAATTTTCTGCGGTTTCAATTATTTAAATCTACGATTTTTCTTAATCGAGGCATAGGTTATATATTTAGATTAAGGCCAATAAACATGCAACGGAGAAAAGGATGCAAGGCAAAAGACTGTCAAGCTTATCGTACATTTATTGCTAGGTATTTAGATATTTTATACAATTGGTTTAAACATTTACAAACAGAAGTAAATAGAAGCACGACGAGAGCTTATCACAAAAAAAGGTTGTCAATAGGGAATCAAAATCAAAAGAAGGAAAAACTTTGTTTTTTGGTATCTTTGAGCGAAACGGAAATACGTAAATAAATGCTGAGGGAAACTAACTTGAAGACTGCTTGAACAAAGTTACAGAACCTAGGTTCAGCAGTGGCCGATTTTGCATATAGTATAATAAAATCTTTGTTTAAAAATACATAATATTTTACAATATTATAGTTCGTTTCGTACATAGCTAACTTTTAAATAAATTGTTTAAAAAACTCTTAAACTTAAGTGTAGAGTGTAAACGTAAGAAATACAGAGGCGCGCGGAAAACAGGAAAACTCTAAGGTCCCTAAACGAAAGGGACAGACTAAGGCAATTTCTGTTCAGCTTTCAGCATTTTACGGAGTGAGTAAGTAAGTAACTAGGCCTAGTAAGTATCTCCTTCTGAGTGTTGTTTCTTTTGGGTTTTTAGGGATACTTAGGGGGTTTAAGCTAAGGCGATAAGTACACTTGTTTGCTTCGTTTTCGGATCGAGTCCCGCTTGGAATTGTGGAATTGTGTTTGCAATTAGTGTTTAGTAGCGAGCATCGCTAGAGTTTTGCTTTTGACATTGATTTAGAGCTTTTCGTAACGCTGAGCCGAGGTTACTTCTGCAAAAGATAAGAAAAACAAGAAAGAAAAACAAAAATGAAAAACATAACGATAATGGAATGATAATAGGCATCGAAATGCATTAAATGAGAGCAACAGAACACAAGAGATAAGATAGGTTTAGCAGGCACGAAATGAACGAAACATGCCACAGACACGACCATAAAGAGATAGACAAAATATTGGAGAGAGTGGATAAAAAACCAACCTGAGCTGTACTGAGTGTACTGCTGGTACTGTGGATGGAAGTTGTGTATAGCATCTGTCATAATATCCTTGGGATTCATCGTTTCCTGTGAAAAGGAAAGCCTTTAGATCACCTGGTACTGAAAGAAAAGGCTGAGCTCACCTTAAGACTGCTGGAAATGGACTGCATTGTGACAGATCGTCCGTGTCCATCGCTGATGCAGCTGCGAGCGTAGACCTGCAGAAAAAACATTATTATTGCTCTCAACGTCACTTTAGCTTTAGGTATCTATAGTTTTTGGCCAACTCATCATTACATGAATACCTTTAGCTTTTTACCGCCTAATAAAAACTCAAAATAACCCAGAAAAGCACTTATTCCACCACTATCTAATCACCAAAAACCGTAAATAGCTCCGTCGAATCTTGGCCCTCTACGACATTCCGGAACATACCTGATAGGGGAATGCATAGCGAAGTGCTATGGCTGCGAACAGCATTTCGATGCAGATGAAGAAGTTCTGATATCCGGCAGAAACGGTACCAGGTTCCACAGTGACAGTGCCAGCACTGTCTACAATGGGAGAGATAACGTTGGCCTTCTCCAGGATGGCCAGACCAACTCCCTGCCAGAAGGACAAGAAGATGACCGACTTGATGGTGCAGAACTTCAAAACGGGCTCGAAGGGAGTCAGCAGATCACGAGTGGCAAAGTAGAACAGATAGAGGCCATATAACGCGAGCGACACAGAGATGTTGTAGATAATCGTGATATAAATGTAACCGCCATCAGCACTGCAATTGAGATAAGAAAAGATATCAGTGGGATTATCAAAGTAATAAGTAAGGGTAACATAACTTAATGAACATTTTCTTATGTGACGAAGATGTATTTCTTCGAGTGCTACTTATTCACCAACCGATTGGCTAAGTTCAAAGCTTTGCCAACGCGGTGTCTACAATTTATGGCTCACGCTCGCAAGCAAACTTCACTATTGCGATTTTTATGCCACTATTTAAGATGCAATAGCCCTGGTCGCTAAAGATAAAGCCATTACCTCCAATCGCCATCGTGGTAGTGGCCAAAGGCCTGCAAAAAGATAATGATGAAGGCAACCAGCGGCTTGACCAGGCAGAACTGCAGAGTGGCCTGCTTGCAGAAGCGCAGGAAGCCAATCGTGTAGGTCTTGCCCTTCAGACAGCATGTGCCGTAGAGACACGAGGTCTTGATGGGCTTGCCGCGAATCTCCGACATTATATTACCCTCGCCGCCTAGGTACTCATAGCACAGCGACAAGAAGTTGTAGATGACAAAGGCTAGGTAAGAAGGGAATTAACTATTAGTTGATAGCCACTAAACGACCCACATTAGGTAGACAAACCTTCGTAGCAGTCCCGAACTGTAAAGAAGTAGATGTACACATTGTCTGAGTTGAAGAAGAGCAGACTAATCCAGGAGTAGGTGGCGTAAATGGGCACAATGAACAGAATGCGTACGATCCAGCGCTGCTCCTGTGGATTTGTGTACCAGCGCAGATGCTGGTAAATCTGTGAATAAAGAGCCGGGCTTTTATTAGTAAACAAGTCAGGTACATCATGACATCGCTTACCTGTTGACAGGTGATAAATAAGGCGGCCCAGACACAAACACCAGCTAGGACCTGGGCGGTCTTTGTCTGTAGGAAGATGCCATCGCCCACGTGGAGCAGAGGTTCCAGCGGCGTGCTCATCGGAGTGTTCTTCACCTGCACCACGTAGTTGGGCTTTCCGGTAGCCTCAATCGATCCCGATGTTGTAGCTGTGGCGTTTCCACTGCTGGCATTTAGAGCCGCCTCGATGAGACTGGCGGCGGTTGTGCTCATGCTGCAATGGAATCCAAAGTGAGGGAAGACGGATTAGAGTGGGTGTAACTGGGTTTGGCCCTGGAATTATGATAGTGCCTGTTGAAATGCTCAGAGCAGACAGTTAGGCAGGCAAGCTGTTTACGTTCTCTTCTCGACTTTCACACGAACATTGCTCCGAAAACGACATTCTACTCAGAGACACGAAAACAATTTCCAACATGACTGTGTTGACTATTTAGCTATATTGTAGTTAGTTCTGAATTACTTAAGATGATAAATCACAATTATTGCTGTTTAATTATAAATAAATTGTTGATATAACATTATATACTTTCGAGTTGCATTGCAATCGAGCTGTTCGCTTTTATATAAACGTCAAACACGTTCGTAAAAAACATTTGAATCACTCATGTGCAGAGCTTGAATAATAGTGCATGAATAATCATAATTCACAATCATATAACATAATTTCTTTACAGCATAAAAACATTTTTCAATATTAACATGTTTTATTTAATAAAAGTTTATGATATATATACACATAAAAATCTGTGATATGGTGCTCCAATATTTCTGACAACACTGCAACAATGTTTGGACGAATTGGGTCAGCAGAGAAACAAACTAGAGAATGTGGAGCGGCAGCAACAAAATAACAAAAACAAACAAAAGAGTAGGCGGTGGGTGGTGGAAGGAGGTAGTGGGATTTAGGAGCGGAGGGACAGAGGCGCGCGCATTAGATCATCACGCAATCCAATATTAATAATGGACTCTGGCGCAGCTAAGGAAAGTTATGGCCACCTCCACACCACCTTCCACCTTGTCTCAGGGTCACTTCCAACTGCTCCATATCGATTTCACCCAAGTATTAAGCAAGCAGAATAAAGTACATATTTGTTATATTTTCAGACAGGGCCCGTTCTATTAGGTGCATCTGGTCGGTCACAGAGCGAGTCCATTCGCTTGAAATCACTTTAAAAATAATCTAGCAACGGGGAGCTTTCGGAGGAGATAAAGACAGCAGCAGCGATGCTAATTAAGCGTACAAAAATAACCGAAAGTGCATCGGAATCGCTTATGTACAAAGTAAACGACCTAAAAGATCTGGTCGTACGGAAACATATGCCAGCGCAAATGATGTTGAAAACACAATAACTTCTAGGGAATAAACATAACATATATTAATGAGGCGTAGAATTTTAAATACTTTACTTTGCAAATATCTGTGGAGGAAATAATAAATAATAATATTCCTACCTAGAACCAGTATCAGAAGTATGACAGAAAGACAACACAGTATTTTGGGAGTGCTACAACCAAGAACTCCCATTAGTAAAGTCCAATCAAATAATCAGATAACGTCTCGTAACTGACTCATAACCAAAAGGGTGAAAAATTAAAGGAATCCATTAAAAATACAAATACCGAAAGAAATTCGTAAGAAAGTGTTTTTAATATGATCTTGTATATAAAGAAGCCATGTTTAAAAACGGAGGAAATTCTAATGTTTCATATGATTAAAATACAACACATACATACATATATATTTAATGTATTTCGACGAAATGACTGGGATTTTTCTATTGCCTCATTAAAAAAACAAACGATAACGAACAATCAGCAAAACTCTTTCAATATGGATCCAGATATAGTAAGTACATTATAATAACTCCAGATTCAGATTAAATGGGCAAAGCGATAACACAATTTTAGGGAGCTCAAGGTCTTGAAAGATCCATTACTATGGTCTTATTTTAAATATATATTAAGAGAGCAACAAGGGTTTCGCATTAGGGAAATGAAAATCACGGCGGAGATAACGAATGAGTCACGAACTCGTGCAAAAGTTAATAATACTTGTATTGTTGAACCGAAAGTCTGTGAGCAAAACGCAAAAGCGTTAAATGTTAAACGGTTGAATTTGCTTACGAATCTGCGACACTGAAACCCAGAAATAAATGGCCAACAGAAGAAGAAGAATATATGGCTAAAACGAAACACAATCAGCTGCACAAAGAGGAAGCAACAACAAGTTGCTGCTGGCGGAGATACACAGAAATTGGCCAAGCAAAAGTCTCCACTCGAAGAAGAGTCTCCAAAAGTGGCGAAAGACGAGTAAAAGCCATATTGCGATGAGTGGAAAGGGTGGCGGGGAAGTTGCTAATTATGGAGGGAGTGGGTGGTCAGAAAAACTTTTGTGTGGCTTCAGCGGGTTAATTCAATATTGAGCAAAAACAACAAAAAATACGGAATGTAAATAAACCATATGCCAAGACGACCTTTTGGAGAGTGAAGAAAGAAGAGGATTGAAAGCTTATCACTTGCCCTCTTTCACTTACACACTGTCACACCTTGCTTATCAATGCAAAAAATACATAAATGGGGATGTTATTAAAAACACACAACACACACGCACATAAAACACGCTCAATAATTTCGTCATCGAATCGGGTTATTCACAACTCGCCATTTCAGGGAAAACAACTTTTACACACACTCGAACACACACAAACCAAACTATTCCTTTTTAATTGGCACGCTAATTACCTTTTTTCAAATGCAACTCTCCACGCTTTTAAGCGTTTTCACAGTTGCAAATTCCGTTTAATTTCGCTGCACCCGTTCAATTTCAATTTTCAATTTCCAATTATCAGTTTTTCTTTCGTTTGCGTTTTTTTCACCTGACGCCAGTCGCGTCGTCTACTGACGTCGTCGTCGCTTCTTTCGAGGCTAAAAGAACGGCCAAATTTGGAGATTTATGCCCGCCAACGAACACCAATATGTTTGCCGATGTTTGTACCAATTCCTGGGATTTTTTCGCGGATCGTGGGTGTGAAAACAGCGAAGAAAGCGGAGCAAAATAAATGGAAATTACGCACGATTCGGGTCCGTGTGACCAAACGGCAACACAGGTTATTAGAAATATGCACCAGCGCGGTCACACTTATTTTTAACAGACATTTTAACATACACGGGAATCTGCATACCAATACACAAGAAATACCGAACCATATGTTTTAAGGTATGTGCAGGGCAGTCCTGCGTCGAATGGTATTTTTTAGTAGTCGTTTACTTAAAACCAAATGTGTTCGCTCTGCCCCGTATTCAAATGTAACAACCTTACTTTAAAAGACTCCTACTTTTTAGAAAATTATTACAGCCTATGCAACCTATTGCATTGCGTAGCATAAGTTTTTGCTCATATTAATAATGTACATGTAATATCCTTTTTCTAAAGTGTGTGCTGTTCCTTCCATTATTGTCCATATGTTGCAATTTAAATTAAATTTCTAATAAAAAAAAAGGTCACAAATAATAAAGCCCCTAATATTTTCCATACAGTCTGACCAGTGTTCTCGAAACGGTGGTGTTTTAAAACTATTGTCCTACAGCAACACTGATCAAGCTCGCCTTGTTGTTTTTTGTCACCGTCACCAACACACGCGCGGAAACTATTGCTCAGCATTTCAATTTTTGTTTCTGCCAGGGAAATTACAATTTTCAGCCCGATCAACTGCAGGCATTATCAAAATAAATATATATAAATTGAGCCCAAACGAATCCATCTGTCTTTCTGCACTTTTTGTTGGATTTTTGGCATTGGTGGTCCAGAATAAGTTGCGTTTTGTTTCCGTGGTGAGTAAAAGTTCATTGAATAAAAAAATGAATTAAAGCTGGCTGGAAAAATATTTTCAGGATGCAGCGAAGGACTAATTTGGATAATAGAAAAAGAAAAAAGTGCATCTGTCTACCTAGAATTTATGTTTGTACTTTATAAAGCTGGATTTAGAATTTTGTAACTTGCTAAATAAAGAAACAAAAAACATGTAAACAACATGGGAAGCCATCACATCACTTAGGTAAACAAACACTTTTTGTTGAAAATAGCCTTGGCAACATCTTAATTTATTTTCATAACGTTTACCATTAAATAATCTTAATTACTGTTTAATCGAGAATAACGTATCACTGTCAAATATAAGTATAGTATTATAAGACGAATCAAATTGTGATCAATATTAAAATATTAGTTTGTCAAAAAAGTCTTGCGGTATTTTCGCTAGTTGAAAGGTGAAAGCGCGTAGTTCTTGTTTTATTCGTCGCATCAGGTCATACTATACCTTTTTGGAAAGCTCTTTTCACGCGCTAACACGTGTTTGATTGATTGTCTTTTCTTTAAAGTCGTTCGTGAGTTATAGCGTCGCAATCATGGAGCAAAATAAAGAGAAAATACGGCATATTTTACAGTACTACTACGATCAAGGCATAAATGCATCTCAAGCCGCCAATAAAATTTGTTCAGTTTATGGACCCGATACAGTTTCCATTTCCACCGCACAACGATGGTATCAACGTTTTCGTTCTGGTGTAGAGGAGGTCGAAGATGCGCCACGCTCCGGAAGGCCTGTCGCCGAAAATTGCGATAAAATCGCTGAATTGGTCGAAAGAGACCGGCATAGTAGCAGCCGTAGCATCGGTCAAGAGCTGGGCATGAGTCATCAAACCGTTATAAACCATTTGAAGAAGCTTGGAGTCAGTAAGAAGCTCGATGTATGGGTGCCACACGAATTGACGCAAAAAAACATCTTTGACCGTATCGACGCATGCGAATCGCTTCTAAATCGCAACAAAATTGACCCGTTTTTGAAGAGTATGGTGACTGGCGATGAAATGTGGGTCACTTACGATAACGTAACGCGCAAACGGTCGCGGTCGAAAAGCGGTGAAGCGGCCCAGACGGTGGCCAGGAAGGTTCTTCTGTGTGTTTGGTGGGATTGGCAGGGAATAATCCACTATGAGCTGCTCCCCTATGGTCAAACGCTCAATTCGGACCTCTACTGCCAACAACTGGACCGCTTGAAGACAGCACTCATGCAGAAGAGGCCATCTTTGATCAACAGAGGCCGAATTTTCTTCCACCAGGACAACGCCAGGCCACACACATCTTTAGTGACGCGCCAGAAGCTCCGGGAGCTCGGATGGGAGGTTCTTTTGCATCCACCGTATAGTCCGGATCTCGCACCAAGTGATTACCACCTGTTTCTGTCCATGGCGAACGCGCTTGGTAGTCTGAAGTTGGCCACAAGAGAGTCCTGTGAAAAGTGGCTCTCCGAGTTTTTTGCCAATAAGGAAGCGAGCTTTTATGAGAGGGGCATTATGAAGTTGGCCTCTCGTTGGGAACGGGTCATCGAACAAAACGGCGCATATTTGACTTGAATCGCATTAGTATGTACTTTATAAAGCTAGATTTAGATTTTGTAACCTTGCTAAATAACGAAACAAAAACATATAAACAACATGGGAAGCCATAGAAGCCATAACATCACTTAGGGAAACAAACACTGATGAAAATTGCCTTGGCAACACCTTAATTTATTTTTATAACGTTTACCATTAAATAATCTTAATTACTGTTTGATCGAGAATAACGTATCACTATCAAATATAAGTATAGTATTATACACGAATATATAGACGAATCTAATTGTGTTCAATTTTAAAATATATTCTTACAACTATAAATGGTGTGACCACGATGATGATGTATGGGAGGCACTATCGAGTTGACGGAAGAGTTATTAGGAGGCTGCTGTTGAACCGGAGGCTGCACCGTATTCGGCGGAATCTGGGTCTTCTTCGTGAACACCGGAGCCAATTCCTGGGATTTTTTCGCGGATCGTGGGTGTGAAAACAGCGAAGGAAAGCGGAGCAATATAAATGGTAATTACGCGCGATTCGGGTCCGTGTGACCAAACGGCAACACAGGTTATTAGAAATATGCACCAGCGCGGTCACACTTATTTTTAACAGACATTTTAACATACACGGGAATCTGCATACCAATACACAAGAAATACCGAACCATATGTTTTAAGGTATGTGCAGGGCAGTCCTGCGTCGAATGGTATTTTTTAGTAGTCGTTTACTTAAAACCAAATGTGTTCGCTCTGCCCCGTATTCAAATGTAACAACCTTACTTTAAAAGACTCCTACTTTTTAGAAAATTATTACAGCCTATGCAACCTATTGCATTGCGTAGCATAAGTTTTTGCTCATATTAATAATGTACATGTAATATCCTTTTTCTAAAGTGTGTGCTGTTCCTTCCATTATTGTCCATATGTTGCAATTTAAATTAAATTTCTAATAAAAAAAAGGTCACAAATAATAAAGCCCCTAATATTTTCCATACAGTCTGACCAGTGTTCTCGAAACGGTGGTGTTTTAAAACTATTGTCCCACAGCAACACTGATCAAGTTCGCCATGTTGTTTTTTGTCACCGTCACCAACACACGCGCAGAAACTATTGCTCAGCATTTCAATTTTTGTTTCTGCCAGGGAAATTACAATTTTCAGCCCGATCAACTGCAGGCATTATCAAAATAAATATATATAAATTGAGCCCAAACGAATCCATCTGTCTTTCTGCACTTTTTGTTGGATTTTTGGCATTGGTGGTCCAGAATAAGTTGCGTTTTGTATGGTTTCCGTGGTGAGTAAAAGTTCATTGAATAAAAAAAATCAAGTACTCGTACCTAGAACTGCGACGCAACACCCTTCCGCTTCTCCTCTTCGTACGTTTCGCTTCTTCTTGTGGAGATGCTGCACAACAAAAACTGCGAAGTAGCAAAACAACAACACAGCATGGGAGAAAAAGAGGAAAAACAGTGAAATTTAGTTGAAACATTTAGTAAGAAGTGTGTGAAATAGTATTGATTTGTGGCTGGTACTTAGCAGATTCCTCTTTCTGCTCTGCTTCGCTGAATTCGATGTGGTTTTTTAATTTTCATATTTGTAGTCCGAAGTACAGTTAAGTATTGCACAAGCAGACTCGTTCCATATTCCTTTTTAAGATTAGAGGGGAAAATGTAGTAGATTAATGTGAACTAGACCATAAATCAGACCAAATTTCGGCAGTGTTACCTAGGTGAACAGCGGCGTGCAAAATAATAGTGTTACATGGCAGCATTATAAAAGTGTATCTATAGAACAAGACTTCAATGAAAAATATTTGCAGGCTGCAGCTGAAGGACTAATTTTGATAATAGAAAAAGAAGAAAGGGGATCTATCTACCTAGAATTTATGTATGTACCCTATAAAGCTGGCTGGAAAAATATTTTTAGGATGCAGCGGAAGGACTAATTTGGATAATAGAAAAAGAAGAAAGGGCATATGTCTACCTAGGATTTTTTTACTTTATAAAGCTAGATTTAGATTTTGTAACCTTGCTAAATAACGAAACAAAAAACATGTAAACAACATGGGAAGCCATGGAAGCCATAACGTCACTTAGGGAAACAAACACTTTTTGCCTTAGCAACATCTTAATTTATTTTCATAACGTTTACCATTAAATAATCTTAATTACTGTTTGATCGAGAATAACGTATCACTGTCAAATATAAGTATAGTATTATAAGACGAATCAAATTTTGTTCAATTTTAAAATATAATATTATAAGACGAATCAAATTGTGTTCAATTTTAAAATATATTCTTACAACTATAAATGGTATGACCAAGATGATGATGTCCTATATGCATATATGATTTAAATTTAAGATTTTGAATTCTGTTACTTTAAACTGCCACATTTTGATTTAATCTTCTAAGAACTATAACTTTGACACCTATTAGTGTTCTCAATACTTTAGACCACGCGATCGCAGCGTGTTGGGACGGTTTTGGCCTCCGGCAAAGTTGCCGGTACGGTAGTTCGGGATTTGCGGTTGATTTCCCACGACGCCGGACTGTCCGGGAATCGGAACGGGACCTCCCGGAGCGCTGCTGGGCGATCGATTAATGCCCAGACCGTTGTTTCGCAGTCTGGGCGCCACGTAGGGACGCTGGCTGGTGGATATCCCGCTCGATCCCAGAGGCGGCAGGATACCTCCGCTTGGAGGAGGAGGAGTTATCACCTGAGGTTGCTGTGGAATATTCGTGTTGCCCTGCGGTTGTTGTTGTTGTATGGGAGGCACTATCGAGTTGACGGAAGTGTAATTAGGAGGCTGCTGTTGAACCGGAGGCTGCACCGTATTCGGCGGAATCTGCGTCTTCTTCGTGAGCGCCGGAGCCAAGTACGGGTGATTGCCTCCGCCAGTGCCACTGCTGTTGCTCTGGGGTATATCATATGTACGGCCCGAGGGCGTGGTCACCTGGATACTATTTCCAGGCGGTACGCCGCAGGGTTTGGAGTAGTCATAGCCATTGGGCACCGCCTGGACATAGTTGTCGAAGTACTGGCTCACCTGGTGCATAGGCGTGGAGTAATTGACCGCGATTAGGGACTCCTTGGTGCGAATTCCCGATCGGGCCTGAGCCGCCTGGAGGCGCAAGATATTGGCCTGCTTGATGTGCGGCAACAGTTCGGCATCGCCCTTGATCTTCTCGACGACAGCCTCGTCGCTATCGATGTTGCCGTTGGGGCTAATCCCTTCTTCGCTCTGCTCACTGGCAGCCGCCTTCTTGGTGGTAGTCTCTTCCGCCGGCTTTACTACCTCCTTTGGAATTTTCTCCCCCTGGTTGGGCACGGCCTCTGGTTTCTTCTCACCCTCTTGCTTTTTTCGATTTACAAACTCAAATAGGTCGTCTATGTCGGGCACATCGGGCAGTGATCCGTAGGAGTCAAAGTTATCCCGGAATGCAGTCGCCCATTCCTCGCTCTTGTGCAGAGTTGGATCGATGGCCAGTTTCGGTTGCTGCTTGTGGCCGCCGACGACGGGAGACCCCAAAGCCGCAGCTTCTTCGGGTGCAGAAATGCCTCCTACATTCTTGATCACCGTAATGGTCTTCACGCGAGTTCCCTCCTTGGAGTCGATGTTGGTGGCAGCGTAGCTCAGGCTGAGATCCCTCTTGGCCGGCTGCGGCACGATTACTTCAGCGGGCTTCTCCGGGTACTTGATGCTGATTATCGTGGTCCCATGTACACCGACCAAAAGAAGGAGGCCTAAAGCGGCCATTATTTGAAAGCGAGGTATCTGCGGAATATTCGCTTTTCAGTATATACTCTCAAGTGACTAATTCAGTTAAATCAATTGATATTGACACTTCATTCTGGATTGAAGATTAGTATGGGGAACATAAAGGTTATAAACGAAACTCACAGTGTATAACTAGAAGTTACATTTATCATATTATTAAATAATTATGATAATGCCATAGTTCTGTATAAACGTATTTTTTTTTTTAATAAGGCTTCTAGAATAGTTTAACTTGTCGGTTATATTAACACTTAAACGGATTTTCAAATGATGATATACAACAACTTATATGATATTCTAATAGTCTAACATTTAATTGAATCGATCTTGATATTGGTAAGACTATCAAGCGATTCTAAAATTGTTTAAAGAAAAACAAGGATTTAATGAACATAGTTGGAATGTCAAAGTCAGCGGTAATAGAGATCAACTGGATGGCATGCGTGTAACATTGTGGATAAGTAATAGTTGAATTTTGATTGGTTGAAGTGAAGGTCCGATAGGAAATCCTACAGTAAGTTGCTCATGTAAAACAAATATACGTTTATAAAAACCAGATATGATCAATAAGTTAATCCGAGGATAGCCTCGAAATCACAGCAGGATCGAGCATCATTTAAAAATTATGGCACACTTTTAAGGGTGATCCTAGGCAAATCGAACACTCACAGTCGAATTTCTCATTGCTTTAATCCGTCGCACATGCGATCGATCAATCAATTGATCCGATCGTTTAACGATGCCGATACTACGATGACGTGATGAATGCGATAATTGCGATGAGGATTGATGACGACCGGCAGCGGCGGAGACGGTAACGCGGTCAATACGATTTTCCTACTGCCGGTCCGAGATGCCAACAATGCTTTTTATATAGCCAGGCGGAAGGAGTTTCGGTTTGGGTTTCCTGTAGCTCCCCGGCTCTGGATATCTAATGTCTTTGACACCGAGACACAAACAAACCGACAGCAAGCCAATCGCATTAGCTCAAAGCACAAAACTAGCAGCGCCGATTGAATTAAAGCTGCATAATCGCTTTCCCATTACGTCCAAAACGATCAACGGGTTTTCTCCAGCCACTTCTGTTTTGGGAAAGCAGTTGCCGATCCTCCAGCCCGAAGCCCCCGATCAGTCGATTCCTCATCCTCCAGTGGACACAGAGCAGTCTAAGCGACACATAATTGAGTGCGACTAATGAGGAAATTGAGGCGAACTAATGATCGTGGAGCATGAGACATTTCCAGTGGGTGGCTTCTACCCCTACACCTTAAGTAGGGATAATTGGCTTTTCTTTTGAATATCTCAGTCTTTGGTAGATCATGTGCGAAGGTCACCAGCTGTCCCGGTAAGTGAGTCCTCAAAAAGACCTTAATTTTGTTTAAAAGCTAAGGAGAGCTCCCAGCTTGTTACAAACTGGTCGTCTTACGCAATACCGAAACGCACGATCGTCTTGGTCAGACCCAGAGATTGTCATGAGAAACTGCTACGCGAATCCATGAAGTGGAGTGCCTAATGTGTGTGCAATCGAGCGATCAACTCGAGATAAAATCAGGAGCAGAGCGGCGCCCAGCTTTTCCCTCAAGAAAGTTGTCTCTAATAAATAGGTGATATCGGAAACACATATTTTAGACTTTACGAATGCGTGTGATGATGTCTGATAAGCGATCTGAAGCCGCCGGCATCCAAGGACAGACTTCAAATATTTCGTTTAGTGTCACATCTAAAGTTAATCCGCCGGGTTTGGGAGAGAGTGAGGGATTAATATTATTTCAATTTATTAGCCTAATAAAATCATGAATTTAATATCGTAATACCATATAACATGATTGGTAGTTGACACTAAGTGTTTAAAGTTAAAAGATTAGCTTGTGTCTTAAAGTGCAAACAGATGGGTAGCACCTGTAGGGTTAATTCAATGGATTCATTTATTGATTGGCAATTTAAATTAATTTTAGAATAATGGTTTAAAACATAGATATTCAAAGACATTGTACCTCTCTAATCCCTAATTAAATGAAGTATGATGACTAATATTTTAAGACACTTGATTTTGTTGGCAATTTTTCCATAAGTATGCGATTATCGTTACAGATTCGGAAGTCTACTGGAAACTAGGTCATCTGTAATGAATGCCGATAGACATCTGATATCGAACTGAAGGATCTTTTATTTGTCTATGGAAGCAGAGCACCAGTGAAGAATCTCGGAAAGCCAGAGTGTTAACCCTCTGTCTGTACTGAAAAGAAAATAAATAACTAATCAAATCAATTGATTGATCAAGATGAGTGTGATTATTCGGTTACAAAATCTGCCGTGGACGGCCAATGCACGCGACATTCGAAACTTCTTCTCGGGCCTCTCGATTCCCGAGGGCGGTGTCCACATTATCGGCGGCGAGATGGGCGACGCTTTCATCGCTTTCAGGTAGTTAGCCACAATCTGATCTTTAAGTAAACCTATAGCAATCTCGGAGCTCCAGCGTGTCTGGACTTGGGTTAGGGCCTGAGCCTTTCCTGAGTCGTTGTCGGGCTCTTTCCAAGCATGTATCGATAGCATCAGTCAAAATAATAGCACTAAGAACTTACAAAAGCCAACATCTTGCATCTTCATTCAAGCCAAGTAAGTTTGTTTGGAAACAGTTTCATGGACTAAGGCAAAAGGTAATATCAATTTCTAATAATTTGCCTTCGTATGTATCATATCAAGACTTCTGTCGAGAAATTTCGTTTATTGGACTTACGTTACTAAAGAACTATAAGAACATAAACTATTGAAAGGATAGGACATCAATGTGGTTCTCGAATAAGAATTGTAAAAAGGTATGATACAAGATGGTACAAGAGAAACCCTGTCAATGGTGTATATAAATATTTGACTGAATAAAAAGCAGTCAAAAAACTGAAAAATATAAACCATTCGGATGGGAGCGAAGTAAGTACAAAAGGACATTTTCGGCCACCTGCTTAGCCTTACGTACTGCCACTACTCAGACGAAAAAGAATTCGAGTTGTCGATAAATCTTGTTAGAAAATGGATATTCCCATAGCAAGTGCATTCGAGTTAGAATATCATTACCGTGCTATATCTATTTCCAACGGAACTAGTTGAGTACGAGCTAAGATTTCTAATTATAGGTGATTGTATCATCGTTAAGAACTTTGTTGTAAAGCCATCAAGACTACATTAAGATGGTAGAAAACTCAGCGAAATCTTATACGAATATAATTAATTTTATATACATAGATATTATGAAAGTCATATAAATGTCTCTGAATGTTGTCTTATCTAACGTTTTGCTTCATTTAAAGAAGAATGGAAGCACGATCTTCTACAATAGCAATATTAAGAAGATTTGTAGAGCTTACAATTGCTTTGATTAGGTTCTTAGGATAATCAACGTTGGAATGTTAAATTCTTGTAGATATGTATCTGAGCCAAATTTGAGCAAAAATATTTACATCGGTTATTTTGAAAACATTTTGATGGTGCTATTATTTTGACTGCATAAAATGTACTGGCTGACGACTAACGGGGAAAACTAACCGGGAAAAAGCTTCCGAATCCCAAAAAATTGCTTCAAATATCCCCTAATTTCGAAACTCCCCTGATTTTTTGCCTTTTTTCTCTCCTTATCTTCATAAAAATTTAATAGCACTGACGAGGATGCCCGCTGCGCAATGCTGAAGGATCGCGAGAAGCTGATGGAGGTCCAGGTGCGCCTTCTGCTCTCCTCGCGGGCCGAGATGCAGAAGGTTATAGAGACCGCCCGGAAAGGCGCCTCCGCTCCAATAGCCGTTTCAGTCCCCATGCCTGTTGTGGCTCCCATTGCGGTGACAAAGCCGAGTCCAGCTCCTCCAATGCCACCGATTATTGGGGGTTTGAACAGCTTCTTGGCTCAAAGCAAAGTTTCCCCGACAGGTGGGGTTCCCTCTTTTCTGGCCTACCAGCAACAGGCCGGAATCACGCTTTCCGATGTGACAGGTCGCAGTCGCAGCCGCTCCTCCAGTTCTGATGATAGCGATAGGGAGCGGGAGAGGGAACGCGAACGTGAACGAGGCCGCAAACGTCGTTCTGATCGGAAGAACAATAGTCCGGAAAGGGAAACGAAGATAGTTGCTAGTGGAGGTGCGGTGCCATCTCCCTGGGCTCAGCCACCACAAAATCAGTTGAGCTTGGGTCTCAACATGGGCTTGAGTCTGAATGTTCCATCGGTGCTACCTTCACTTCAAAGCTATTCCACAAGTAGCACTACAAACAACGTGACCAACAACTACAATCTCGCTCCGAGTAATCCCAATGCTCAGCTGCTAGCTGCATTGCAGCAAGTGGCTACCGGTGGTGGGGCTCAAGTGCAGCCTGCCAAGACCGAAGGCGAGGCCATTGCCTTTGCCAGCGTAAATCCCTATGCACAGATGTATCCTCAGCTTTTCCAGCAACAGCAGATGCTACTGCAGCAACAACAGACTTCCAAAGCGTCGCCTTCCATTGGCAGCTCTCCAGGAGGGCGCAACTCGCCCACTGTGATAGCAGACACTTGCTACATTCGAATTAGTGGCATGTGCCAAAGTACCTCATACAGCGACATCCGAAAGTACTTCCAGGGTTTGTACATTCCGCACAATGGCATTAAAATCATGATGGTAAATGGCACACGCACTGGAGTAGCGTATGTGGAGTTCTCCCGGGTGTCCAGTGCCCAGAAAGCTGTGCAGCGGAACAACACAATGTTGCGTGATCGCTTGATTCAAATTACTCCTGTGAACGATGATGAATTCGCTCGTGCAGAGGAACGTGCTAATCGCCAACAAAACGAGGTGACCAGGGGTAGTAGTAATCACAACGGTGGAGAGCGGAACGATGGAGGAGAGATTACTATGCCCACGCCCACACCGATTACCAATGTCCTCTATGTAGAGGATCTGCCAGAACTCACCACCGAGCAGGAGATCATGAAGATGTTCTCAGCCAGCTACACCGTTGTGGACATCCTTATAAGCCCCAGTCCCAACAATCGACGCGAGTGTGTGGCCTTTGTTCTTTTTGCCAGGGAAGCTGAGGCTGAGTCAGCTCTGCAGGATACAGCCAAGCACTTTATAGGGTTCCGGCAGTTAAGGGTAAGACCCAGCAGTCAGGCGGAGATGCAGAATGCCAAGGAGAAGCAGCGCAGAGCCAATGAGCAGCTGCTCAAGGAGGAAGCAGATCAGAGAGATGAACTCCTAAAGGATCAGCAAAGAAGGCAGAAACTGCAGCAACAGGAGCAGGAGAACAATCAGAACAACAGGTTCGCTGGTGATCCCAGAAGGCGCCAGGTTGAGGAGCATCAGCAGCAGCAACAACAGCAACAGCAATATCAGCAAGAGATGAATATGGTCTCGAATATAAATCACAACATGAATCCAAACATGATGTCTCAGTTTGATAATGCTTTTAACATGCCACCTCAGCAGCAAAACGGAGGAATCAACTTCCCTTTCAATATGAATGACAACTGCAACATGAATAACAACGGAAATCTCAATGGCAATGGACCGAACTTCCAAAATAATAATGGAGGCGGAGGAGGCCTCCAGCGTCCCAGGCAAGAGGATGTCTTTGTGCGTGTTCACAACTGCGAGTATGCCACCAGGGTCAATGATCTGGGTGAACTCTTCTCTCTCGAACAATTACGTATTGAGCACATCGAACAACTTTTTAATGATCGAAACCAGAGTTCCGGCGAGTTTATTGTCGAGTTCTCTGATCCTATTAGTTGCAAACACGCTATCAGGGAGTTCCACAATCGACGCTTTCGAGGAAGGGGGTTGCGAGTGGTTGCAATAACACCGCAGGAAATTGCTGATAAGATGAAAAAGCCTTTCATGGATTACTTTCCTGGAGGTAACGGCCCAAGGAAAACGGAAAGTAGCAATACGAGTGAAGGCGGTAGTGGAAATGGAGGTAGCGGAAGATCTGAAGGAGGTCAGGGATCACAGTCATCACGGCGTCGCGGACCGAGTCGCTTCGATCAGCCGCAGGATCAGAAACCAGAACAGTTGGACCGACAGGTATCCCTGGAAAGAGAAGATAACAGCAATGGTAGCTCCAACGCCCCTGTTAAACAGCACTTTAATCCCTTCGCTCGACCAGATCCTGCTCTGAGCATCAACTCAATCTCGCCCAGCATTCAAAGTCAAAGCAAGCAAGCCTCCCCTGTACCCGTCACAACTTCAATAATCCCGGACAAATTCAGTCGCCCGGGATGTGTGGTCGCCATGCGAAATGTTCCGTTCAAGGCTGAGCTAAAGGACATCCTGCGTTTCTTCGGCGACTATAAGCTAAGTCCAGATGACATCATAAGGCGCTTTAATGATGAAGGGAAACCCACCGGAGATACTCGAGTGGCTTTTGAATCCCCTTCCGAGGCACGATCCGCATTCGAGTCCCGCCGCAGGAAGCAGATATTTAATCGCACCGTTTACCTTGATATCATTTAGGTTATTTACCCTGACTGTTTCATCACCGCTAGTGTATGTTGTAAATAAGTATTATTAAGTCGAATTCATAACACATTGCCTAGTTTACGCGTAAACAGTTTTGCCGACTATGTCGGCCTGAAAATTGTAGCACTTTGAATGTACATAGACTTGTTTGAATAAATCTAAAAATGATATAAAACGGTAAATAATTGTGCTGTATCTTAAAATTTATATTTAAATTCAAATTGGCAGATGAAAATTTTATTTAACTCCGAATTTTCATTTTATTTTGTTAAGTACACGCCATTTGTATGGTTTTTTTTTTATAAAAATATATATATCATAATTACATTAATGATTTGTAAGGTTATAACTTTATAACAAAATATAACTTTGTTAAGAATCTTATAAAACGAAGACATTATTCATATACATTTAGGATCCCTATGAATTAAAGATTTCCGAATAAAAAATAAACGTTCTTGTCAATAAAAATATGGATGCTTAAGATCCTTTTTCATTAATGTAGATAATTGATACATGTACTATAAAAAAATATTCTCCAAAACATGCTTACAAGATTATACAAATCTGTAACAAACTTAATCCGATCTTAGGCATAGTTCTGTAGTGTTATCACTTGTGACTTCTTTAGCGACTCCCGACATAAGGGGCATTCATCTCGCTCCTCTAGCCACTCGAGCAAGCAGCTCCAGCAGAATATGTGTCCGCATGGAGTTAAACTGCTATTCGACCGTGGCTCTAGACAAAGGATGCACTGAGGGGCATCTGGATCTGAGTTTTTTTCATTACACCCTCGTTGCAGGAACTTTTTTCCGGACTGCTTAATCGCTTCTAACTGTTGGCGCTTGTGCTCCCGCCAGGTGTCCCAACTACTAATGGCTAGCGAAACGCTAACCTGCAGGAATGTGATCACTCCTAGGATCTTGTAACCGTACAGCGAGAATTCCGGCTGTAGCCAGTGTCGGATGAGCACGTAATTAATGCCTGTGGTGCGCTTCGACAGCTGGTATTTGCTAGAGTTTAAGTAGAAAAGCGACTTGTGCAGAGCCTTTACATAGCTGGGAGATTGCCTTAGCCTCTGTATAATCTTCTTAAGCTGAAGTTTTGCCTCGGGTCGGATCTCTTCGTGGTTGGCCACATAGGAATCCAATTTTTGCAGCAGTCGCTGAAACAAGCTATCGCCGCCAAACTCCAGGAAAATAGCTGTCAGTTGCAGCTAGAAATAACTAAAAATTTCAGAAAGATTTTGGTAAAAAACTAATTATTTCACTTACAACTCTACTAGGGATTTGCTTGTAGTTTCCATCGACCTGTATGATCCCCGTGTATTCCTCGCCGAGTGTCTGGAGGCTATTGGCTGAAGCGAACCCATGGTAACTCAATTCCGCCAGTAGTCTGCACATCTGATTGTACTTAATCCAGTTCCGAGGACCGGTGAGACGGAGGACATCAGAGAAATCTTCGGCCAGTTCGTTTGTGTACCTTGCATCTTTCTGCACGGATCTTACGATCTCTGGCTGCCGTGCACGAGCATTTCGAAAGTCCATTTTGATGGATCTATTGGAATGTTGACTTTAACATACTAATTTAAAGGCCGATCAAAGTGCGGAGCAGATAACAAAATCAGCTGTTTCGTTTGAGTGATTCTTACTTTGGGTAATTGAGATGACATTTTCTATGGATAACTAAGCGGTATTTTTCAACACTGGCTTTTGAATATGACCAATTTACCAATAGTTAACGAAAACATTATAAATTTAATTTTGTATGCGTAATAAAAAAAGGTATTGTAAATAAATTGAATACTCTGATACAATTTTGGCAATATAACTTAATAAATATTTTTGATTGAAATTTTTTATTTGTAATTATTTATTTTTATGCGATAACTTTAATCGTTAAACGTCGCGACCTAGGCAAAGCCCACCACTATCACACTTACAGTCAGCCATTTTGTATAGGGCATCGCGGATGCTTTTTCTCCCTGACCAAAGGATATTTGGTTTTTCCGTCAAAATTCGTTGAGTTTGAGACGTCAACTTGAAGCACTTAAACAGCAGTGACCGTGTTCCGGCAGCGTGTGTGCAATTGGCAAGTGGAAATTGTATGAAAGGTCGAGTTTTAGATCCAAAAAAAGCAGTCAGCGCCGACGTCACACCTTTTCAGACGTCACACCAATACGACCACCGCAACTAATACTAATACGACTCATAGACTAACACAAGAGCGAAAAACAACTGCTAGAAAAGAAGAAGAATAAGCTATACGAACCGCAAATCAAAGTACTTTTTAGTACTTTCGCCTCGAATTTAACTGCATTTCCTCGCGAAAGCCGCACTGATTTTTTGGAAATATTACGCAAGTACTATTTCTAGTCGTACCCGTTGGATAATCATGGCTCAGTAAACATGAATCCGCAACGAGAATACCCTGCTCAACGCACTCCGTGTGGAGACCAAGGCAAGACGCAATTAGCTGCCCATTGGCAGCTGCCCAGCTTTTATACTAGTACAATTAATCCCCATCACAAGTGCATCAATAATAACCAAAACGATGGACAACAACAACAGCAGCAGCAAAAAGCAACCTCAATCCTCTCATCATGGCAAGTCCTCGACTGGTGAATCGCAACGGAAGTCCAGTGGTATGTGCTGCCTACTTTTACTTTACTCTTAGCATATTAGTTGATCCCAAAACCTATGTTTATATATGACTACAACTCTGAATATTGATCACTTCCCCACAGACGTACATGCCAACAGCAACAAGCAGCGACATAACCGCCGACGAGAGCAGCTTCCTACACCACGCAACGATCAGCAGCAACAGCAGCGCAGCGCCAAGCAGCAGCAACAACAACAACAGCCACAGCAGCCCGCCAGGCTACGTCCCAATGTGGACAAGCGGCCGAGGGCCCGCGGAGGCGGCGGGGCATTTGATTTCCCTGCACCTCGCGGCCAAGACGGGACTCCAGGCAGCTCCCGACTAGCCTACGCTGGCGCCGGCTACCAACGTAGCGGTGACTTTGACCATGAACTGAACTCTGTGTACGCACAGGGCAGTAAGAAGCAGAATCTGAACCATCTGCTTAACTTCCACTGCGTGCCAAGGGAACTGGAGCGAGGCCATCACCATCAGTACCAGCAGCATCACAGCCTGGGCAGCCGGAAGATGCGTTTTAACAAGGAGCAATTTCTGCAGGCCAACTTCCAGTTCGTTATTCGTTTGGGTGCAAAAGCCCAAGTGAATGGCTCGCCGGATGCGCTTATCGATTGGAGCTATATAGAGCAGATCAACATCCAGACCACGGAGGAGTTACAGTGCCCCATCTGTCTGTATCCACCTGTGGCTGCCAAGCTTACTAGATGTGGTCACGCTTATTGCTGGCCCTGCTTGCTGCACTATCTTTCGCTGAGTGACAAAACCTGGCGCAAGTGCCCCATATGCTACGACGCCATCCACGCGGGGGATCTAAAGAGCTGCACCATCGAACAGCAAATGGATTTGCAAGTAGGCGAAAGGATTACTTTCCAGTTAATGCGTCGCCGCAAGGGTTCCATGTATATCGAAAAACATGCTGCAGGATTGGGAGAAACCATTGAACGTTTCCCATTTGTCTCCGCTGGAGAAGAGGCCAAACGCTATTCCAAGTTCTTAATAGCAAAGCGATCAGATGTTGGCACAATCATCGAAAGGGAGCGTGGCGAACTGCTAGCCGAATCGGATGTGTCCTGTCCAGAGGATGTGTTTATTCAGCAAGCGCTTGTGATGCTTCAGGAGCGAGGCGAAAAGTTGGGATTGGAAAAACCTGATCCTAGAGAGGAAGAAGGCGAAATACCGCATACTCTTTGCCTAGATATTGAAACCAAGAATGATATTGAGAAGCCAGACGATGCCTCTATCTCATCAGGAGAGGCATCCAGCAACTTGAGCTACTCCTCGAACAACCATAACAAGTACTATTATTTCTATCAGTCCAACGACGGACAAAACATCTTTTTGCACCCTTTGAATGTGAAAATGCTCCAAGCATGCTATGGCACTTTAGATCTTGGGCCACTACTCATCGATGCACAGATCGTACAGATGGAACAGCACTCCATGGACGAGGACCATCGACGCAAGTTTACTTGTCTTGGCCATTTGCCGTTGACTTGTCAGTTTTCTGTTGTGGAAGTTGAATTACAACCACCGATTGTCTCTGGAGGAATACTCAGGCTCTTCAAAGGTATAAGTCCACTTTTTCGGTTTATGTGATTTCAGCCATTAAGCCAAGTGTTTTTCTTTCTACAGAGGATATTCTTCATCGTAAGAAGGAGCGCCAGCGTCGGGATCGTGAGGAGCGCAAGCGGGAACAACATATAAATGAGATCAATGACCGCCAGATGGGCAAACTGATTGCCAGCGCAGCTAACCTCAACTTAAGCTCATCTCATGAGTTTCCCACTGTAAGTTTCCATTGACTGCAATATGGTTGTGAATATTAATGAGTTTTTCTCTAAAGTGCGGATTTGAGGAAGCTTTGCCCACTCCCAGTGGCTCTGTACCCACGGCAATTAACAGCCAGGATAGTGGCTCTCGTTACTCTAGTATCACTGTGGCAAGTTCCAGTCCCAAACAGGAGCTATGGCCCTCCATTGGAAGTGGTTCGCCTGGCAGTAATGCTGCATCATTGGATTTTCAGGTTGGCGCCTGGGGCCGCTCAGCTCCACCACCGCCGCCGCGAGTAGTTTCGGGTCCTAAAACCAGTGACGACGATTGCGAGCAGCGTTCTCTAGGACACTGGGGTCTGGGAGAACTTTTAGAAGGAGCTTTAGACCAGAAAAAGCTTAAGGTAGGAGCTGGAAAAGGCAATGTAGCAGCTCCTGCTGAATCCAAGAAGCAAAAGAAAGCCAAGGGCAAAAAGATGGTTCCCCTGTTCGCCATGGGTATAAACAGAGCTCCATAAATAATTGGATGAATTGGATTATGAAGCTTTCAATATTAATTGAATTTTTAGTTTGATGCAAATATTTCAACGTTATTTCAAATAACAATCACGATTGTTCTTTCATTGAAGAGGATTTAAAAAATCATTCAGCTAATCTATAATTTAACCCAACTTATATTCACATTATACATAATCAAAACCAATATAATAAAGGCAGCAAATGAACTATAAAATGTACGTTTTTTAGAATAGTTCCGAATGTATATTAACTGGTAAATGTGTGTAGAATGACATTAAACCGACCCCTGATTGTATTGGTCGAGTCGTTCCTTTTGGTAGCTCCAATGGTGAAAATTACTTGCCATTATGGCGTTATTCCAACAAATTACAAACAAATTAATTTACATTTGAAAGGATAGGGAAGGGAGAGAAATTTAAAGCCAAATTCGTCGTCAATCGTGGCGTCGATCGTACTCGGGATCCTCATCTTCCGTTTTCACTTCATCGTAGGTGTTTTGAGAAGGCTTAATCTGGCTGGGACTTTTCTGTTTTCGGTTATTGATACCCCTAGTACCTACTCCATATTCTGGCGGTAGCTCCATGTACTCTTCCTCGGACTCACCGTCTTCTGTTTCATTTGGATCGTCTCCGTTTATGGAGCCACTCGGACTGCCCGGTGGACTGAGAGCCTGAATGATCCTGCCCTTGGATTCGTTCCACAGGTTGTTGAGTCGCTCTCTCCCGAACAGTAGAAGGAAGGCATCGATGAACTCACGCGACTTCTCCTCCCACTTGGTTATGATGTCAACCTTTACTTTCGTCAGCTCCCGCTTGCCACGTGTCTTTAACTCGTCCATCTTGTTCTGCAAGCGGAATTTCTTTTCTGAGAGAAAAGAAACGTTGAGCTCCTTAGCGGAGTAACCTCTGGCCAGATTCCTGCGTACGTATACATCATAATCCTTTACGATTCGGGCGACGATGTCTGAGGTGGATACGCCCTCCGTCCTCTCTGTGACCACGAACATCCCTTTTGCCTTCAAGGGAGCGTATATGTCGTTTACGCCTCCAGCTCCATAAGGTATGTCGTCGTGGGCCACAAAGTCGATCTTGTGCTCATTGAGGAACTCTTCGTTCAGCGTCCAAGGAGCATTAGGTACAATCTAGGTGGGTTAACAAATGTTATTTTACAGGTCTTTTAATTATCCTTCTGAGCTCTTACTTCATCCACATAGCGACAATGGCGGACTGCCTCATACCGCTCAAATCCATTCATTACCGTACGCCCCTTCATCCGGAGAGTCAGTTCATCATTGCACACGCCCACGATGAGATATACATTTGGAAATATATTCTTGGCCTGCATTAGTTGACGGGCATGGCCCTGGTGGAAAAGATCATAGATCCCATCAGCATATACCCGCACCCTACGAGTCGTTTTCCCAGCTCTGGCCATCTGATAGGTGATTCTCTGTGTGTAATCACACCTCTCCAGCTCCAACAAGGCCTTGTCGTCATACGAAAAAGGAGCTGGCTGACAAATATTCTGGAAATGATTGGAGGAGAAAGTATGAAACAATAAACCTAAACCCGGATCATTGCAAAACAATTATTATATGTACATAACTTGCAAAGCCATTAAGCTCTAGAAGTGGAAATATTATAATGGTAGACTTACGAAATCCTCGAAATCCATAAACAGCGGCAACATCTTGAATTCGAGTGGAGAGGTGGGCGTGGCTGGAGCTGTCGACACAGGGGAGAGATCGTCCTCTTCCGGCATTTTGTCCATTTCTTACAAAAAAATATACGAAGCTCTAAGTACGACACAAGAGGTCCGCTCGAGAGGCTTTCAACCGGACGACTGATTATATAAATTGAGACAGAGCCGGCATAGAGCACTAGGCTAGGTCTACTCAGTCGAGGATTGAATCTGAGGAAAAGATGTCCGCCAACTGCGCACTAGCGGCGATCAGAATAAATTGGCGGCAACTGGTGGCGAATCAATACAATTGAGTCCGGAGGCTGGCGAGGCACACGACCTGGTAGCGGTTCTAGTCGTAGTCTCAGTCTTAGGGCCGGATTCATCGTTCGACTTCAATTGCTGCAAATTGAGGCGCAAAGAAATAGGAAGCGGCGGCGGGTCGCCTGACTTGGCACGGGTCCGATCAGGCGATGGGCGCGCATCTATATATAAACCGCAGCGCCATTAAACAAATCAGTGAACCGCTTCCAGCCGGTGAATGGGCCACTAATTGCGAGGGAATGGGTGTCCAATCAAGGCAAACGGTTTCATCATCGGCGGCGGGTACAAGAATTCCGCAATTGCCATAAATAGCGGCTAAATCGAATGCGCAATTGGTGGAGAAACATTCGACTGTACATGCTTCTCTGTATGATGCAAATATCTAGCTGAATACTGATTAGTAAATTGCACTTTATACCTCCTAAAACTGAATAAGCCATATATAAATATCATCTAATTTCTTTCGATTCAATGTTTATTTTTCAAAAAATATTTAACAAAGCATTTGCAATAATTCAGCTATTGCCAACTTTTTCTTGTTTTTTATATTTTCCGAATGCGTTTTGTTTGGGTTTCTCTATATTGGTTGGTGTTTTTGTTGTTGTGTTGTTAACTTAGTTTTATGTTATGCGAAATAATTTAATATAAATATTTCTAGATATTTTCGGCACCTGGAACTACTGCGGCGCCGATTTTATGCACAATCCGCCGAGTGCCTAATACAAAAATGAGTCTTTTCTGCGTTGGTTGCTTGTCCCACACACAGCTGAATTAGCTACAGGATTCCCTCGATTCTCAAAGATGGAGATGGGAAGGTGGTGTGGAGTGGAGGAAGGAGGAGAACGAGTGCCAACTAAAACTAGGGGATTACAGTACCTCTTAGGGTAGAGTAAATAGAATTGAGTTCGTAGAGCCTGGGAAGGGATCCTAGGGCATCAAGTATGTGCCGTCGAACTAGTTGCAAACAAGTCGATCTATAATAGCATCAAAGACAGTAGGAGAAGAAGAAAAGGTCGGGCTGTCCGACACTAGAATCACTCGCTGCGCCGTTCGTAGTCTGCACCCTCGTCCCCATCAGCATCCAAAACTGGTGATCGACTCTGCAGGCTCTGGTAACTGCGGCGGGCCAGGGAGGAGCGCTGTTGGTTCGGCCTTTGCTTGCCATTTAAGGAGCCACTGCTGCCACTTCCCTCGCTTAACTTCTCGGACATTTCCAAGTACTCGTCAATGGTTTCGCTGTAATCTTCGCCGCCTTCCGTATCATCGCCGTTTACAGATCCCGATGGGCTGCCTGGCGGGCTGAGCGCCTGCAGCAACTTGCCCTTTGACTCGTTCCACAAATGATTTAGATTCTCACGTCCGAACAATAGCAAAAAAGTATCAATGATGTCGCGCGACTTCTCCTCCCACTTGGTAATGATGTCCACCTTTACCTTAGATAGTTCCCGCTTGCCGCGCGACTTTAGCTCGTCCATCTTGTTCTGCAGTCGGAACTTCTTTTCGGACAGGAACGAAACGTTTAGTTCCTTGGCCGAATAGCCTCTGGCCAGATTACGACGCACATACAAATCATAATCCTTCACAATACGGGCCACAATGTCCGAGGTAGACACGCCCTCAGTGCGTTCCGTGGCCACGAACATTCCACGCGCCTTCAGTGGAGCATAGATGTCATCCATGCTATCGGTTCCATAGGGAATGTCGTCATGAGCCACAAAATCGATTTTGTTGTCGGCAATGAACTCATCGGATAGCGTCCAGGGTGCATTCTGTACAATCTGTAGGGCAGAAATGTCACTTATATAGTGATAAATCTTCTCGAGTGCGGAGAGAACTCACCTCATCCACATAGCGGCAGTGGCGCACTCCCTCGTAGCGTTCGAAGCCGTTCATCACAGTACGTCCCTTCATGCGATGGGTCAACTCATCGTTGCACACTCCCACTATTAAGTACACATTGGGAAAGATGTTCTTGGCCTGCATAAGCTGGCGGGCGTGGCCCTGGTGGAACAAATCGTAGATACCATCGGCGTAGACCCTCACCCTTCGGTTCGTCTGTCCTGAGCGGGCCATCTGATAGGTGATCCGCTTTGTGTAGTCACATCTCTCGCGCTCCCGCATGGCCTCCTCATCGTGGGAGAATGGAGCCGGCTTGCAAATAGTCTGCAGAAAGAAATGACATCTATTATATATGATCTTTTTATTTCAAAACCATTTCTTACGGCGAAATCGGAGGCATCGCTGCATTTGAAGAACTGTTGCGAGGTAGATGCGGGAACCATCAGGGGATCCGGCGAAGACTGCTGCTGCGGGACGTATTTGCGCTTGACGCCGCTGAGGTAATCCGAGGTGGAGGCGCCGGCAATGGTGGGCAGCGAGTCCTCGGCTGCTGCTGCTTCTCCACCGTCGTCGGCGTCGCTCTGTGAAATGGTGCGCGTGCTGTCCCGCAGGGTGGTGGCCGCAGTGGTGGGCTCACTGGCTCCCTCGTTGACAACCAGCACACTCTCCAGTTGGCCGGCCGTCGATTTAGACTTTCCGGTCAGACTGGGAGTATTTGTGCGCTGTTCCTGGACTTCCGATCCCTTTGTGACGCTGGACGAGGGCATGGCAATAGCTGTCTCGTAGGTTCGCTTCCTGGTGGTCAATGTGGAGGCGGAGGAGGTGCTGTTGGGCGTGGCCGATGGCGAGGTGCTGTTAATTGTGCTTTTGGCGAGTATCGATGAGGTGGCCATCGCAGCGAATGTTTGGGAGCGGCAGTTTTAACGTTTTCGTAACACAGTGACGGAGGAACAGAGATTCAAGTGACTTTCAGCTGGAAGTGATAGGAAAAATGAAAGGTTAGTTAAAATAAATGCAATCATAATCAAAAGAAATACTAGTCCAATACAATATTTTTTATAATAGCATTTGTAAAGAGAAGATCCCCTCATGAAGAATTAGAAAGTATATACGAATAGAAAGTTGCAACTTGCAAACATCAATCAACATTTTAAAATCGAGGTTCCCCTTAGTATTCATTTTTCACTTTAACAAAGTGATCTTAACTTCCTATGCATCATTTTTACAATTTACATTCACATTCTCGATTTCATTTTAATCTTAAAAAATCAAACATTTTTATACCAATTTGTTTACTAAACGTTTTATAAATAAAATCGGATTAATCCGCCAAACTCATGATATAAACAAAATTATTTTCGAAATCGTATGCAATTGTGCATAAACAAAATCATTTTGTGGTTTTAAACAATTTTTGGCTAAAGGTAATCGTTTTTTATCCAATCATTTATGACATTCACCTTTTTTGTGCAATTAGATACAACTTTTAAATAACCCCATTATGAATAATTCGAGTTGCAAGGCAATGCTGACAACATGCGACATCTGACCCTACTTTACCTCCTATTCCCCCTGCCACGCCCCTCTTTTCGAACTTGAGCCACGGCCAAATCGATTTCAGTTTTAATTGCCAAACGGATGATTAAATTCGCCACGCGCATCGAAATCGAACCACAGAAATTCCCTAGAAATAAAGCGCAACTGAAACAGTTGGTAAACAACAACAAGACGGTAATAATAGACACGTAGTATTCTCGGAGCAGAGCGAGATGAGCAAATTAAGAAATGGGGGCAGCTGGGGAGCGAGGTGGCCAGCAGAACTAGTTCCGAGTGGCGCTCGGTGCACTTTACGTAAACAAGAGCAGACTGAACACGTGAGGCAGACACGATGACCCAATCGGCCAAAGTTGGAGGCCATCCCCCTCTGCCCACCCCCTTATACTAAAATCAATTCTAAGATAAACATGTAATTAGTTAATTCATATTTCAGCTACCGGGAAAATACTTGTGGTCACTCAATGACGAATTTCCTGAAGGTCGTCCAAAATAAGTTTTTGTGCCAAAAAATAGCGATGCTATGCGCAAAATTTTTGAACAAGATCGTCATAAGTCCAGAGATTATTATTCAGTTCAATTCTATAATTTGAATAAATTATATTTAGGAGTGTTTGAAAAACGCTCTTAGAGAGAAGATTTCCTACTTTACATCTAACTTTTGAAGTGAGAGCTACTGTAACTATTTTTAGATTGGCAAAGTTATTCACCGTGCGGTCAGCTGTCTGCTGCGTGGTTAATAATACTTTCAGGTAGACAAACGATTTCTCATGTTTATTCATCATGACACACATATCTATTTATCTATATAGCTACATATGTATGTGGCTTGCTTCGGAATAATTCTTGGCATTGGGAATACGTCAGAGATTTCTATATGTTTCTTTCCTTATCTCGAGATCCCCAAACAAAACGAATAGCGAAATTCCACTTGTAGACTCCAAATCAGGTGCAGAGTGTTATTTTTGGGGGATTAGTTTTGCCATGCCCAAAGCGGGTTTAACTAAGATCTGAGTCACTTGAAGTTGCTTTCAGTTCAAGTTCAAGCGATAAAAGTCCGAAAAGAATTCCAACCAAATATAATTTCTCTTAGACATGGTAATTCTGTTGCCAAGCCGAATTTCAGGCAATACTTTAACAATCTTGAGCTGAGATACGTCACAAGTGAACGTCGTACGATACGAGTACAGTCATTGGTCGATATTAAAAAACTTTCAAGTTCTTATTATTATCAATTTATAACATATTACATATGAATAATACTATAAGAATGTGGAACTATGCAGGAATGATATAATCACTATTTTTTATTTAACATCTCCAAAAATTACTCAAGGAAAATCTTTCCAATGAGTCATTTCCCACATGTATTTATTTCTTGTTTTATTTTAAAATCAGTTTATGAGTTCAGTTTATTTTGTGTTCTAAACAGGGAAGCTATAAGTCAATAATGTCAAATAGGTTAAGATTATAAATAAAAATGATTTAACGATTGCACGGTATATTAAATCGCTTCTTATCATGATTATTTTTAACAGGTATATTATAAGTTTCAAGTAGTATTTAGTAGATAAATACATAAGAACATATAATGCGTCAAATGCTAAACGATACTAAAAAAGGGTCACCCTTACGAGTTTCTACTGTAATGTCTCTATGTTTAAAGCAATGACGAAGAACCGCCTCCAGCGAACTGAATCTAAACGTAAACATTACTAGCAAGAGAGTGCCAATTTAAACCGTGTGGGTGGTGGACAAGTGGTCAAGTGTGGGACCCGTAAAATCGATTACCGGGCAGTAAAAGCAGGTGAAAGATAAGATTCTACTACCTGCTGTTACTTTATCTTGAAAATGAACAATATTGTTGAGTGACGGTCACTTCCGTTGCACTGAAATTGCGAGTATCGAAACACGATAAATGCTTTTGGCGGAAATGAGCCGTGTTTCACTATTGATAGCGATAAGACGAGCCATGCTAAATTATAGTAAGTATATAGCAAACACTGTTAAGGCCTGATAATCGGGTGGTCCGATCTTGCCAGCCTGGCAAAACGGATGGAAGGCAAAAGTCGCTATCAGTACGGGATTATTTCTTTATACTAGGTTCTTATACTATTATATACTATTCCCCAGACAGAGGTCAGGCTAGCTATTTAGGAATCAAGTCTGTGCAAGCACTTAAACAATTTATAACAAAATGGCACGATATTGTTTTACAACAGCATCTTGCTTTATGGTATATTTATATACTGCTTCATGATGTTTGCATTACCTACTAATGCGTCATTATGAGTAAACTTTATAAATATAAAAATTTTGTGAAATTTAATTTTTGAACATGAAACTGTAGTTCAACACATTCATTATTTTCTGGCAAAAGTCGCACAATGAACACTAAAAAGCAATTGAATATTTTGAACACTTCTCTGATATATACTTTTAAGAATAACTTTTCTAATATGCACTCTTAATTGTTAAATGGTGATAACCAGAATCAATTTCGTTTCGTGTCAACACGAAAGCCGGATGTGTTCAGATCATTTGAAATGATTTATTAAATTAGATCATCCGACGGACGTGTTTCACTTAATGTGTTCACTCTGAGGACTACGCACTGTATCGTTCAAAAATTGTGGAGTTTCTGCAACGTAGTATGGGTTTAAGCTTTCTAACAATCCAAAGAACTCTGGACAAAGATGATTTGGAGTTTGCCTTTTGACTGTTCGTTCGTTTTTGACCAAGAGCAAAAGGTTGAAAGTACAGTTCTAAAGCCTCGAAATACGAGAATCTCAAGCTTTATTCAAATCTCCGCGCGTGCGAGTGTTTTCGCCATTGATAAGCTGCGATCGGTGGACAATAATAGACTGAATGTGGGGTGTACTTTGTTATACACACGTTATTGGCAGTGATAACCTTTGGGCGACGGCTTATCAGTAGTGGACGGCAAACACCGAAAAATTGAGTTGACGTCAACTGTGATTTTGGATGCTACGTGGGAGAATGCTCTTGGGATTTATCTTTTAGGGAATGGGAACTGTAATTTACTTATAGCCACGTTCTTGGGATACCCTAATTATATGTTTATAGCGTTTTAGCGTTCGATAAAGAGATAAGATTGTCTGCAAGTATTGCACAATGCTATGGCTATCTCTTTCGTACTCGCCTACGCATTAAATACGAATTTCATTGAGGAGCCCAAACAGCTGATTCTGATAGTGCGTGTGATCTCGCCAAACACGCGCATTGCTCTCTCCCTCACACTATATCTCCTCTCTCTGTGTTGTGGTTCGCTGGAAAAGAGCGACCACGCGAGCAACGGTAAAAGGCGCTTTGGAAAGTGGAGCAGTGACTAACACTTGCCCCATTGGAATGACGTTGCGCCGGGGGAAATCATACGATCGCAGGGCATAGTGCGGCCCCAATGACGCGTCATAGAGAGTGAGAAGGCGGGAGGGGGGGCACCTGCAGCAAGTTGAAACACGAATAATCATACGACGAGCATGACGTGGCGACAGCCAATTAATGGCGTCGTCTTGCCGGCTGCAAAAAGCAATGAAAGAAAAAATCGATAAGAGGCGGCAGCGCAGCAGCTGTTTGCCGAGGGGAATAAACAGAGGAGGAGATGGTGATTATGTAAACAAGCCTTGAGGAGCGAGAATCCAAAACGCACATTGTCGAGCATCCAAAATAAGGTCCCCAAGAAAAGAGAGACAATTTCACTCTCACAAATTGCTCACGTCATCCTCTCAGCAGCGTAAATATTTTCCTTTCCTAGTGACCCGCATTGGAAGTTCCAATTTCCACTTACTTTCAACTTTCTTCCAACTCGGCACGGAACAGTTCTTTCGATTATCGACTGGCACTGATTTTTATTTTTCCCACTTCGCAACGAAATCCAGTGTTTCAGCTGGAATGACAAACGCACGGAACACGGAACGGCCGTCAATCAGTTTGTAAAGATTTTGTTTGTTGTTCCTCGGCTTTCGATTCGATTTCGAATAACTAGGAGAACCAAAGTTTATAGAGCTGGAACAAAAATCGATGATTATTCGATATATCAATGCTGAGTAATTTCTAGAGACATCGATTTTTTCCGAGCAATCCATCGATTGCTTCCATTTTATCGAATGAATTAAAAATTTACTAAAGTGTCCTTATATTAAAAAAAAGGAGTGATAAGAACAAATAAATTTGTAAAAAAAAACAAATTATAACATTTTTATTCAATTCATAAATAAATGGAAAACAAGGTACGGTGCGAAATTCAGTTTAATGAAAGCTTGGACATGCACCAAAAAATACGTTTAAAATTCAAACACTTTTGATAGGGGTATAATATAACATGTACATTCAAAAACACTGTGTAAAAGCTGTCATACTTTTAAACTTTCTCTAAAGCAAAGAATACACTATGCAATTTAAAATTATTTGGTTTTTAATTGCTCTCGAGGTAAGTACCAAAACCAATAGGTTAGTTTTCCTTAAATGATCGTGTTATTCAGCAGTGCCATCGGACGTTTGGAATTGGGCTTCGGCTTCTTATCCTTGAGGCGCATAATCGAAGAAGGGCGAAATACGGAAATCAACCAATGGTTTTGGACAACAGTCTCAGTGAGGGATGTTCAAAATATGCACAGGCAAGTAACTTAAAAGATATACTCCAATCATCCCAGTTTAGAGAGGCTAAAAACGCCTGTTAAAATTTGTTCTATTTATTAAACCATTAACCGTTAGTTTATTTACATCATTTGGTGGCTCTAAGTTTTGGAGAAATCGGGAAATGTTTTAACATAGATATTTAACAGTTTCTATCATTCAGCAAATACTTTTAAGTGGAGGTGAATACAGAGAGTACTATATGCCGAGCCAAGATAAAAACGAATATATTCAAATCGTCTGTATTTTTCGGGCTGCCTTCCCTAGGATTTGTGTTCGAAAATGGTTTCATTACCGAGGCTTCGGTAATAATGAACAATATTACAAATTCACGGCTATGATATGGAACGCCTCCACTAGACTTGGAGTAGGCCTGTCAAGAAAGTAAGTGACTAATATATGTTAATTTTACCTCCTGTTCGATAGTGCAAGGCAGTCTTCCGTAGAATGGAGACTCGATATTTAGTGGTAAGGTATGCTCCTCCTGGAAATATATTGTCAGAGATGGAGCTTAATGTACCAAAACGAAAGAAGAACTTTTGGGATGAGGAAGAAATTTGGGAACATGAAGATTACCCGATGCCCACAAGTACTGAACCCAGTGCTGGTCCCAAGATTTTTCGTAACTGGATCTTTTTTATAACTTCCATTTTGATAAATTTGCGGCACGTTCAGTACTATATTCCTTCGCACAGACTTTTTGAAATAAATACCGTACTCTAAAATCATTGTCTTTTGCGTATTTATTGACTTTCAGTGTCTTAAAGTATTATCTGCAAATATGCTTGGCTAAAAGATGTAATGTAAAAATAAAGCTTGAATTTAACATAAACACCTTTGGGTAAATCTCATTTCACTCAATCTTAAAATACCAAAAATGAGTAATATTCAAAATTATCGCAATATGTAAAACAACAAAGATTCTTTGGTAAATAAACTAAATCAAAAGCTACCTCTGGAAGTGAAACACAGGAGAATTGACTGGATTCGATTCTGATTGGGACCTTAATTACGAGCTACACACACGCATACGTTTCATATATATGTAGATTTTTGAACAACATTTTAGAATTCTTTATAGTAAACGTCTTAATTGCACAGTAAATGTCTTTAAAATTCGATTGCGTCGATGACAAGGAATTTTGTTCAACTTTGGCTTCAATGTTCCCGGGACTGGCATCCATCCCCCTAAAACGTTCAGCGTTTGACTTGGTTTCTAGGCAAGCTGTCGGGTCAAATGGCAAGTGGCTAGGCTTGGGGTTACAATTAGAATTAGGTGTAATAAATGGAAAGTGTTCCTCTGCTTCATATTAAAAGCTAACAACGATTTCGAGAGTTCCGAGATTCCTCAAGAGCATATGTATGTGAGTATTCTCTAGGTCACTGGTTGCAGATGTCCGTGGGTGGTGTGTTATATGAGTATTGCAGTGGGTATTGTAGTGTAGCATCCGCCCCTCAGCATTGGGACGGGATGCGAATGCCCTGTGTGATTGAGTTCTCTAGCACGATGTGGCAGTCGTCCAGCGGTTCCAGGATTTGAATAAGGAAGGTAAGAAGGTTTCGACGCCGCAGAAAGCTCTCCTCCTCGTACATCTCGTGGGTTACCTTGGTCAAGGCCATTGGCTTTATGAGCCGCGTTAAAAGGTGCTCTCGCAGGCTTAGACAAATTAGCAGCTGAAACTTTCCGTCCTTGCCGAGCGCCGTTCCGTTGATCTCGTCCATTAGCTGCACGTACAAACGCCAGATGCTTGAAATCTCTCTGCGATGTAGGCTGCTACCTCCGCTTCCATTGCTAAGAGACGAGTCCAGGCTGGAGGCCGAATCCTCTAATTCCAGCTGTAGATTTTGCTCAAATAGTTCCTTGATTTTGGCTGCAACGAACAAACGAAAAGGTTATCTCAGAGTTTCAGTATTTAAGGCATAATTAATGATATAATCTTGAAATCTCTAAAGAAATAATCTGAAAATCTCCTTACTGAAATAGTCCCAGATGTACAGATTCCTTCCAAAGAAGCGCGCCGACCGAAAGCCGCAAAGAAAAACCTGTTCCAGACATTTAACCAGTCCATCATCTCCGCATAGCAGGTTGGTCAGCGTTCCCACATCACGATCGCGGCTGGGTTTGTAATGCCATTTGACCAGGACGTTGACGCAGTTTCCCAGCTGGTGCTGAATTTCGGAAGGTGACAGTGACTCCTGACGCTGTACGCTAGGGCTCCGCGTCCGGGGCGGTGTGCGGGTATCCGATCCTGGGACGACCTCTGCGTTCTTCACGCTTGTTAGAACCCGTTGGCCAACAAGAAGGCGCTCTGTTGAATCATCATCTACGCCTCGGCCCAGCCAGCGGCCACAAGGGAATCTTTAAGTGTAAAAAAAAATGATGTTACACAAGGGTCACGAATGTCCGATTTGTTGTTAGCTTACTTGTAGGTGTGGCCGGTGACCTCATTACGCATCACCACCTGCTCCACCAGCCACTTGTGGCTGGGTCCAGAGTTATCGTGCCCAATGCGCATGGTTGTCAGTAGACCAAGGTTTTTGTACTGCAAAAGGAAATGTCTAGATAAGTGCTGGGAAGAAGCCAAAAATATTGCGTTTTCTTTGTTTAACAGCAACTAACTTACATGAAAGATGAACTCCAAGGATCCCTTTGGTACAGGCACCCGTTGCGTCTCGTTCATAGTGCCCGAGACCATGATCCAGACGTTGCTGGAGGTGTGGTAGGAGCCGTACTTGCGGGAAGGGAAGATCACGACGCGGTAGGGCAGCTCTGTGGGAGGGGAAGGGAGCAAAACCAAAATGATTATGAGCACAGGCAAGCTATAGGACTGCTAGCGGGACCTACTCGTCGTAGGGTAAATGTTCGTGAAGCTGAAGTAGTCCACCGTGTTTAAAGTTAGCAGGTGGTAGAGAAACTGTTCCTTCTCCTCCTCGCAGCGTAGGAAGGCCGATCGCTTGTACAGTGACCGCAGCAGAGCTTCGTCGGAGAGCAGAGTACGAAAATGCCTGGAAAGGAGCTTCTTTTCTAGTGACAGTCGCACCCACGCGCGGGTATAGCCAATATGTGTCTTGATATCCGCCATGGCCAGTACGTTTCTACGGGAGAATCAGTTTGCATTTTACGGATCAGGTTTCAGGCTTCTCGTCTCAATACTCACTTCACATCGAACTCTAGAGACTCTGGCAGTGGGCACAGCTGCTCCAGTCCTACAAATTTGTTGCGATCTCTCGATCGACTGCGATTTGGACTGGGCGGACTGTCGAAATCAGTTTGGAATGTGGAGAGATCTAGCAGGGAAAATAAAATATATATTGGAAATTAAAAGAGAAAGATCCACGCTAAAGCTACACTCACAGTCCATGCGTTTCCTCATTGCGTTCCAAGCCAGCGCAGGCGAGGCTGTGGCAATGGTCATCTTATTACCCGGACTGTTGTTTACCGGTTGGGCCTGCTCCGCTCCAGAACTGTCGCCTGCTCCCCGAGACTCCTGCATTTCGAGATAGGCCTGTAGGTGGGCCCACAAGGCAGACTTTCCCTGCTTGTTCTGCAAGCCGTGCGACCAGATCTTTTCCAGCAGATCGCACATGCTGGCTATCAAAGTATTTTCTTCGATGCCGTCACCCTTAAGGCCTAGAGCCACTGCTTCATTACCCATTTTTTCGAGCAGCATGCGCTTGGTCTTAGATTTTATGTCCTAGAATTAGTGAATAGTTAAAAATGTTTTTAAGATAAAATCAATCCAAAACACACCTTCAGCAATCGCTCCACAAACGTCCAGTTGGCCTGTGCTATCAGGGCCGGACTCACATCCGCAGTGGTCAGGTTCGCCGATAGTCGATTGATGGCATTGGAACTGGGCTTCTGGTCCAGCGAGATCTCCCTGGCCCGCCACTTGTTGCCGTTCTTAACCCGTCGCAGGCTGTTGCCTCTGTTGGGGATTCGGATGCGGAATCGGAGGCGGTTTCGGATACGGTTTTTGGTTGAGGTTGTTGGTTGATGGAGGTTAGCGCGGATGAGTTTGAAGAATCGGTTTGAGTTTAGTTTAAATTTCGAACGAGAATAAAGAGACAGGGGATTAGTTGGGATTCCGAAGGTTGCTAAAGGATGGGGTGGTAGGGAGATCGGGTGAGGGAGGAGCAGGCGGTGAACTGTGGGCGGTGCATGCGGTGCAATTTACGGCGGGAGAACGAAACAAAACAAAACAAAAAGAAGAGTCTCAGTTAACGATTGAAGAATGCAGAATTTATTGTTAATTGATATGCACTAAATGAAAACAATACGAGTAGAAACAATAATATGATACCAACGGAAGTGAGTATCCAGTGTAAAACGCGATATTTGATTCGATTTGATCCAATTGGAGCCAACAAAGGTACATGAAATACATCTACATAAAACTAGGTGTTTATGGTATCTATAATTAACAATTAGGTAATATCAAACGATTGTCAGCCTTTTTGGGGCTAAGGTACATATCTCCCCAATATCTTGTTATAGGATGAGTGCGGGGGTTAGGGGTAGGGACTGGTGTTTGATCTTAAAGCAGGACGTGCTCTACAACTAACTATACAAGAGGGTAACTGTGGAAACAAGCCGTCTAGGCGGCTGGGCAACTACCTCGAGGCGCATTCCTGGTTGAGCACGCCCTTCTCGAGCAGTGGAAAGCTGCGGAAATAGGCCGCCCGATTTGCCAGAATTTCACTGGGCGGCGTCACCTCGATGTCGATGCAGTTTAGCCGCTTCTCAAAGCCCTGCTGCGAGTCCTGGCTGAGTACGCAGGGCTCGTAGCTAGTGGCAGCGATCATGTTCTCCCCGTGTCGTCGCCTGAAATGGACAAAAGTTCGTTAGCTTCAGAATAATAAATCTTATAAAAGGACACTGGCAATCGAGTTTCATTAAATGGTCAAATTATATAAACAGAAAAAGAAATAATTTTCTTAAAAATTAATAACATTTTGAAAAACCTGTCACTGCGTTTTGTAAAAATTTAAAAATGAAATATGTATTTTATACAAATTATTATTCTGGTCTTTGTTCTGATTTTCCTCATGGATGTAAACCCGCTGGAAACTAGTCAATTTTTCACTACCATGTCCATGTCATCGCTTAGAGTTATTAGGCGAACGAAGAGGGAGTATTTAGCAAGTACTAGCATTTCAACTAAGTACAAACTAAACGTTGTTAGGATGTCGAATACTGTGCAAAAAGACTACAAAAACCGTAAACGTTGGAAGCCAAGGAAAAGAAGGCGACATCGCAATTCAACAGCTTGTCAAATACCCCGTAATACTGCCCTTATTGTTTTTCTTTCAGCTGTAAATTCTTGTCGTTATAAATATATTTAAAACTAACAATGGAGGATTTGTAATTTTGCCACTCTTGATGTTTATAGACTCACCTAAGTAGTTTCACACGCTGGTCGAACAGCTGGAGCTGCTCGTCGGGCTGCGACTCCCACATGGCCAGGATCTTATTGTCGATCAGGGTGGCAAACATTTGAGATTCTAGGAAGCGCGAGAGAAAAGCGCGGTGGTGCTCCGGCTGGTCGGACAGGAACGAGGATTTGTCGAAGTTCTGCAGTGTTTCGCGGTTTGAGATCCACTCATCGCGTGCCTGGTTTGGGTAGATCACAAAATACTCGTAGGCATGGAACATATGCACGAAACGATTGAGGAAGATCTCCCGCACTGAGTTGTTTATACGCAGGTCCTGGTAGTACTGGTCAACCGGGCTTAGTTTCTGTTTTTCCGTGCGGCGGGCACTGGTCGGCATAGTGGCATCCACTGCATCCACGTCATGATAGATACCAACCGGCGAGGATGAGAGAGAGACGGTGGGACTGCCCACCGGAGAGCCAGCTCCCCGAATACCTCCTTTCCTACGCAGAAAGTCAGCGATGCGTGGCACGTGATCGATTCTCGATGGATGCGCTATTAGCGGTTGGTAGTCTACGACGCCACCGCCCGGAGATCCGGACAACGTATATACAGTCTCTTGAAGCTGCTGAAAGCGCTCCTTGCTACGCCGCACTGCCTGCAATCCAGTGGGCAACGTGCAGCTGGAAATCATAGCATCGACAGCGCCTGTTCCGCTACTGTTGGATCCGCCAATACCTCCTCCGGCTCCCCTGCCTACATAACCGTTTCTAAAACTAGACTCCTGTTCTCGGTCCCGCTCTATCTCGAACTTGTCCAGCACCGAACCGATCTCGGCCATAAAATCTACCTTGTGTGGAAATACTGGAAGCTCTTCGGGCAGCTGGATGTGCTTTTTGTCGATGTCCACGAAGCAGAGTGTTGCTTCACTGCCTATTTTGTGAGCAGCTTCACACTCGGCGTGTAGACCCATCACAAAGGGCACCGGCGCATCCAGGAAGTGGTGCAGGGCGGCTGGTAGAATTGGAGCATACACGTGCGGCCACACGAACGGGAACAGCAACGAGGTAATGCACTCACCAACTATCATTAATCTTTGGTAGTCTGCAAGAAAGGAAAGAGTAATGTTTAAACATATGTCATCCATACAGTTTAAAATTTTACCTGTGGACCGCAAAAGGACCTGATTCTCTAGAAGAACGCATGTCAACAGCTGTATTACACACTCCACTCCAAGGTACTTAAACAGCAGACGCAACGGGAAGTCGAGAAGGGGTAACTCGGTAGCTAGGAGCGGACGTTGAAGGATCAGGGCGATTGCGGGTAGATGCGGCTCTGTGGGCGGCATGTAGACGCGGATGGACTTTCCCGGTTGGGGCAGCATAACCTCGTAGAGTATGTTGTATACGTATGACTCTAAGCTTATACCAGCACCGGGCTGCCGTGGAAGACATCTAAGTAATAAAAAATTAAATATTTTTTCCTTGTCGACTTTTACTTCCTCCAACTGACCTGTACAGATTCTTGAGAAACATCTGGGCGGCAAAGGCGTAGGGAGCCTGGCATATTAGCGTGATGCTTTTGGCAACGTACAGCTTGTCCTTGTTAATGTCGTAGTAGCTTTGTGCAGATTGCGGCGCCTGTCCGGCCACCTTGAAGTGCCTGGGCAATGAGCGACTGACAGGACCATCCTGTTTCACCCGGCTGAGCGAGTGAGTCTGCTGACCGTTGGACAGCTCCGTGATAAACATGCTTTGCAGCGTGTGGATGGCACCGCAAATATTACGGTTACGGATCTCCTCGTAGAACACCAGGCTGAACCCATAACACCGCTTTCCATCCTCCCGTGTGGTGGCAAACGAGTGGAATCTGGGCTCAATGCTATGCTTCTGGGTGCGGAAGCGCAGGCCCTGCGGCAGGGAGAGCTGTGAGAGACAAACAGAGGGCGGGGTGATTTCTCGATTTCAAGTGCTGGTCATAAATAAAATCCATTCATTCGAACACATGCCCAGATGCCGAGATAAGAAGGTTTATCGCATCGGAGGCAAAGTCGTATTCGTGGCATCAATTAGAAGTGCTCCGCTCTCCACTCGCAACTCATATCATTGAGCTGGGTAGCCAAGCATGAATTTCGACCGAAAGGGCAGCCAATTGAGTTCAATTAGACATGAATATGGATTAGGGTGGGTCGGCTGTTTTGCATACGAAGATGTATGTAAGGTATATTTTAGCTCTTGTTGACGCAATTCAGAAACTCTTGCTGTGTTTTAAATATATGAGGAGTTATTCATTTAAAACTGAATTACAAAAAAATTAATTTTTTATGGAACGAAATATTAAAATTTGGTTAAACTCCTACAAACTCTAGATACAATGACCTAATTTCATTGACACTTATTTATCCATCATCTTCTGACCTAAAAACACATTTTCATCAAATTTTGTATCAGGACATGACGTTAATAATGAAATTTTTTCGCTGACCTAACCGATCCACCCTAACAGAAATGGTATAACAGTGACTTGAAATAGAGTCTGGATTTACCATGCAAATGCCGTGGGCATCAAAGGGGTTCCAGGGCACATTCTCGGGATAGTGGGCTAGTGGCTTGCTCTTGTAGGCGCGGTCCAAGGGCGAGCAATGAAGGTTGTCCCCTGAGAGGCAGGAATAGAATTAATCCCAAGAGGAATTTCGACGAGCGTTCACTTACCCGCAAATCGATCCGGCTCCAGTCCTGTGTCCAGATCCAGTCCGCATATCACAAAGTAATCGGCGAAGCGCGAGAATTGCGGGTCAGCGTCGCGCTTTAGTTGGTTCAGCTCGGACTGGGATTGAGACTGCTCCCCGGGCGAGGTGGGCGATTGTACATGAGTGGAGGATGGAGGCACCTGGTGGTTGGGGCCACTTCCGCTGCCATTTCCACTCCCGCTACCGAGCATCAGCTTGGACAGGCGACTAGTAACAACATTTTCCCTCGTGGTCATCGCTCCGGGTCGACGTCCTCCTCCCCCGTTTCTCTTACTTCTTTGTCTTTAATCCGCCAAATGGGACATCAAACATAAAGTGCTGTCTCCATGTGTGTGCGTGTGCTGCTTGTGTGTGTATACATGTACCGTTATGCGCTCGCGATTTCGTGCACTTTCCAATTTACACAACCAATCAATTTCCGTCTGCAAAGATACATACGTTTTTGGGTACAACAACAACGCAAGTGCTATTTTTACGTATTTTTTTTTATTTTTACTTTCAACGAAAGTGTGTGTGTGTAAAGGAGAGTGTATGCAAAATTTTCTATGCCAATGTCGTTGCCTACGTCCACCACCAATCACAACAAAAAAAAACGTCAAACGCAAACACTCTCCTCCTCCTCTCTTCATATACACCACCTCTTCCAAATTTCACTCCTTCAACTTTAACTCACAAGAGGACCGTTGAAGCTGCTTTCATTTTATCACAAGGCCCAAAACCAAAACTGGGTTATAAACTAGCTGCGTCTTTGTTTGGACCTACCAACAACAGCAGCTGGGCAAATAAGTACCGTGGACCAGACGAGACCTGAATTTTTTTGGCGAAAACAAACTACTTATAGTGATGTAAATAAACATCAATCTATCGAGCATCGATGTTTTTGCCGATATTTTTCGATAACGATGTTATGCTGTCATCAGCTGTTTTCCGTCTGTTAATTTTAAAGTTTTTTTTTTTACCTTTTAAACACTCCAAATTTAGAAACGAGTTAAAGCATTATGCATATACGGACAATTTAACCCTATCGTGGCTTCTTGTTCAATAAATACCGTAACAGGGTGATTATGGCGTCGGAACCAGTTCGTAAGCGGGGGAGTTTGGGTAGTGAACCATCATGCAGTCAGCAAGGAACCAGTTCTGAACCGGAGTGCGACCTGACGTGAAAAAGTGTATCACATCACATAACATTTCGTATTAAATTGGAACGTAAATTAATTCCCCGTCAAGTCAGGAGTTGTTTCCGGAAAAAACGAGTGCCGTGGTGTGGCGTTAAGGTGGGAACGTCAAGAAGGAGCACTCCCAAATCGAAACGAAAGAATCCAACATCCCCCGCATGCGATTGATTGTTTGATTGAAAGCACGAGACCACGAGTTTTTGGGGATGCACTCGTCACTCAACTGGACCTCGCGCCTGATCTCGCGCGCCTTGCGCAGCAGCTTCTCAACGCTTCTGGAGACGGCCACAGGCGGTGGAGGAGGGGCAGCCGCAAAAGGGGCCGCTAAATCGGGGGCAGGATCAGGATCCTCGAGCAACCCCCGACCCCGTTTCGTGTCCGTGGTGTGCGGTTTCGCCAAGGACAACCTGCGACACAAGTACAAACCGGGTAAATACGGCGAGGACTCATGGTTCAAGGCCTCGACAGCAAGTGCCGACGTAATGGGCGTGGCTGACGGCGTGGGCGGCTGGCGAAGCTATGGCATCGATCCCGGCGAGTTCTCCTCGTTTCTGATGCGGACCTGCGAACGCCTAGTGCAGTGCAGCCATTTTAATCCCCAGCGACCAGTTAACTTGCTGGCATACAGCTATTGCGAGCTAATGGAGCAGAAAAAGCCCATCCTCGGCAGCAGCACTGCCTGCGTTCTGATTCTCAACCGCGAGACGAGCACCGTGCACACGGCCAATATCGGGGATAGTGGCTTCATTGTGGTGCGACAGGGTCAGGTGGTGCACAAGTCAGAGGAACAGCAGCACTACTTCAACACCCCCTTCCAACTTTCGCTGCCGCCGCCAGGTCATGGCCCGAATGTCCTCAGTGACAGTCCTGAGTCAGCGGACACCATGAGTTTTCCGGTGCGAGATGGTGATGTGATCCTCATCGCCACGGATGGAGTGTTCGACAACGTGCCCGAGGATCTGATGTTGCAGGTGCTCAGTGAGGTGGAGGGTGAACGCGATCCCGTCAAGCTACAGATGACGGCCAACAGCCTGGCGCTGATGGCGCGCACCCTGTCTCTCAACAGCGAGTTCCTCTCGCCCTTCGCCCTCAGCGCCAGGAGAAATAACATTCAGGCGCGAGGCGGCAAGCCGGACGACATCACCGTTGTCCTGGCCACCGTGGCCATGTGAGAGCGGTGCCCCAACCCCTCCCTAGTGATTAACGTTTACTTGTAGTCCGTACGTGTTTAGTTAGCTTTAGGAGCCTGTTCTGTGGTTCTGTCTACCGTTTAAGCTGCATGTTGAGATTGAGATCGTGGATGACGATGATGAAGACGACACAATGACGCAACGACGAACCTTTGACCCCATGAATTGTTAGTTACATATATACATACGAGCCAACTCATTTTGAACCGACGAACTTCGACGCATCCTGGTGAGCGACCCCCGCTTTGGTGGTATACATAACCCTCGCTATAAGTAGAGAAATACGAATTATCTGCCCGGGCGATCTCTGTCGTCAGTGGCATTCTAATCACCACAAACAATAAACAAACAACCGATTGCGAAACAAACCCCTACGTCGAGGATCACGAATACGAGTCCGGGATCTGGATGGTGGACCCAGAGGAAACGAACGGAGTTGAGTGCAGCTATCTGACTGAGGACTGTGGATTAGCCATTTATCCAGGCGAACGAACTGTCTTTAAAAAATTTATGTCGAAATGTACTCACTGATATTTGCGACCCAATAAAATTATTCAATGAAAAACAACGAATGTGAACTGTAGTCTTTTTTTACATAAATTAATTAAATCAATAAATATTCATATGTAAACAATAAAAAGTACGGATAACTTAAATAGAACGTTCTAATTGCTTAGATTAACTCATGGCCAGAAAGATGTAAATTAATAGATACAGCAGAGGTCAGATTTATAGCACTTGGGAAAGAGTCCTTTCTGGGTAAAAAACGTTTATTGCAAGTAACAATATATTTTTTTAAATATACTAAGTTTAATGTTATAATTGATTTTCTTATCTGGAAGAAATCGATTGCGCTTCTGTGACGCAGGCTTATGTATATGAATGAAGGTGTTAAATCAATATTATATACAATTTGACTTTATATATAACACATCTTTCTAATTAGCAAAAAAAATTTAACTTAATGGCTACATTTGCGGAAAAATAAAGAAGTGTTCTAAATTAAAATTTAATAATGAGTCTGTAAACAAACCAAAAACGAAACCCTGTCTGGTAACGAAAGCAAACAAAGTTCATACATACGTAAGATATTAAATTTAGTTACGAATTATATTTAAATCAAAAGTAACTATTTCTCAATTATTCAAATATAAATCATCAGGAATAGTATTTTTAAGAAAGATATAATTAAATCTATACAACATTAATTTAAAATAATATAATTAATAATTAAAAAATAAATTTCCCAGTCGGTATATTTTTTAAAGCTGAATATACCAAAAATGAAACAACATTCCACCATCTGCGGTCACTCTGCAGATAAGAATCAAAACAAAAGGCGAAAAAATAGAATTTTTATTTAATAGCATGCAAAATGAGGAAATATTTTTGAAATTAAATAAATATTTGTCAGTATGTTTAGCAACAAAGACAACGTGAAGCTGTACAAGCTGAACACACACACGCGCGGATGTAACAAATCTTACGGTAATCAGCAATGGTGGATTGCGCAAACATATTTACACATTTTACGATTATTGCCAACAGATGCGGATCTGGTGATGAATCTGAAGGATCATCCCAACGCCAACGTTGGTGATGTGGTTGAGATCTATGCCCATGACGAGGAGAACGGCACTCGTCTTCTGCTCCAGATCACCGAGTTCAATGTGAGCTGTGGCCGGGATGTAATCAGCATCGAGTCGGGCATCGCCAATGCCTTTAAGATGCGTCCATACTCCAATGTGGTGATGCGCATTGTCAATCCGGCGGATGTGGCCCTGGACTCTATAGAGATAACCTTCAAAGACCAGTATATGGGGCGTTCAGAAATGTGGCGCCTAAAGACTTATTTAGTAAGCAAACAGAAACCGTCTAATCAAAATCATTGTTAAATTTATTCCTATCCCGACAGACGGACACTTGCGTATATGTTAACAAGAAAATCGACTACAACGACATGCAGATCCGGTGTCAAGTGTACGAAATGTGGTCTCAGGGCGAGCGCGTGGCCAGCGGCGTCATTACGGAGGACACCAAGATCGTCTTCCGCAGCAGCACCTCGATGGTGTACCTCTTCCTGCAAATGTCCTCTGAGATGTGGGACTTCGATATTCACGGAGACCTGTACTTTGAGAAGGCAGTAAATGGCTTTCTTACTGAGCTCTTTCAGAAGTGGCGGAAGCTAAGTTGTAACCACGAGGTGACCATCGTGCTCTTCTCCCGCACCTTCTATGCGGCAAAGAGCTTGGACGAGTTTCCCGTTCACATGCGCGACTGCCTGCAGCAGGACTATAAGGGTCGGTTCTATGAAGACTTCTATCGCGTGGCGATACAAAATGAGCGATGTGACGACTGGTGCACGGTGCTGGGCCAATTGCGAAAGCTTTTTACTTCCTACCAGGTGAGTTTATGCTTCTTTACTTACTTTTGTTTGATATCTGATTAATTATTTAACAGGCAACTGTGCTTCGCTATCACGAAAGGGAGAACATGAAAATTCCCCCCGCCACTAATTCCTCTGCCACTCAGGGCAACTTTTTGGAAGTGCTGAACATTTCCCTGAACACTTTTGAAAAACACTACCTGGATAGAACCTTTGATCGCACCGGACAGCTCTCTGTGGTCATAACCCCGGGAGTGGGCGTCTTCTCCGTGGATCGAGAGTTGACCAACATCACCAAGCAGCGCATTATCGACAATGGAGTGGGCAGCGATCTGGTCTGTGTGGGAGAGCAGCCCTTGCATGCGGTACCACTACTTAAATTTCACAACAAGGATACTACTTTAACCTCTGCCGATGACTATTCTCTGCCCCATTGGATTAATCTAAGCTTCTACTCTACCAACAAGAAGATTGCGTACTCTAGCTTTATACCCAGGATCAAACTTCCGCTTTTTGGATCTCAATTGTCACTTCACGGTGGTGTAGGCGAAGGAGAAGGCGAGGAGAATGAGCGCCACTTTCTTAGCTGCAATCAGTCGGAGTACAAGCACAACTCGCTCTTCGACTACGATGCTTATGACGAGCAAATTTTCCAGCCGTTGCCCGCTCAGAGTACATGGTAGGATTGCGCTACATAGCTCCTTCCTGTGATCTTAAATGTATATTGTTCTTCTTAGCTCTTTGCAGCGCGTTGTGAGGGCCAAGAAGACTTCGGTGCCCAGCCTGGAGACATATGCTTATAGGAATAACGACTGGGAAAACCTTACGCCCACCCAAATCCCGGCTATGCGACGTAAGATGTCGGATCCTGACATTCATCACGGCACCTCTGCAATGCTAGCGGCTTTGGTAAGTGACTACAGAATTCGCCATTGTCATGGATCTTCACAGTTTCTCCATCTGATTATAGCAACCTGATACCACGAATCTCTCAGAGTCATTGGCATCAGAAAAGAACTCGCGCAGAACCATTGTTAGCATTGCACCCATAGTGCGACCGGGACGGGCCCTGATTAACCCTTTCGATCCCTCTCAAGTAACCATCAAGCTGACTTCCAATCGACGCCGCTGGACTCACATCTTTCCAAAGGGACCAACCGGGGTGCTTATACAACAGCATCACTATCAAGCGGTGCCCGCAAAAACCACACAGGCAACTCAGCAGAGACCACTGCAACAGATACAGAACAACAGTCAGTCCGGAGGCAACAACAACAACGATCAGGAGGACTACGGGTGCGAGAGTGGAGAACAGTACGACCGAGTGTCTAGCCATTCTTTGCTGAGCAAATCAGCATCCTCGCAAAGCTTTGTGATGGGAGATGAGAAGATTGATTGTGAGCAATACCAAATCCTAATGGGAGACCTTCTGGAGAAATCCCTGAATATTTTTTACCCATAGTTTTCAAAAGACGTCAAAACTCACTGATGAATGCTTTGCCCGCCAACGTGCCCAACTTGACGGCCACCCAAGCAAAGTCGTATCTCTGGGGAGCTACCGGGGAGCAGGAATGGACACCAGCAATTACCACGGGTAAGTGTTGCTCAAACAGTTTTGGTTTTTATTTTAGAGATCGTATCGCGGGGTAAATAATTCAAGGGCACCAGTTGAGATGTCCCTCAAATATTCGGTGCAAAATCAGAACCCAGCCAGTTTAGCTTGGTTTAACCCGCGGAAATGTTTCTCCAGTTCCTGCTTGTGCTGCTCTCCTTGGCCTACCAAATCGGGGCCAGAGAGAGCTTCGTGCGTCCCTCTGACTTAGCTCAGTTTCTGGACAGGATTGGTCGAGTCCATCGTCTGCATGCCATTACTATTGTGTACAGTTTGGGATCAATAAATCCCAGCTATCTGGATAACCTCCATCTCGAACTGATGTGCAACAGCAGCAATCACTTTTATTTGCTGCCGCAAATGACGGCCACCTTTGAGAACTCTTCGCGTGTACGCTTCAGTAGGATTCAGGATGAGGAAACACTGTACTTGGTGTTTGCCAGGGACTCCAGGGATGAGGTGATACATTTGCAAGCGCAAAGAGCCAGAGGAAGACGCTATTCCAAGACCATGTTCCTGCTCAGAGATCAGGAGTCCCAAGAAGACCTAGAAGATTTTTTTAAGCTCTTATGGCAGCTGCAGTTTCGTTCCGCTTTAGTAGTGGTGGCCGCACAAAAGTTCTACCAAATGGATCCATATCCTACTATTAGGGTGATACGCATGCGGAGACTATCCTCCTATGATCCGCATCACCTATTTCCGCTTCCTAATCGAAACAATTTTAGGGGCTATATGTTACGTATGCCCGTTCAGCAGGATGTGCCGAACACCTTTTGGTACCAGAATCGCAGGACGAAAAACTGGGAATTAGACGGCTTAGGTGGAATCTTGATCACCCATTTGATGAGGCATTTGAATGTGACCTTGGATATGTATGCTTTCAAGGTGAACGATTCCGTATTGATGAATATGACCGCTCTTGTGGATCTGATTATAAGCGGTGATGTGGAGCTGAGTCCGCATTTGTATGACACTTTACATCCGATCAACGATGTGGACTACTCTTATCCAGCGCAGATGTCTCAGCGCTGCTTCATGATCCCTTTGGACAATGAAATTTCAAGGAGCCTGTATGTGTTTCTTCCCTTTAGTTTTCCCCTTTGGCTGTGCTTGCTATTCACATTGCTTCTGGTGCAGTACGTCTTTGTTCGCCGCCTGATGCCGAATGGCAATCTGTGGGCAATATTAGGAGTGCCAGGAGCTGGAGCAGCCAGATGCTGTAACCGAAAACCGGTCGGATGTATGTCCACACTTCTGATCCTCCTCGGGATCTTTATCATAGTCCAATCGTACAGTACCAAGCTCACATCTTTTTTGACTGTAACTCTTACACGGAGACCTACGAGCAGCTTGGACGAATTTTTCAACCTGCCATATCGTATCCTAATATTGCCATCGGATGTGAACGTCATAGTGGGTTCCTTGGGTCATGCGCAGGAGTTTAGTACAAAGTTCAGCTTCACAAACCCCGAGAACTTTAACCAGAAGAGAATTGGCATGGATCCGGATTACATTTACTCAATCAGCCAAATTCGGTGGCGTTTCTTCGATTTGCAACAGCGTTTCCTGAGGAAGAAGCGCTTCTTTTTCTCTAGGATTTGCCAAGGCACCTTTCCATTTCAGTACCAGCTCCGTGTAGACTCTCATTTTAAGGACCCCCTTCATCGCTTCCTGCTGCATGTCCAACAGGGTGGTCTTCAAGATCTTTGGCTTGAGACGTGCTATCGAAAGGCCCATCTTATGGGCTATTTAAAGGACTTCTCTACATTGGCGGATCTGGAGGAGAAACTGCAGCTCCGACCGCTGGCCCTCAACCTGCTGGTGCCTGCCTTCAGTCTGTTTCTGTGCGGACTGGTGGGCAGCGGAATCGCCTTCCTGGTGGAGATCCGCCAGAGCTTCGGGTGCAGACAAAAGCCACCGCCCACTAACAGCAACCCCAGGGATTAATGCATTCGAAGTAGCTCATCCTAACCAGAAACCCTTGTCGAAATAGAAACGAATACTAAGTCTAATCTAATTTTACGTATGATTCACATTATTCCCCTCCACCCACAAACGCCACGAATGAAACCCAATCGGATCTAACCAACGAATCGAAATTTGCAACCCATCATAAACGTATTCCATCGAATTCCATCCATTGGTTGTTTAGTCAAGCATCTGAGGCCAATCGTCGAGGGCGAGCATCATCTGGGCAGCCAGGAGGCACTATGGGATGTAGACCCGCCCCCCGAACCAGAGGCGGGCGGCGGAAGAGGAAAGATCATCATAGGTTTGGACAAAAACAAATTCACCACTTTTGAAATCTGTACAAAGCATTAGCAATGCATCCAAAACACAAGCACACAAAAACACACATGCAACCATATAAAAAACACGATTAAGTTTTTTAGGATCCTTGGATCTGTAGGTTGGCTTTAATGTAGTTATATACGCGGGAGCTGATGTAGAGGCTTCCCTGTACTTAGTACCTGCTTTGCTTAGAAAACTCAATAACTGCTGGAGGTAACTAGTATATCAGGTATATAGAATCCTTTAAGGCAAAGTCAGTAATATTATCGATTTTTGTTTTTTAATATTAATTGATTTAATTTTGAGTTGTATAGGACAGTTAGGTTTTGTAAGATTATAACTATATTTGCTTAAGATAATATATTCTTTTTTTTTCATATTTAAAGTCATATAGCTTTTGATTTTAAACATTTGGAAAATCAGTTAAAAATATGAAGTATTTATAAACAAAAAGAATAATTATTTATGTGTTTAATATCATGGAAAGCAATACCATAGCAGTCAAACCAACAATAAAAATAGTTAGAAAATTACAGGTGTAATCGATAGCATCATATTTGCTTATGGGTGACCCTTCATCCAAGTCTGTAGATTATCTATGCTTTGCACTCACCCGCTTAAACTCCCGATGCCTGGCCCTGCACCACAGAAACTCCTGCATGTAGTTACTCATCCACTATAACTTAGCCTAATCCGTAGTTGGTAGAAAGCCACCCAAAACTGCACAACCCAGAAACCCCAACCGAAAACCGCGCACAGACACACCCATCGGGAGGTGGTTGATGACCTCTATTTGGTAATCCTCACGGAGATGGGAGCATGTTGACCATTAGAGCATGTCCGGCATGTTTCCATTGTGTAGTTTTGTAGCTCTAGCATGCTTGCCACGCCCACCTGCCCACCTGTATTTCGTACGCACACCCTCCACACGCTAACCCATCCGTTGGTGACTGCTCTCGTTCCCGGACTGGAGTCCTCTTCCCTCTTTGGTTATGATTTCCGTAGTCCTTCTAGCTTGAGCGATTTTAATTTACACACCTGTACCGGCGTTGGCTTTCTCTTTGCTCTGATCCCTTACCCTTCTTCTGAGAATCCTGCTAATCCCAGGTGGATCCGTTTGCAGGCGTCGACTGGAAGTCGCTCACGATCCCCGCCTGTCTGCCCATTACTACGGACTACTTCCCAGACAAGCGTTCCTTGAATAACGATTATGTAATCTCGGATTACACTCTTCTGCCCGATGATGTTAATCATGATTATGCCCAGAGTAGAGCTGTTTATCGGAAACCCCTTTCCACGGAGGAGGTGTGCAAGGAGATCGTTTCGCAGCGCTTGGCTCAGGGCTTCCAGCTTATCGTGGTTGATGAGAAGCCACTACCTGCGGGCGGTTGCTCCTCTGGATCTACTGTGCTGCCGGTGAAGCCACCATGTGAGATTAACAAGGAATACCTGCTCTCCATTGGTCGCATATTCCATAAGATCTCGCTGATCGGCTCGGTGATCACGGTCACTGGCTACAGACCCAGGTGACCTTTACTCGATTGGTTTCCCATTTGAATGCCATAATAATTCTCCCTTCTTTTAGACACCCGTATCCTCCCATAAATGTGGACTACCGGTACCGCTTCCATGCACCACAACACGAGACGTACGAAATCTCTGGCGTGAACTTCACCACAGAGAAACTGGAGAACTTCAACTGGAACCACATGGATTTGTACATCTGTACGCGTGGCGACGTTGATTACCCACTAATGGAGGTATATTCCAAAATACATCTTAGACTTCCTGTCAGTAATAAGACCTCCTATTCCAGAGCCTTAAGTACTGGCGCTATCGCATGTACCTGTTGCCCAGGGAGAACATTGTGAACAAGATTGCCAGTTGCCAGCGTTGTGACATATTCCCGGATGTGACCGCGGATAATACCCGGGAACAGGTCGAGGACTTCGTCCGACTGATCGAAGCGGTCAGCAAGCTGAAGCGCCAGTTTGCGCGCAAGGCGAGAGTAAGATAGAAACGATTCTTTGGCTTGGCTTTTGTGCATTTGTGATCCGTTGCGTTAATTCTGTAATTGCGTTCTGACTCCTAATTGACTAATCGTCCTGCCAGCGATGTCGACGGTGAATCAGTCGAGAATTGATTGGCCATATAGCAATCTAGAGCTCTTAAGTTAGTTCGTTCAAAAAAATTCTTTTACAGTGATCAATTAACATTTAGGAAACAATATAAGAAGTCTTTTGGAGTTCATAATTTATTTAAAAGAAAAACATACTTTAAATTTCCAAAACTTTTGAAATTGCCTTTTTAAAATTCAAAAATTAATCATTTAAAAAAAATGAATATATATAAAATATGTGGTTCTTATAACATGTAAAGATAAGAAGCGTAAAACTAGAACTGCTGAATTAATTAACCTTGCATCACAAAGCCCGCTTTTAGTGCCCGTTGCCTTCCCCTGATGTATCGAGTATCTCGCCTCACTTTTGCAGGACAGCCCCATCGCCCACATAACCAAGCGGAGACACAGCACCAGCATTATATCCAGGCCTCAGCCTAACCAGGTTATCTACTCAACTTATCTCAAAATTTAATGTTAAAGCAATAGTTTTTGTTCCATCTTAAGTGCGCACTTGTCGCTTAATTTCGACCGTAATTAACTTTCATCTGCGCACGTTTGAGTTCAATAGTTTTGATTAATTCGATTGAATTTGGTGATAGATCGGATTTATCTAATGTTCTTTGTATCTCTTTTAAATGTCTCTCTCGTCCCGCCACCCACTTTCGACCTGACCCAATCCGATCCGAATCTGACACCGAATACAACTCCTCAGGGACTTACGAACTCTCCGTTCCGGGAGAGAGTCGGCAGTAATCGACTGCCGGAGAAGCGACCCAGGTTTTTATATCGACTCCAAAACATAGATCTAAGGCCCCTTATCTTTCTTGTACACAAACATACACCCACACCAAACGCACATAAAAACACTGTACTTGCATTCGCATAAACCAGGAACCGTATGGATTATTTGGCTTTTTTTTTAATTATTTAATTATTACTATTCCTGTGTTCAAAGTAGAACTAAATTGTATTGACAATAGGATTCTGATAAACTTTTACTTCAAAGTAGCTATAAAAATGAACAAGTCTCAAGTATAAAAATTTTAATTTTAATTGGTTTTTAGAGGAATTTGTACTTGCGGTCCCTGGTATAACTTGCACGAATCGCCGGGAATTTGGTTGGCTAGCTGGTTTGCTCCCAGGATCCAAGGAATACTGGGCCTAGGCTAATTGTATATACTGTTGCTGGCTTGTTGTTTGGTTATTATCCCTTTTTTGTATTGTACTCGTAGTCCTGTTGTTTTGTGCATCCCGTTTTATAGATTTTGTTGGTTGGCTTTTTATTTCCTTTGGTTTTGTTACGTATTTTATATATAATTTAATTTGGTATTTGGCTTTCAGCAGCATGACACACCTAGAATCACTGAAAAGCATCATAACCAATTAAACTCACAGCAGCAAAGGTTTGTGCCACTTAGAGGGTCAGGATGCACTCCGTGTCCTGGCTCCGTTTATCTCTCACTCGTCTAATCCCCTCACAACCACATACCCAAAATCCCTAACCGACACACGCAATTGGCCTGCTGAATCCTGTATCCCCAACCCAGATACACATACACCAGACCCACCATGGACAAAGTACTTTATCAGATGAATTACCCCACAGACCTATCTAATCCACTTATTTCTGCTCCCCCTCATGACAGCATCAATGTGCGTCCAAAGCTGGAAAATGGTCGGATTCCGCGTATATTTCCCGCCACCGATGCAGTTGCAGCAGCAGGAATCGCCGCCAGAGATGACCAGGATGATGGGTGAGTCTTCCCCTGAAGAGTAGTTTCAGTAAAGTTTCTTATTGTATTTCGTTCCAGTTTCCCCGTTGACATTAAGTTCAGTCCGAATGCCACGCTAGCCGAGATCTTTGAGGCCATGAAGCATCCAGTAACTGGTGTGGGCTACTTCTCCCAGACCCAGTCCTTGCCTTCCTGCACCTTTGTGTCCTACGATGCACTGATGTGGTTAAAAACCCGCCTGAACAATGGACGACATCCCCTGGAGTTGCTGGAGGCCATGCGCAAGTGGGTTTCTTAGATCTAACGAGAACAAAATGTATTAATTAAAGATTTCCTTAAGGGAGCGCATGATCTGCCATGCTTCAGGTGATTGGAAGAAGTCTGTGGTGCCTGGATTTGTGTTCTACTATGTGGTGCAGCAGGATAAGAATGCCAAAGGTGGTGTATTTTATAGTTTTATTTGGTCTATTAATAACCTTTTAATAAATCCCTTTTTATTTAGATTTTGCACCGCCCTTGGGTGACTACAGCGCCTTTGTTAACGAGTGGCTAGAGATTGAGTTCCAGGGATGCAGCTTTCTCTGGCATGATGAGCCGGTGACCACCCCAGTGCCTAATTTCCTGAGGGATTCACCCGCTCCACAGTCCTGGACAGAAACCTGCAGTAACAGTTCATACTTATATTCACCCGCAATACCAGTAAAATAATAAATCGCAATTTGTAGAGCGTGTCTACCGCCAGTCGCATTTGGAGATCGATGTTAATCAGAAGAGTGATCGGATGGAGTGGGGTCATGTCAAACACCACACAGTGCTGCAGCCAAGATTCGCCTTTGAAATAGTGGTCGAGTGGGTTACCTCGTCAGGTCCCATAGTAGCTGATTTGGTAAGTATAAACTTCAGAAAACAAGAAAAATAAATATATCTAATTTAATCTTGTTTATCACTATAGATTGGAGGATGGATGCGAAAGGCAAATCAGTTCAATTTTCTGGTATCGGTGCCGGCAGATCCTATGGCGGAGCCTTTCACCAAGAAGTCAGATCCTCTGCGAGGACCCATTTTCATTCCGCTTTGCACGACATTCCTGCCCAATGGTGTTCCTCTTTTTGATGGTATATTCTTAACCTACTTTCACATTATCACCATTAACCTTGTATTATTTCTGCAGAATTTCCCGAGGAAAGTAGATCCGATCGTATGTTGTTCTTGCAGGAGGCCATTCTGTCCAAGTTTGGATTCTTACCTTGCGTATTGGAAAAAAAATTTAGCGTCGGCAAAGATGTGAGTGAGACTATTATTTCATTTTTAAGGATTTTTCATATTCTAGTTTTATGTTTTAGCTGCCCAAGGAGTATCAGTATGTGCACTGTACGGGCAACATGTTTGCTTTAATACGGTAAGTTTTACTTATACATAAGTATACCCCTTGATACCCTCTAATCTCTCATTTCGTCCAGTTGCGCTACTAACAATTATCAGGTGGAGTCTCCCATTCTGCAGAGGGCAAATGTCACACGTTGCGTCTATGGGCACACGAACAACACGAATGTACCTAAGAAAGTGGGTTTTCTATGGGCCTGGAATCACATGATCCCGAACAAGAAATGGAAGGCCCAGACTATCAATAACTCCGCGGATGGTGAGCTTTTCCAGTTAAAGATGCTGAAGGACTTCCGTGAATTCTGCTCGAACAGCGATCAGCGCCTGTCCACTTTCTGGACGCAGTCCCAAGAACTGAAACGCAAGGCCCAGAAGTTTGAGAATAACAATAACAACACCGATGAGGTAAAGCTTAAAGCTTAGCAAACGAAGTAACAAGTGTACATAACAATATTAAAACTATATTCAAATTGGATCGAATACAAGCTTAAGTTGTATTATGAAAATAATAGGGTTGCGATGTGGTAACCAGAAAGATATCACAATACCAGACAATGGTATGATACGGTACTAGCATCCGAAATTTTGAAATATATTTATATAACAAACTTCCATTTTAGATTGACTCTTACTAGAAATTGCATTTATTTATCGTAATAAACTCAACACGTACATAATTTCCAGGGGATAAAAAGGTGAATGGAAATACACATTCAATAAGCTTAGGGGTCTTAAATGCTGCTAGGGGTTTGCGTCCAAATTAGCCCTTGTTATAGGGCGAGTAGTCAATAGATATATGTGTATACTCCCGTTTGGAGCAGTGGCTATAGGTGGTTTCTTGGCTAAAGCTAACCTTTTTGGCTCTCTCTTCTTGGGGCTAGCTTGCATTTACTTTATTTGTGACGGCTTTGGTCGTATGGTGTTATATTAGTTGTAGTTTACGATGACCTGGTTACGGGTTACTGGTGCTGTTTATGGTGCTTCTGTTGCTGTGGTTACACTGCTGGTGATTCTTATTAAATGCTTTGGTATGCTGAAGGACGCAATTGGGTTTAATCTTCATCCCTCAGGAACGATGCCAGCTGCTTGCGGTCCCGACGCAGCCAGGCGGCGTTTAGGCGGATCGTCTCCACTGCCTGGGATACAGTACGCTCGCAGCCGGGAATCTGGTTGACCTGGAAAAACTCCTCTACCTCCTTGGCTCGCTCCTCGGAAGCGAAATTCTCGATGAGATACTTGATCAGTCGGGAGAGCAAGAAGCCACCCTGGGATAAGAAAATATATACTTTAGGCCAGCTTTATGATAACAAAATGAAAAGTTTCTCTTACCTGATAGCGTTCCAGAAGCAGTTTGTTGTTCTCCTTGAAAAAGTCCCAAGCCATGTCACGACCCTTGGGATTGATGGCCACGGCAACAATTACAAATACAGAGTCTTGAGCTCTCACTTCACCCTAAACAATATAAGATCGGTTAACACAGATACCCAACCCTTAAAGGACAGAGTACTAACCGACATGGCAAAGTCAATGACCCGGCGCAACAGCTTAGTATCCCCGCAGCATCCCAGGGCTCGCGAGATGCGGTCCTGTTCCTCGTGCAAATCAGTCGCTCTGTACAGCTCGAGCATTTCCTCAAAGATCTTCTCATCGCCATCCTGGAGGACTGCCTTGTAGCAAGCAGTGCGTAGATCGGCTGGCAGCGGATTTGTGCCATTCACATGGCTGCGGAACCGCTGTTGAGCCTCTTCAATGGTCTCCTCACTGCGGAAGGAGACGAGGCGCGTGAGCACAAGGCTCCTGAGCAAAGTGTCCAGATGATTCTCCCCGTCGCGTGGTTCCCAACCCAGGCGATAAGCTACCGGCTCGTACAGATTCCTTCCGAAGCGATGGAAGTCCTCCATAAGATCCGTATGTGAAATAAGGATGTGCAGATTGGTAAGCGAGTTGGTTATCGCAGTCCATACAGTATAGTTGGTTTCGTTCCTGTACGAATCTACCAGAGCCAGAACCTCGGCAGTACTTGCGTGACCCGCCTGCACCATGGCAAACATATCATCGATTAATCCCAGGCGATCCAGCGGCGGCAACTCCACCTTCTCAACCGCGGGCATCAGCTTTTCTAACATATCTTTCGAGTAGCGGGTACGGTAGTAGCCCACAGTTCCGGGGTTGATCTTGATCCAATCGCCTTCTTCGACATTATCAAGGGTTACCTCCATGGAGGTTTTGTCAAGCAAGAAGGTTTTGGCAATTCCTGTGGGATTCTTCGAGGTGGACACCGAAATGGGCACCACCCATAAGCAGTTCTCATCCGCCTGAGATCCATCCGCAGTAAACTTGCACTGCTTCAAGCGAAGTAGGCGTTGATTTTTTCCAGTCTGCTCCGATTCTACGCTGATCACCGGGAAGCCCTTGTGCTGAGTCCAAGAAGTCATAACCTCACCAACGTTCTTTGAGCTGGCTTCCTGCAGAGCTGCCCACAAATCCTCGGTGCACGTGTTTCCATACTGATGGCGAGTGAGATACAGATTCATTCCCTTTCTGAAGTCATCCTCTCCAATGTAGTCGTGAAGCATGCGAATCACTGAGGCACCCTTATTGTAGCTGATTTCGTCAAAGATCTCGTCGATTTCAGATGGGTGACCCACTGGCACCTCAATGGGATGCGAATTTTTAAGAGAATCCAGCTCCAGAGCACGTGTGTACATGTCTGTGACAAACTGCGTCCAGATGTCATACTCAGGGAACAAGTGGTGCACGCACAGGAACTCCACAAAAGAGGCGTAGCCTTCGTTCAACCACAGATGGGTCCACCATTCCATGGTTACCAGATTGCCTGCAAGTAAAGGTTTCAATAAAAAAAAAAACAATCTTTACGTTCTTTCTTAAGTTGAACTTGTTAGGGGAATACCCTTAAAGAATAGAAATTCATTGAAAATATCAAAGTCAAGACATTGACACTAAAACCCAAAGGAAGAATAAATTCCCAAGTAATTTGCATACCAAATTGGGTTTCAGGTGATTCTGCGTCAGACGAGCTGAACTGAATACACCAGAGACGAATAATCTTGAAGATATTTTATAGATCAAAGACTGCTGCTGAATTTAAATCCAGTCCATTGGGTCTTTCGAAATATTTGAGTCAGGGCAAAACATTTACTTCTTTGACACCGGATATGGTCCGCCTGTAAGTACTTACCGAACCACTGATGGGCAATCTCGTGACCCACTGTCAGGGCAATTGACTGCTTGCGCATCAGCGAGGTGTTCTTGGGATCCACCAGGACGAAGGTCTCGCGGTAGGTGACCAGTCCCCAGTTCTCCATGGCGCCGGCAGAAAAGTCGGAGATGGCGATGAGATCCATCTTGGGTAGTGGATAGGCGATATTGAAGTAGTCCTTGTAGTAAGGTAGCACCTTGGTGGCCACCTCCAGAGCAAAAGTGCCCTGCTCTCGTTTGCCAACAGGTGTGAAAACCCTGACTAGAACGCCATCGTCGGACTTGCCCTCCACATAATCGTATTCGCCAACAACAACGGCCACCAGATAAGTGGACATGATAGGTGTACGGTCAAAACGCACTCGCCGGAGTCCGTCTGACAGGGAATCTTCCTTTAAGACCGGCATATTAGACAACGCCACTCGATCCTTTGGCACCACCAGCGTAATGTCGAAGGTCGCCTTGATGGCCGGCTCGTCCCAGCAGGGGAAGCAGCGCCTGGCATCGGTGGCCTCAAACTGGGTGACTCCTGCGTATCGCTCTTCGCCGTTGGGCCCGAAGTACTTGCTCCTGTAAAAGCCCTTCATTTTGTCATTCAACTCCCCCGTAAAGGACATGTGGAGGACTCCTTGAGTCTCGGCCGGGATCTCCTGGGCAAACTCCAGCGTGGCGGTCTCGTTTTCCGTGGAATACAAAATCTTCTCCGGCTTCAACTTGGTGCACTCATAGTTAAGCTCCACCGAATCAATGACAATGTCCAGGGCATTTAGGGTTATTTGGGTAGTGGGCTCCTTGACCTGCAAGATAATCAATCAACGTCAGTAACCGTTAGGTGAGCAACCCGAAACATAAGTTCGAAAACCAGTAAGCAGAAACAGTTAGTCAGGTCCGAGAAGAATGGACAGAATCTACAAACAGTTACTTCAAGGTCGTAGAAATGCGGCTTTCTTGGCTTTGTTGTGGGTTTCCGGCTTAAGCCAGGCAATCACAGCGGTTGAAAACGAGTTTTTTGGCGAAATTCATACACTGCCCAAAAGAGGATCCAACCGATTGAAAGTCTAATTTATAACTAAGCGAATGGTAATGTAATTCTTTCACCTGCCTTATCAGATTAATCAAGTCTTTGCTAAATGCCGGCTTAAAAAGCATTTCCAATTTGCATAAAGTTGCAGTTTAAACCACTTTTTGTTGTTGGTCAAGATGAATATACAAGCTAAGGCTTTTATAAAATAAATTATTCAAGTTTTAATGGATATGAAAAATATCATTAAAACTTAATTAAAATAAAAAAAAATTTGAATGATGTTTATATTTTGATGGTAAGATATGGTATTAGATTATCATATTAAATATACATATTCCACTATACATTTTCAACTTCAAATTTGAAAGACTCTTAAATGCAAAACTGCATATTATTAATTTCATAAAAATTATAAAATATTCAAAGTTAAATAATAATTATCTTAGTACTAGGGTACCAAAAGTGCGACTTGAGAGCTTTCGGTCGATTCCGCCGTTGACGCAAACTAAACGTAAACAAAATCCACCGTTATGAGCGGCATTTGCAAAAAGAGATTGTCTCGAATAAATTTTGCGCGGTACCCTCGAGTGCCACATCCAAATCGCCAGTCATTCCTTCTGCCGACAAAGAAATCGCACTTCCTAGTGGGTGTACTTATAGCTATATCTGTTCATCAGACCGAGTGTTTGCCTGCATGCAAATTGCAGCATAAAGAGAAATGTTAACAAGGAGAATGTCCGATCCCAAATATTTTTGCACACGTCAGAGGAAAAAGTTCACACAATAAGGCGCAGAAAGTAACAATGCGGGAAAAGTGAAAGTGGCTGGAGAGAGAAATGAAAAGAGACGGAATATACAGTGGGAACTTCCTAACTGAAATCATTAAATACTTGTTGAATAGATTCTTTATAGACTACTGATTGTCTCAAAAACTCAAAACAAACCCATTTTCCCAATTCCTAACCACCCATGTACTAAAATATACCTTATCTCTAATATTTCTCTGGCAAGCAAGATAAAACTGCTGATGAAGACTAACTTTCGAATAGTGCAACTAAAAGGGGCTCTATTGTACTTACATTCACTTGCACTATGGTCTTGCCCTTAAAGGTGAACTCCTGGAGGTTCGGTTGCAGCTGGAGCTCGTAGTGTCGTGGCACCACATTAGTGGGCAGTCTTTCGAATTTCGCCTTCTGGGCCATCTTGCGCTCCTGCTCCAGTTGTTCCTCCTTGCTTACTAACTGCGATTGCTGGTGTGCTCGCCTAACCTGATGGTAATTACACCCTTGATGATGACGATCCTGACCGGGAACAACGTCCGCCGATGTGTGAGCTAGGATGGCGCGGTATTGACTGCAAAGGTCTCCCAGTAAGGGGGCTTCGCTGCTTTTCAGAGGTGCTCCAAGTGAAACACAAGAGTAATCCCTGTAGAACTGCTTCTGCACCTTCACAAACTGCTTCGACGAGATTAGCGCGTTGAGGTGTCCGCTTTCTGCTCGGAAAATTGTGTTTATTGAGAGGGTCTTATCTGCGATCCTTCTAAAGTTTGGCTGCACCGGGAGGTTAACTGGAGTAGTCCAACAATGGTTAGCAACGACAGTGGAGGAGCTGTTGTTATCGCCTGGTGTTTTTAGTAGCAACAAAGGTTTGTGGGTGGCGGGAAAGAAGCAACTCTGGATGTACCTGGTTGCTAGAAAAGGGGAAAAGCTGGTTAGCACTGGGATATATAGCACACAGAGCACGTAGCGCAAAAAATTCAAGCGTGAATTGCACTGATAAGCGTTGTTATTTGATTAGCTATCGCTTTGGGGGCGTGGCGGGGGCGGTCTATAGAGCAAACCAAAGCAAACCTTCACACAAATGCTGCTCGAAATCGGAATTTGCCTTGGCTAAGTCCAAATTGAGTTTTCCCAGTTCTGCAAATACAATGGCTATTTATTAATTCCCAAGTACGAGTGCCTAATTCCGGAATTAGTTTAGCGGAGGAAAGTCACAATATGCGGCGGTAGCAAACAACACGCTTCGAGTGGCCCACTTGAAAGCGGAACGACTGGAAGTGGGTCGCTGACCGCCGATCAGCTGTTCTGCCGCCCACGCAACCCGGTAAATGCCAAATTAACTAAGTGAAACCATTGTGTAATCACCGTTTTTTAACTTCCAAGCCTGCTTAGCTGTGCGAATACCACCTTTCAGTGCATTTTTGTACATGACTTCCGACCGAAAAATAATTAAAATAAAAATAAGCACAAGCAGCGCAACTCTACGGCAGATTTTGTGTGTAAGTGCGTAACTTACCAACACTGACAAAGCACTTCCAACCGTTATTTTTGGTTTGAAATTAGGTATGATATTTTTAATTTTTAAGAGCCACAACAATTTAGATTTACTCTTTTAACTTTTTGAAATATTTATTATTATTTATAACTTTATCTTTTGACTGTTGGGACACAGGCTTCTTTAATTTAATTTTTTGTATATAAGTACATAATATCTATTGCATTAACATTTTTTTATTTAAATAAGTTCCTTTTAAGAATACCAAGGCCAAGAAAAGTGGTAATAGACCGATATTATAAATTTCTGTACGGTAGATTTCTATCGAACGCATGACAGTGTTGTGAATTGATTTACATTCGAATCCTTTTCAGCACTGGATCACTATTGGTCTTCTTATCGTTTTTGTTGTGGTATCGATAAGTAGGGCCCGATAGGCCAACCTCCGATCCGAAACAAGTGATTTTTAAAGTTAGTTTAAAAAACTTTTCGGATCGAACGGTCGTTACCGGGCTCCGCGGCGCGTTTTTTAAAACCCTCTCCGAAAGTCCGTAAATTCAACGCGCTGTTTTCTAAACTCCTTTTTCCAATTCCCCCTCCATCCGTCAAGCAACGGCTACTGCAGCAGCCAATTCCCCCAACATAACCATAAAGCCAGGCGATTGTGCAATCGAAGGTGTCTATATAATCCATCTGTACGATGATCCGGATCCGAATCGGAATGGAGAGTCTTCCAATTTTAATACTCGCCTCCTGCCTGCTAATTTCAGCCCATGGAACACCACTGGAGTGGGGTAAGAACAGCGCTTCCTTAGTAGGAAAAGGAAAAGAACAGTTAGGAGGAGATGGTGGCCCTCTGGCAACCCTGGTGCCTAACCTTCATTTTGCCGTCGATTGGACAATTAGAAATCAATTCGACATAAACAATGCAGCCAGTGGCGGTCTTATGTAACCGCTTGACATTAGCAGAAGCATATTCCGAATCGTATGTGTTTGTGCGTGCTATCAGCTGACTATCGGAGCTGCCCCGCTACATGTTTTATCTCCTTTATCAGTGGCAGGGGCGCGCTTGACTATCAATGCACACGTCGCTGATAACTGATAACTAATGGCTAAATTCTAATGTCTGATACTCATTATTATTTGACATTTTGTTGTTGTTGTTGCGCTTTCCCCTGGAAAGGTTACTGCACGCTCTCTATTTCTCTTTTACTCTCTTCTTTGGGCTCAACGTGGCCGGCAAAAACAACTGTAAAATACAGTTGAACTTCCTTTGCTACAATTCTCCGAAATAGAGGATACATTAATTGGAGTTAATTTTTATAGAAATGGAAATCAATCAGCTTGGAGTTCCACTGTACAACGCAGCAAAATGTCCCCCACTTGAAGATACACTGCCCCTTTTTAGGTGGGATGAAAATTTGAATTTAAAATGGTTTCACCTCTGACAAAAGGGAAACTCTCTGGCACTGAATCTTAGTCATCTCCAGATGGATAGTTCATCAGAATGGAGTTGCACTGTACTCGGCATTTGCCACCACTCTGGCCGCCATGTGCCCGATTTACTTTGTCACGTATGCCACAACATCGCGTTTGCCGGTTTGTTTAGATTTCGGTGATATTGCGCTTAGTTGCGATTTCTTTAGTCTCTTGGGTTTCCTATTTCAGAAACTGAAACATAAATTGCTTACCAGCTCAGTTCTATATAAACTTAAATTTAAAACCGACTGGCACTGTCGTGGAATTTCTGAATCGCAACCCGAGGCGTAAGATCCATTTAATTCCCTTCTAATCGGGCAAGTACAGATTGCTTGTGCAAATAACCCCAGAAAAAGCCATCTGGAAACCCGATCTGGAATGACATGTGTATATAGCTCATTGCCTATAGCCTATAACGAGATCAGACCACGTGCGACTTGGGAACTTTTCCGAAGTATTCCATTAACACTTGCCCGCTTCACTATTAGATAATGATAATCGGTGAAAATGGCACCGTGACGCACCAGGGCCCGTGCGAAAATCCATATCGTAATGGTATTTCATGAATTATATTGGGCTAGCCATAAGTATTATTGACCGTTGGCCTATCACACATTTTGAGTGGCCCATTATAAATCTCAATCATTTCGGTTGCTGTCCAACAATAACCGGCAAAGATCCCAAGATAGTAACTCGTTCAGTTTATTAAACTTTTCTTCAGTAAGAAATCAACAATTCAAGTTTTATCACTTAAAAATATACACTCACTTATATTTTTCACTCTTTTTTAGTAAGATTTTTCTAAATTCAAAACATTCACTTCCATGAATATAATTAATAACATTTTTTAGGAAAACTTTATCAACAATTTCACTTTACTCAAATTCTTCATATTATGTACCAGAAGAAATTCCAGAAAAACAATTTTTTTTACTTTACGTTTATTACCACCTAAAAGATGTTTATACCTAAAAGGCTAATGGGGTTGGGTGGTTATTAAAACATTGTAGTTTTTGAATAGTTTATTGTTTAATAATTATGTTAGGATTTGTTAGGTTATTAAACAACTGGTCTTACCACTTAATGTAAAATATGTTCATAAATTTAATATAAATATATGTATTATAATAAATACTATATGTATAGATAATAAATAGAGGGGAATTAGTAGCAATTGGTTAGATTTTGTATCACTCCCTGGCAATTTTCAACCAATAGCTCAACAAATGAACTCGGTAATACAGTGGTATTATTGTATATTGGCCATTTAGCATTTTTTGCATCGATAAAAACGTTGACCTCAAACCAGAAGCGTGGAGGTCGACTGAAAGGTTCGTTCGCAACTGCGTTTTGAGTGGTAAATGCTGGCTAGGCTTTGTTTTAGCAACTCTTTTTTACAACCATCGATAATTGGTCAGCACTCCGGATACATATGCATGAATCATGAATAACCAATAGCTAAATCCACCATTTAAAGCTCTGCAACTAGGATTTTCTGAAACTCGAACGAGATCGAGTGGCAATACCCATTATAACCCAAAATAACTTGAAGCTAAACAAGTTTACCCAACATCTCTAGTTATCTGTTTTCGCTTTTTTGCTTTTTGTTGTGGTCATTCGATCTTTTCCCACAAAGACAGTGACCTAGAAATTTTTTTTTTGGCCATTGACCAGGTCGCACAAGTGATGGATATTCGATCTGATCGATTGGTTAAGGGGTTATTGTACAAGGAACTGTGAAAGTAACGCCTTGATACAATGCAATCCAATCCGATCCGGAACTGCGGCCGTTTCGGTTGATTCTGTTCCGCCAGCTGCAGTTTTCCCATTTCCGCGAGAGGAGTGTACAAAAAGCGAGTCAGGATTGTTTGCTTTATTTGTTTGCACGGCAGCAGGTGTCGCATTTACTCACCTGCCTGGCTAATTAAATAAATGACACGCCCCCAGAACGTTGGCAACAGGTTCTTTGATCTCGTTCGCGATTCAAAATCAAAGCCCGAGGGGAAAGGCGAGCGAATTTGGATTTCGGAATCTCGGAATCACCGCCATTTGCCGCTTATCAAAACTTGTCAACATTTTTCGCCATGTTTTTGTGTACAAATTTCAAGTTTGCTATTGATTAGAGGGATTGATACTATTATAATATAGCCTGATCCTGACGTCACTGAGATTTAGGTGTTTCTGTATTCGGAAATTACCTCGTAAATTCAAATCCATAAGAGGGAATCATTTATTTTCAACAATTTAAAGCATTTATCAATTAGGATTGTTAAAAAATGGTATTAAGCTTTTAAATAATTTACTCATGATTCAATAGACCTTGAAAAACTGTTTCCAATTCAAATTCAGTAAAACCAGAAACATGTTTTGATAAGAGTTTAATCTAAAGTCATTACCTTAGTCATTAGAAATGCAAAAAAAAACAGATGGAGCCCTCAAGAGTTTGTTGTATAAATCAAACCCTTTCAATTCTCTGCCCTCGACTAAAATCAGATAACAGAAATAGCCTTGAATAACATCATAGAAAACTCTTTAGTAATTAAAATTGATTTCACAGGTCAAAAAGATTGACATTACGTATCAAGGGATTTCCCTGGGGCTTTTGCAGGTTGACGTCTTCAGATCCTTGTCGCCTGTTGACTAATTTACAACACCTTATCAGTCTAGACCTTAGGCGCATTTTAGGTTCTGATGATTGGAATTATTAACTATTCTCTGAGGCAGCCGGCGCCGCATTAAATAATCAATAAATATAAATAAAGCGCAGTTTGGACAGTATTCATTGCTGTATATTGTTGCAAAATTAAATTCGAATCGCAATTTCCACAAAAGGCGGCGCTTGATTGAAATTCGCGACACTTTTGGCAAGTTTATTGACGGCCGACGGGAGGCTTGAGGGGGGGTCTTGGGGGTCTTCGGCTTTGATTGAGCTTAATTTCCGCAAATAAAGCACGGGGTCTTATGCGGTTTCAACTCTTATCGATTTAGTGAAGTGATGCTATCAGTCACGTTTTTCCATTCTAGAAGCTCTTCAGAACTATTTTTGTTCTTAACAAGGGCTATTCCTCCATTCCCACGGAATCATTTTGGAATCTAGATTGGGTTACAAAGATCGATTTTTCTGTAATCATAAGTGATATAAATTACCATACTAAACCATACTTAGTGGGTAATGACTCACGTCGTATCAGTTCACTATATTTATCACGTAGCTGTCATGTCAATGATCGGTCGATAAATAAGCATGGGTGGGAAAAACTATTTGATTTCTTTTTAAGCTTTTTTTTTTTTGATAAAAATATTCCAGCATAAACAGACAGTAAAACAATATATTTATATAATACCTAATATCTATGTATTAAACATCTTATAAATTCTAAAAATTTTCTACACTCTTCTCTAATTGCAGACTTTGCTGTCACGCTGAGGACAAAGATTCAGTTCATGGACAGCTCCTGGCAAACGATAGCAACCGCCGCCCATGAGTTTGACGAACTCTCCGCCTTAACCTTTGACGAATCCGAGGAGCTGATCTACTTTAATGACCTAAAACACCAGAACGGCAGCATATTCTCTCTAAAAAGGGATCTCTTGGCCAGTTCGCATGTGGTTGACCAAACGGTCGCCCGCACGGCTAATGAATCTGTGGGAGGATTGGCCTACGATCCACTCAACATGAACCTTTTCTGGTCGGATACTCAGCAAAGAAAGATCTTCTTCGCTCCCATCCATGGTTCCGTGAAGCCCAAGGTTCTTGTAGATCTTAGCGCGGAAGGAGGACGTCCAGATGGTGTGGCCGTAGACGTGTGCCGCCGAAAGCTATACTGGACCAACTCGAACATTACGCATCCCACCGTGGAACGTATCAATCTGGATGGCAGCAACAGAACCGTTATTATTGGTACGAACATCGACATGCCAAGGGGTATCGTGGTGGATCAGCTGTCGGATCGCCTCTTCTGGATTGACGACCTTAAGGGCGTATTCTTTGCAGTGGAGAGCTCTAAACTGGACGGATCCGATCGTCAAGTGGTGTTGAAGGATAAGCACCATGAACCCTTGAACCTGGCTGTCACGAATGATGCCATTTACTGGACAGACCGTACCACGCGGGCGGTTTGGAGTCACCCAAAAGTGCCAGTTATTAAGGTTACCACCACTGCCCAGCCGGAGGAGGAGGATTCCACAGATCCGACCGATTTTAAGGATCCAGAACCGGTGGTCGAGGACTGTCCACTCGTTCGCGTTGCTAATCTTAGCGAAGAGGCACGAGGAATTGTGGTACGCACAGGTTTTTACCAGAGGCTCCAAAAGGATCACCATTGCGCCAGCATAGTGCGTAAGGTTAAGGATCGCGTGGATGAGCAGAGTAGAAAGAAGGAAATACGCAGCCTGCTTGACCAAAAGATGAAAGTACTGGAAGACGAACGCTGTATGAATGGCGGCGAATACAAGGCCGCAACGGATCTGTGCATCTGCCCGACCGGCTTTAAGGGATCCCGCTGCGAAATCCGCGAGTGCCACAACTACTGCGTTCACGGCACTTGTCAGATGTCTGAGTCGGCCTACCCTAAGTGCTACTGCCAGCCGGGATTCACGGGTGAACGCTGCGAGGTGAGCGTGTGCTCAGGACTTTGTCTTAATGGCGGCCACTGCCGGGTGCCCAAGGACGAGAACGAGGCGCCCAGCTGTGAGTGTCCTTCTAAGTTTGGAGGAGCTCGCTGCGAGCAGAACTCCACGGAAATCTGTGCCCTCTTCTGCCGCCTGCTGAAACACGAGCCGGAGATCTATGTGCCCTTCGGCTGCCACAGCATGTAAGACAATTGTTTTTTGCATTCCATAAAAATCTAAACTAATATCACATTTTTTCCTCGCAGTTGTGAGGAACTGGCTCAAAACAACAACACCAACTTTGCCGTTCCGCAGTACCAGCACCTTGAGGTGTGCATAACGCCCAAAGTGTGGACGGGAAGCGTAATAATCATCCTGGTCGTAGGCATCGTGTCTAGCTTGCTCTTAACTGCCGTCATTATCCACGGAATCCGTCGTCTGTACAAACCAAAACGACCACGCATAAGGAAGACTTTTGTTGTACGCAAACAGGCCAGGACCAACTCGGCAGGTGACACTCCCTTGACCAACCGCCCACTGGCCACCGAACAGTGTGAGATCACGATTGAGAACTGCTGTAACATGAACATCTGCGAAACGGTAAGGATATTACTTTCTTGTTTTCGTAGAAAATTTAAATAACTTGCTATTATTTGTGCAGCCCTGTTTCGACCCTAAGCTGGTGGAGCACACGCTGGCCAAGTCCAGCTGCAAGGAGGACAAAAAGATACTCATCCACAACATGGAGGATGATCTGTACTAGGGTGTGGCAGAAGGAGAACGACCTGCCCCCAATAACTGAACCTTGTGATAGTCGTCGTCGTCGAGTGCGGATGGTGTATTCGAGCTTGAAAAGCTGCTGCCCGCCCGGCCCTCGACCCCGTTAGCCGCCAAGGTGCTCACTCAGGCAACCAGCAACTAGAAACCAACCATCCACAGCAACAGCAACTTAAAACTGATGAGCCTGGGACACTTAACACTCGCCAAAACAAACCATTTACTTAAGCCGAAGCAACATGTGTACTTAGCGATCCTGGGAGCCTGCTTCGGTATCGTTAATTTATTCGTAGGATCATTTTATCCCAAAACTAGGATTTTTAGCTCAAAGCTCCATCAAAACTTGTACACCATTTTTTAGTTTTTTTATTTTTTATTTGGTTTTTATTTTGAATTCGCAATGTTGAAATGAAAGTAAGTCGCGCGACTGACATTAGCTTTAAATATGGAAACGCACGGATACCAAGAGCCCTAAGCGGCCACAAAGACCATTGTGATTGTGATTACTTACACGTAAGCTGCTGTAATTAACCCTTTCAAGTGAGTCATTGTTCAAGTTCCTGCTCCCCCTTTTGAAACTAACTAAGAGTAGATAAATTTCCCTTCCCATTTAAATGCAAAATCTTGCCTAATCGGGTGATCCCTTCCCCTCCTCATCCTCATTGTGCACTACTTAAGATTCGTCAAAGAAAAAACACCCAAACCGTTGGGAAAACTCTCGCAGAACGTCTGAGAGTTGTAAATATTAAAGCATAGTTTAATTTTAGTCGTAGTCCTTAAGAAAAGGGTTGAATAAAGAAAAACTACATGCAGTTAAAAATGAAAAGAGTTCTTACTTGCATTTCACAACTTATTTCCGGCTGAGACATTTACATATGTACATATATAACTACTTATAGATCATCACGTTAACAAAATGATAGACCAAAAAAAAAATAAACACAGCTGTAAGACACTTGCCAGATTTTAAGCTTTTTTTATATTTTACACCAGCAAGATATTTTTAAAACAAACGAATATTCCATGTTACACGTAATACTTTATATTGGCCGCGATTAGTTGGGGTTTTTTAAATATTTCCGATGGAAGTGTGGTAGTAATTTACAATCCCAAACTTAGACAATGAAAAAGAACATTGGGGTCATTCAATTACTATCGATAGTCGAGCGAACCAATCGAAAAATAAAAGCATCGACCGAGTGTCACCACTATTTCGTATCCATCTTGACAAATTTTTCGCAAAAGAAGTAAAAGTTAGAAAATAACATTGCTACGGACAACAAATCGCAAATATAACATATAAAAACCAACGAGCATGGTTAGTATTAACAAATCCGTGTGCAGTTTCCTAAAAAGAAAGAGTTTAAACTACTTTTCTAACATCGCGTGTTTTGGGATAGCCTGTAAAATTTGCGCATTTTTTCGGTGTCTGAGAGTGGTGTTGGTTGCTGTGCGTGGTTGTCTTTGAGTTTCAAGGGGAAGCTCTGTGTGTTGGTGGTGGCGGGCGGAAGCAACGGAGCACCCAGTGACCTTGCCTCCGTTTGGGACAAATACGTCATACTTTCCGACCCCTTCGGATGTGTATCTATCCGAGTTAACACCACCCGCGTGCACTTCTGAATTCATCCGTATAGCAGAAGTACAGCCCTTTGGTTGGATTCTACCTGAGGTTGGGTAAGGGACGAAGCTGTCACATATGGTGGAACCTTTTTATCTAAGGCGTTAACCATATCTGCTTACCTATCTCTCCTCATTTGGTAAAAATTATTTGCATTTTGCTATTGTGGAATTTATACCTAAAGCTGATATAAACGATCTAAACAGATGGCTGGAATTGTTAAGTAGTAGTATAAAAAAAACTGAGTGTAATTCTTGACCTACATTATATATGTTTGTTTTTATACTATGCTATTATTAATCATTAAAGAGTTTTTATCTATAGTAACTTCTATTTAAGACCCAGTTAAGCCCTTTTTTTATCTTTCAGGGAAGCAACGACAGAGCATCAAGATCGCCGCGTTCGGATGATCAGCGCGAGATCAGCGATATGCCGACCACCAAGAGATCGCGCTCCGACTCCGGTGAGTTTCCCAGATTTTCGTCTATAAATAACTATGTATAGAGGAATGATAACCGTAGCGATCAGCACATCGCTCCCAAAAAAAATTGTTGTGTATGTCTAAAAAAGGAGCTTGGCACATAGGTTAATCAACAAAGCAACAATCTACGAAACGGAATCCACAAGGAGCCGGCCTTCCAAATTGTATTGTATTTTTTGGTTGTCCAAGCATAAAACATAAGCACATCTTATATTTTCTCTCCTACTTGTACTTGTACTCTACTCTACTCCGTTGCATCTAAGGGCAGCACTGACGCCACTAAATAATCGGTTTTTCTTTTTGTTCTGCTTAAGTAATTGCAGACTTCATAAACGCACGATGAACTCTAACTCAGACTGTGAGGTGTGAGGTGAGGTGAGAGTCAAACAAATCGATTTGAGAGTCAGTCTATCGCCAAAAGTTGAAAAGGCGCGATCCCCAGTCGATAAACCAAACCAAAACATATATGCTAATTAACGAAAGCGAAAGCGCAATGAAATGCGTATGCGTAATGCGTATTGTTGTTAATCTAGGGCATCAGTGAGTCCTGAAACGAACCGAAACGAGCCAACGAATCGCCAGAACTAATCCAAAATGCATATATAACTATTATCTCTCTCTTTCTCTTTCTTCTATATCTCTCTTTTTTAGTTATCGTAAGCGTTTTTCTCCTTTTATGTTTGTTCCGCCTAAAACTAAGTTTTATCGAGATCGAAATCGAGGTTCGCGGGTATTCGAGATCGAGAGAGAGATGACCAATTAGATAACTCCACTACTACTCTACTACCAATCTACTACTACTACCAATCAGCCACAAAACAGCCCAACCAGAACATCGACATTAATCCGCTTCTAACCACCTCGCCACCACGTCGTCGTGTGCCGCCAGCCGGGGACTGATCTGGGTCCTGATCCTGTTTGTGATTCTGATTCTGGCTCCGGTCCTGTCCTGGTTGCATTTACATTAAGTACCAATGATTTTGTGTTTTGTCTTAGCTAGTTCAGATCAACAGTCCGTCCAGTCAAAATCGTGTTTTAAAATGGGGTACAAAGCACTCACATAATCCGTTCTTAATCGACCGATCTTCCCGATCATCATCCGCATCTAGTAATCATTACATTTCGACCAACGGGTCGAGCTCTCTGCGAGCTCTGTCTTCGTAAAAAAAAGCATTAAATGAGGGTAGATAACAGCTATAGGTAGGGCAGTGGAGAACCTAACCAACTTAAACATATTGTTGCTCTTATTATCGTTTCAGCGTCTTGTTTTCTTTTTTTTATTTTTCTCTTTTTATCACTGAGCAATGTAAAATGTGTGTGACCCTTCTTCAAGTCAGTTACCACGCCCCCAACTCATGGAAATCGAATACGAATACGAAAACCGCACCTAAGGTTGCTTATAATTTCTAATTTTTATAAACTACTCGACAGAGCTGAGCACACACGAGGAGTTCGGCAAATCCCCGAGGCCCAAGTCACCCTTTTTTACTGGAGGGGATTCACCGGATATCCTTCAGTGTGCCTAGTTCGCCTTGTCGCTCACAATCGGATGTGTGTCGGCGGAGGATTTTTGATTTGATACGCATTACACATTATTTGACACATTACCTCATATTTATATATATAATATCTACAGTTGCATCACATACACTACGTATATCCAATCTATTGCCTATCCATAAGCGAATATGTTTTATTTGACGGGAGCCTTTCTTTTTTATTCTTGCATTTTCCAGCCTTTACAAATAAATGACAAAAACTCAAGCCCCTCTGCATAAACGATAGACTCATAGACTCTCATCCCACGCAAAACAAACGATAAGCGAAAGCATTAACCTTAAGTATCCAATAATAAATAATCGTGACAATAATACCGTTTGCCCATCGATTCACCATCGTTAGATACGGGCTCCAAAACTCAACCGATCAGCTCGAGGAGCCACCGGCGGCAGCCTCTATATGATTAACAATTTGTTTTCTTATTTTTTCTTTTTTGTCTTCATCTTTCTTGCAGGCAGCAGGCAGTTTTTGTCTTTATTTAAGCGGTTTCAAACGCAATCTCTTGACCAATTTGTCAGTCCTACTTTTGCCTTCGGAAAAGAGAAAAAAAAAATGAAAGAAAATCAATCGAACAAGTCAAATGAAAAGTCGAATCGAATCCCAAACAAATTGCATAGCTGATGATCAACTGAACTGAATTCCCTCCCCGTTATGAGATGCACTAATCCCTCTTCCCAATTCTAGGCAAGTCCACGGATTCGAAAATTCCCTACCTTTCGCAGCCTCTGTATGACCTCAAGCAGACGGGCGATGTCAAGTTCGGTCCGGGCACCCGTTCAGCGCTCCTCGGTCTTCTGGGTGGAGCCCTGCCCAAGCTCTCTTCTGAGCAGCACGACCTGGTCAGCAAGGCAAAGAAGTACGCCATGGAGCAAAGCATCAAGATGGTGCTTATGAAGCAGACCCTTGCCCATCAGCAGCAGCAATTAGCCACTCAGCGGACTCAGGTTCAGAGACAACAGGCACTGGCTCTAATGTGCAGGTGAGTTGTGAAAGCAAGGGGCAGACGATTATCTGGTATTTATGGAAATTATGATGCAAATTCTGTAAGTGTAAGCGAAGGTTAGTTCTCGCCGCTGCAGCTCCGCGTTACTGGAGGCAGTCGATGATGTTCCAATCAATGTGCGCCCATAGCTGATAAGATCTGATTCCGACTACCACATATTATTTACATTTTACTTTTATAAAAAGTTTATTAACTAATCAACTTTCTTTTTCAGAGTCTATGTGGGCAGCATTTCGTTTGAGCTCAAAGAGGACACGATTCGCGTTGCCTTCACTCCTTTTGGTCCCATCAAATCAATCAACATGTCCTGGGATCCCATCACACAAAAGCACAAGGGATTCGCTTTTGTGGAATACGAGATTCCCGAAGGCGCCCAGTTAGCGCTGGAGCAGATGAATGGTGCCTTGATGGGAGGCAGGAACATTAAGGTAGGACGACCTAGTAACATGCCGCAGGCCCAACAGGTGATAGACGAGGTACAGGAGGAGGCTAAGAGCTTCAACCGCATCTACGTAGCCTCTATTCATCCCGATCTGTCCGAGGAAGACATCAAGAGCGTCTTCGAGGCATTCGGTCCTATCCTCTACTGCAAGCTGGCCCAGGGAACTTCTCTACACACGCACAAGGGCTACGGCTTCATCGAGTACGCTAACAAACAAGCTATGGATGAGGCCATCGCCAGTATGAATCTCTTCGATCTGGGCGGACAACTGCTGAGGTGAGTGTGTTTAATAGCAGGTGAAACAGAGTGTTAAATAAATGTATGTTTTATAGGGTGGGTCGATCTATTACGCCTCCAAACGCCCTGGCCTGTCCTACAACAAACTCAACGATGCCCACTGCCGCAGCAGTAGCTGCAGCGGCGGCAACTGCCAAAATCCAGGCCCTGGATGCGGTGGCAAGCAATGCCGTGCTGGGCTTATCGCAAAACACACCCGTTATGGCAGCCGGAGCAGTAGTGACCAAGGTTGGAGCAATGCCAGTGGTTTCAGCAGCCACATCGGCGGCCGCTCTGCATCCTGCTTTGGCACAAGCAGCACCTGCTCTTCTTCCCCGGGAATATTCCAGGCCCCCCTCTCCTGTGGCTCCCAGTTTGCTTGGAGTTCCTGCTGGCCTACAGCCACTTCAAGCGGTGGTGCCTACTCTTCCACCGCCTGCCCTTTTGGCCACGCCTACTCTGCCCATGACTGTCGGCGGTGTTGGTGTTGGCATAGTGCCTACAGTGGCCACCGTGTCAGGAGTGGAAGCTAGTAATGGAACTGCAGCTGCAGCCGCACTTTCTGCTGCTGCGAATAATGCTGCTGTCACGGCAGCAAGTCTTTCGGAGAACATCAAGAAGGCGCATGAGAAGCAGCAGGAGGAGCTACAGAAGAAACTGATGGATGAAGGCGATGTGCAGACGCTTCAACAGCAGGAGAATATGTCCATCAAGGGTCAAAGCGCTCGACAGTTGGTAATGCAACGGTTGATGCGACCAGTGGATTCACGAGTAATCATTCTGCGAAATATGGTCGGTCCTGAGGATGTAGACGAGACCCTACAGGAGGAGATTCAAGAAGAGTGCAGTAAATTCGGAACCGTTAGCCGGGTGATCATCTTCAACGAGAAGCAGACGGAAAACGAGGACGATGACGAGGCGGAGATTATCGTAAAAATCTTTGTAGAGTTTTCGGCAGGAGCGGAGGCAATGCGAGGAAAAGAAGCCCTCGACGGCAGATTTTTCGGTGGCCGAAGAGTGGTCGCTGAACTTTACGATCAGGGTATTTTTGATCAGGGAGATCTGTCCGGTTAGACGGGAGATGAAGTTTGCCGAATTCGTTTGTCATTTTTTTACGTAGCACCTAAAACAAAAATGATGCAAGTTTATTTATTACGCTAGTCCGAAAACAAATGACCATTGTTTAGCGGCACGGCAGCCAGATTACAATTATGATTATGATGAGATGATTCTGCAACGCAGTGATTTAGATTTAAAGAAAGATCCCCTTAGGGAGGAGCGATTTTCGGTGTTTTTGTATTATTGCTTTCTCTTGGAACGCAGAAAACCACAAATGAAACCCAAGCACACAACGGCCGACTAACAAATTGTACATTTACATTGAATTATTTCAGCGCTTAACTTACGAAATAAATAATAGTTTCCCAATAGAACTCGAGCTGGTTTTTTTTTTTTTTGGGACGTGAATAATTTAATTAAATTTTTTTAATTTGTCTCGTCGAGTTTCGAGCAATTTAAAATATTCGATTATTACTAACGAAAGTCGATAGCATTCGGTTTTTGGTTCCAACTTTAAAAGAAGAATATCGATAGCACGAAGAGAATTTAAATCGTCTATTTTTGATTTACGGAAATTCAAATTTAATTTTCGTTTTCTTCAATTTTTATTAAAGTTTATTTAGAATTTTCTTATTCTGTTTCCCAATTTTATACCTGATTCTTTGAAATATAACAAATTAATGAAATAAAAAATTTGTATAAAGAGGAAGTGGGTGGTATTTTTACTGGTATTTTTGGATTTGTAGAGAGCATTTGGTTTCAAACCGTTTCACCATCTGGTCTCATTCTCAAGAAGAAAGAAAATAGAAATCAAAATAATGAAGTGATTTCCATACGAAAAACGCAAAATTGCAGAAAAACAAAAAACATTTGCTGGCGATCGAGCGCCGCGCATAACGGTACAACGCTGGGCAATCGCTAAAAAATCGCTCGCAATTCGCAAGCTCGCTGGCAAACGCAAACAAAGACACAGCAGCAGTGGCAAAGAAAAGGCAATAGCAAAAGCAAGGAAAGCAAAGGCAAAAGCAGCGAGGGATTTTTGGAGGCTGCTTCTTGGGGCGACATTAAAAAATAAAAGGTACAGAAAGCGTGGGGATCGGATTGGAGTAAATTCTGGTTAAAAATACCCGGACAGCTGTTCGCAGTTTGACTGTCGCATGTTGGAGTCCCGTGTTGTTCAGTTTATTTCGTTTATTTTAGTCGCCCAGATAAGCCAGACAGACTGACGCTTTTTGTTGTATTTTTGTGTTTTTTTTTTCCAATAACTACGCACCTACACACGAACAGTTTGTTTGTTGGCATTCTTTATATATACAAGTACATATATTTTGATATGTGATGTATGTATGTGTATATGTGATCTGCGGAACTAGAGTTTGTGGGTTGTGCATATACACATTGGACATTGTAGATTTAAACTCTGGTTTGTTTTGCTTTGGTCTCCGACTAAGTTTAATTGGGATTATAATCCCCAAATCCCTATCTCACCTGGCCAATTGGATGACCCTTGGTTATGTAACTTTATAGCTATCGGAACCCAAGAACCGAAAACAGATTAAACCAAGGGGCACGTGCATTCGCTGTTAAGGCTAGGCAAGATTGGCCAGTCATTAAGGGAAATTTAAATTTCAACAGTTCGGAGCTAAATCGGCTTTAAGGTCAAGCCATATTTTATACCCAAGTGATTAGTCAAACATGACAACCAAATACGCAAAAATATGTTTTAATTGAAGATCAAACACCTATTTAGTTTAGTTTTTGTTTGTATGACAAAGAAGTTGAAAACTACCATAAACGCCAGAACAGCTGATTTAATTTAAATAAATTATTAGTGATAAAGTAATAATCATGCTTAATGTTTCAATTGATAAGCTCAACATTAAATACAAGTTTCGAAATCATATGTGACTATTTAAACCATTTTAATTCTGCAATATTTAAGAGAAACCACATTTTCATTCAAGTTTTTGAAAATTTGATTAGTATAGAGTTTGATTTGATTCAAAGGTTGGGGCTCTCACTTGTCAAACCCACATGACGTGCAATCTCTAACTTGGTCGCAAATCATTAATAAGTAATACACTAGGTCACCGTAAACTATTTCCTTCGATTACATATAGATAATCATATGTTTATATAGACTAGCAATTATATTTGTATTTTCCTATTGCCCACATATACAGAAATCATTTATCTCGTGATTAAAAGTAAAAGCCTATCTACAATAGTTTTGAATCGATTTTGTTTTTGATAGGAAACTTGTTTTCAATTAAATTTCATTATCAACCATACAAACGTTTGTTTAATAATCGCAGAATGATGTCATCATTTTGAGGTTTTGAAGTTGAATATAAAATAATATTTTATTACCACATTCTGAAGTTCTGTTTTTAGGAATTCTAATCACATGCGTATTCTTTACTTTTTGAAAATTTGCATAAAAAACCAACTATTAATTTTTTCGGGATTAGCAACATAGCACAGTTTCCTGGTAAAATATGTCAGTAATTTATATTTCAGTCGATGATGAAATGTCTAGCTTAGGTCGTATACACCAAGAACACAAAGTAAGACGAAGTCAAACTTCCGATGAATCATGGTTCCATCATCTCGATTCGTTTCAGACAACAGAGCCATCATAGAAGCACAACTGGCGGAGCACAAGAACTGCGGCCCCAAAATGAGCTGCAAGGTGCGGCTGATGGAGGACGGCTCGCTGGATGAGGAGCCGCTAACCCTAAAGGAGATCGCCTACCAGAAGCTGTGCAATAACCTAGATATAATTAGCAGCCACCGACCCGACGGCCAGCGAGGCCTTAATCCGGGAATCGTCCTACCCAACGAGATATGTGACGGTTTTCTGGAGAACTACCAGCGCTTCAATCGACCACTGGACGACAGCGTCATCCGTCTCTTCGAGGACACACAGCGAACTTCGCTCAAGATCGTCAATCTGCGCAACAGCACCCTAAGCAGCATAGGTGAGCTCTGCCCTCAATTCGACGCGCTCTTCACGTCCGGTCTTATGGGTCCAAAAGAATATAGAATTTGATTCATATTCATATATTTAACACAAGTTTATCCATAATTAAATTTATCTTTTAAAGGCTTAGAGACCCTGATGCGACACAAGCTTTTCGCTTTGTCTATGTGGTATTGCGACATGATAACCGTGGGATCACACCACCTTCTGGCTCATTATGGCGACAGTCTGCGATCTCTGGAGCTAGGGATCAGTTCCCATTTGCTGCAGTACGCCGAGCCCAACGAAAAGGAGCCTGTTGACTTCCAATTAACATGTCCCCACCTGCGGCGATTAGTGCTCAATGGTGTGGTGATGCACCATCGACTGCAGTTCGCCCACCTGCACGACCTGGGCCACCTGGACTTGACCTCCTGTGTGTTGGCCAACTTCAGTCTGGAGGCATTGGGATCGCTGCCCAATCTGCACACTCTCATCCTCTTCAATGTGTGGCCGATTGCCAATCAGCTGCATGCAATATGTTGCTTGAGGCGGCTGTGCACATTGGACATATCAATCTCCAGTTCTGGCAATGGTCATGGCACTTACGATCTGCCAGATCAAACCCTGGAGATGCTGATGGACAACCTGCGACATCTCACACATTTGGATATCTCGGGGACGAATTTGGCAGGCAACGGGGTGGCTACTAAAGAGTCGACGAGTACAAGCGGTACGCAGCCCAGCACCAAAATGGAGCAGCCCTTCGCCCTTACTGACATCCCGGGACTGGCATTGCGCACCCAGCGACCGCTACAGTTCCTGGGACTCTATCACACAGCCCACTGGGCCTGCAAAAGACACGACATCCCAGCTCTAGAAGTGGCTGGTGATGCCAATGAGCAGCAAATCCTCACTGCAGCTCGCTATTATCACGACAGACCAGTGCTATTGACAAGGGTGAGTCATGAAATGGGTTTAAGCCATCTGAATTTTCATGTTTCCTCTCAATAGGTACTCAACGATCTGTACCATCTCTTCCGTTTCGAGAACTGCAAGGACATACACACGGCACTGGATGTTGTACTCTCCGCCATGGACCGACATCTCAAGTTCAAGCACATGCAAATCTCTGGCAGGTTAGTCCTGAACATCAAGACAAATATTATCTTTGCTTAATCCGAATATCCTTATTTTTAGTGCCACCCTGTTCTACATTGTTAAAGGGAGAGATCGATCAAAGTTTGGAACACTCCTGCGTAATCACATAATTCGCACTCTGCTTAATGGTATGGAGATGCATCTCACAGACGACACCATGCTCCGAAATGGTTACCTCACGCTCACCCAGTTCCACATGCCAGTCGATGTGGTAAGCTAAGCTAAATTCGATAGCCAATCACATCGAGATAAATTTCTTCATTTACAGCTCTTCGAGTACGAGCGTCTCATCAAAATATTGCTACATGGCGTTTCCAAGACGGAACAAGAAGGCTTTGTCCAACGCATTGCCATCTATCTGCTGAACACACTCGCTTGTCAAGTTGATGGACGACAAAAGCTGTTCCTCGGAGAATTGGGGGTTGTTAGTGTAAGTCTAGATCTTCCCAACTATGCATTTGATATTTGTGCTTATTGGTGATATTCTTATTTAGACCATGCTGACGCTGATCAAGGATCGCCTGACTCGCTCCGTCTTCGACGATGTGATGGAGGTGGCTTGGTCCACCATGTGGAACGTAACCGATGAGACTGCTATTAATTGTAAGAGATTCCTCGATGGCCGCGGCATGGAGTATTTCCTTAAGTGTTTACATGTAAGTGTCAACTGGATTTACTAATGGCCATACTGCATAGAAATCTCAGGAAGAAAGCTATAAATTGTCTATACTTATTAAGCTTACTTAGAGGAGCTTCAAAACCGGCTATGAGGAAGCAAAAATATGTAAAGTCCATGATTTCATGGACATATAGGGAATGTTTTCCATACTTGAACGTTTTTAACTGAATTATCTTTTCCATGTCAGACCTTCCCGGATCGTGACGAGCTCCTGCGGAACATGATGGGCCTGCTGGGCAATGTTGCCGAGGTAAAATGGCTGCGACCCAAGCTGATGACCCAGGAATTCATTGAGGTGTTTGCTCGCCTGTTGGACTCTTTGAGCGATGGCATCGAGGTGGGTGGTGCTAGTGCGAACTTGATGGCGAGATTGCGAGAGAGAGAGATGGGCAGTGCTAACAATGCTAACCTGCGCTTCCAGGTCAGCTACAATGCGGCTGGAGTGCTGGCGCACATCGCCTCGGACGGAGCCGATGCCTGGACCATAAAGACGCCCAGCAGGGAGCACGTGCTGGAGCGCATGGTGGCCGCCATTCAGCGGTGGAACATCAAGAGCGAACGAAACATCAACTACCGCAGTTTTGAGCCGATCCTTAGCTTGGTGCGCTGCTACGAGACGCCCCAATGCCAACATTGGGCTGTTTGGGCCCTGGCTAATCTGACGCAGGTGGGTGTATAGTGCACTTATTCTTATATAGAATTCGTAACTTATTTACTTTCACTTCTCACAGGTTTACCCCGAAAAATATTGCCAGTTGGTGGAGCAGGAGAATGGCATCCAGATCCTGAACGAGCTGATCGAGCACGAGAGTCCCTACTGCGAGATAAAGCGCATCGCCCGCCTAGTTATAGAGCAGTGCGACTCCGGGTCGGATCGTATGATCGAAGGCTAAAAAGATATGTAGGATAACGCCTAACCTTAGGATTCGAGTTTGTTGTAATGTTTTTTTTCTGCTTCCCCTGTTTCCCGTTTAAGGGCAAGTGTTATATTGTTCAGGAGATTCTTCCATGACTTTTATGTTTACAGTGAGAGCAGCAGATAGATGCAAGTTTAAGCTACGCGAGAATTAAGCAACTAAAACCTAATGAAAGAAAAACAAACAAAAATAATCGATAAATACATAATTACTAGTATATATGTATATGTATATGATGTATCACATGTTGTAAGCCAGCGATCTTTTTAGGCCGTCGAAGTGTAAATATTGTTAAACCCGGAAAAAGAAAGATACTGATAGTAGGAGCAAGACAGCTGGAGATTAAATAAATCCTTAAGAATTGAATTCCCTTCCTTGATCGACAGCTATATAGGCGAATGCATTGAATTTAACTGTTCGATCTGTTCCTAGATTTGTGTTCATTATTCGATGCCCGCTCCCCACTCTTCTTGTGCTTTCGCATCACCCATCTTAATCGTTCTACATAATCTAGCTATATAATCTAGAACCCTAGACTAGACCGTAAGCGACTGTAAATAATTGCAAGTAACAGTTTTCAAAGTTCTGCGCTTGGCATTAATAATATTTAAAACATTGTATGTTATCATTAGTTACCTTATATTACGTATATATATATTATTTGATTCGTAAGCTTCATCACGCTTGTGTCTTACACTTCATTTACCATCAAAAATCACATGAAACCCATTGAGAGTTTTCTCCCGAAATTTCCTGTGTGTTAGGTTCAACTTTTCTTTTGAGTTTACACTTTATTCATTACAAAATTAGTTTTGTTAATTTTAAAAACAATTTGTAATTATTAATTCAACCATTGAAATAGTTTTAAAAATTCAATTTGGTAAATGTTGAATATAACGTACGCTCATCTCCCTTTAAAATCAAGCTCAGGAAATGCAATATACTCGTATATATATATTTTCAAAAAGTTTTTTACCGCTGAAACAATTTTTAACTGATTTTTATTTAATTTGAAACAAGCATTATTAAGATAATTTTTTTGACTTATTTTAAACAAATCCTTGAGTTTATGTTGAAACTTTAAAAAAGTTTTGAAAATTTTTGATTATCAAATTGAATTATTAAACTGTAATCATAAAACATCACATCAAAAACGCAACTTTGCAGCAGAGTGTGGAGTGTGGCAAGAAGAGTTTCTTCTTCTTCATATGTTTGTGGTATATGTAAATTTCAATAAAGCTGCATCTATGTAAACGTTTGAGGGTGTGAGTGTCGAGCTCTGGAATTGCGTCATATTCCTTTCCCCACAGGGGGTGGGTGGGTGCAGGCCGAGGAAGGAAATGCCAACGAGTTGGAAATGCTTTTTAGGCATAGCGCATGTGCCGTGGGAATCCCGCATCCCCGGAGAGGCTTAGCAACCCTTGCACCTGCTCTCCCACACTCTCTTCGCTCTCTCTGTTCTCCATTTTGGCAGTTCTTTATTGTCAGTTGTCATTTTGCCGGTGGAAAGTTCGCTTGTTTGTTGTTGCCTGGTTATAAGTGTGCAATATTTTTAATTTCGTGGGTGAAAAAAAAACGGTAAATAGCTGATATTAATAGAGGAAAATAATACAAAAAGTGAAGTAAAGTTTTGGCAAAGAATAGAGTCCTTCAAATAATAGAAAAGCAACCCCCGTGGAGCAATTTACTCATCAAAGTCATTTTCTATTAAATGAAAAGAAATCAAATTTCATTCAATCGACAACGAAAACCATTCAATAAACGCCAATTGCCTAGTTTTATTCATAAAAATCCAAACAAAATAGTTCCGGCAATTGACGAGGCGTAAACAAAATGCAAAACAATTGTTTGCCAGACGGATTCTGCGCAGTTTCACTTCATCATCATCATCAGGATCAATAACCTCCTTATCAGCAAGGAAATAGGGGAAACGACAACAAACCGTTGCCTTGGCAATCAAAACAAAGGCCGGCCAAGAACAAAATAAAACAGGATTGCAAAATATGTTTGCCGGGCATGAAATAGACTAAGGTATTGATTACCGGCTTTAGCCTATGATTAACCGGAACTATCTCTCTGGGCCCGAGAAGTAATGCAGCAATTCCAAACACGACAAATTGCAACAAACTTTTTCACAGGCCCACAAAACAGGGAATACCGAAAATTTAAATAAATAAATATGAAGTAGGCGCGGGTACTCGAACCACCAACAACGAAGTTCCACAGCGAGAAACCAACGTCTCAACGCACTCGACCACGTTCTTAGCGGGAGCCCCGATGCTAAGGTGTTATTTCAACTAGAAGAGCTTTTGGGGAAAGCTCTGCACAGTGGCTCAAATCGAGGAAATTAAAAAAGAAAAATCTATTTTTAAAATTCCAAAACTAATAATAGATTTGTAAAATGTGAATATTCCATATATTTTTTTTATAGGAAATCCCAGGATAGGAACTTAATAATAACTTATTCAAAGACTCTACAACCACTGCCAGTCCGCAATACCTAACACCCTGATCCCACGAACCATCCTGGATAGCCAGGAACAACAGGATGTGGCCCTCCGAGCGAGGAAGCTCTCGGGCCCTGGAAAATCCAACCAGTCAGCAAAATGCCGGCGGTAGTAGTCAGCAGGAGACCCTGGCCGATATAGAACACATATCCACCATTGCCGGATCCCTGGCCTCCATTGGATCCATCTCGCACACTCAAATGCGATATGTAAGTTTTTGGATAGGTTTAAAGGATTATATAAGTAACTTTGTTATTCTCAGCAATGCACCAATGATGCTGGCTATGATACGGAACACACTTCCCTGAACTCTGACTTTGATGAGGCCGAGCTACGTCGGGAGTTATTAAGAGATGTAAGTTCATGGGATTTTAAATTTAATTTCAAACTTATTACTAATAATATTTTCTTTCATAATTTTTCTACAGAAATGGAAACTTCTCTTTGACATGGTAAGTATCATGATGCCTAGTCCGTTGAGGAATACAATCATGATTATGATTATTTCTTCCAGTTTGATCCCGAGGGTTTTGGCGAAATATCCGTCGAGGAATTCCTGGTGGCCCTAAGGTCGCCGGAGTTCCTGTCCCAAGTGCCTATGAACAAGCGGGAGCTTCTTTTGGAGCGGGCCAAGAAGGCTAAACTGCCCACAGGACCCGGTTACGTGACGTTCCAGGACTTTGTGAATGTGGTGAGTGCCTCGCAATTACAATCGCCACTAGGCTTTGGCCACTGACCAAGTAACCAAAGTACCCGAGTAACCGTGCGTGTGTTTGTCCCGGGCTGCTCATCAACGGCAAACTCGATTTAAGTGCAAACACAGGTGCAAAGTACTCGGCCAGGACGACGACCAAAGTGTAGGCTCGTGTTCAAACAGACGGAGGACAAGCCTTCGTCCTGGCCGCACTCTTGTTTGGCAAATGCAAAAAGTGCGCTTGGCAAATAAATGCAACGCTTACAGATACACGGTTAAAAAATAGGGGAAATTCTTTAAACGTTCGTAGAGAAATCTGTAAGAGGTAAGAAGTAATAGGTAGACCTTTCTAATTTAAAGGTAATAAGTTGGATTTCAAAGTTCCCACCTACATACATGATTTTATTGGCCTTTAATAATTACAAACTTAGGTCAATTTTTCTCTCAATGTACTCCTATTTCTCCTTGGGTCCTTTCGCAACGCTTCGCTGGACATTTGAGTGTTTGTCCTGGTTACCTGGGCTCTGGCTATTTGTCCTGATGTGGTCCGAAAATACTGGCCAGGCTCTGGCCAGGCTGTCTTGGATTTAAGCTCTAAGGCAGCTGCTCCTGCGGGACAAGTGACTTCTGTGCCATGTTCCCTCTGGCAAGGGGTAGCTCTTTCTCGGCTTTGCCTTTGATTGGCAAGGCAATCCTATTGCATTTTGATTGATTCTACCCAGTTGATTGGCACGCACACAAACCGCACACGACAAAACTCTCATGCATAATCAATTCCAAAGTGAATATTCCTTCGCCTTGGCCGTTCGATTGTTTGCCAAAGTGTCCTTAAAGTCATGAATTAGCCAGGCTGGCATGTCCTTATTTGTCTCCGTGTGTGTGTGTGTGTGTGTGCTGGGTGTGTTGTGTGCCTAACGGTAATTGTGGATGAGACCCAGCCCATTCTTTGCACAATGGATTTCCATTCACAATCCCCCTGACGAGGACATTATTAGGTCCTTGTTTGGCCTGCTAATGCATTTGTTATTCCATTTGAGGGCTCCGTTTCTTCAGCCCGCCACTTTGTGCGGAATTCATATCTCCGCCAGCAATCTGAGATCCTTGTTGCCATCGTAGACAACATATTTCCACTTAATTATACATTTCAATGATCTGCTGGTCGGAGCATATGGACCAGGACTTGGTAGCTGTGGGGTAGTGAAGGGATCGTCAGGAATGCCGAGATGCGATGTCCGACCTGGCAATGCGCCATGCATAATGCAGACTGATGATTGTTGCATCTTCAACAAAAGCTCGCACGTGACAAATCCTTTTATGGCAGCGCACAGAAATCGGGGCTGTGGCTGTGGCGAGGACGTGAACGTGGCCAAGACGAAAGACGCCACCGAGGGGCGCGATGTGTTGAACGTTATGACAACTGGAGGCACGAGGCTCGCTGGCGACTGTCGTTTGTCTTCTTGGATCGGTCTGCATCTGGCCGGGGTTTTTGGTTTTCTGGCTTTAGAGCAGCTATCGGCCATCGGGCACAGCAGGCGACGGCAGCCGGTCAAGAATCAATCTGTGTGTTCCAAAGCCAAAGACGAATTGGCAATGCTCTTACCCGGAGTAAACTATTCTTGGGGTTTTATCAGTGCAGTTTGATCCTTTATATATTTTTTATTAATAATTATTAAAGAATTAATAAATAATACTAGAAGGAATTAATTTAGGTAGTAAGTTTCATAAGGTAGTAAGTTTCTCAGGGATGAGCAGGTTTAAATCAACTCCCTGACCTTGTCTTTGGTAGTCGTGTCTTCCAACTTTGAGTGTCCCTTTCATTGAGGGGTATCCGCTTTTAATTGCACTCGGTGGTGGTGGGATCGGGCAAAAAGCAGGAACGCCGCCAAGGAGCATTCTTGCATTAATCAGAAAGTCAACGGAGCTGCCAGGCATTCGATCATTCGATCATAAACGAAAGCAATTGCGCACAACTGGCCAGCCTGGTGGTGCGATGTGGTCCCAGTCCAAGTCCCGGTCCCGGTCCAACCCGATCCGATCCAGTCCAACTGCCATTATCATAATCAGGAGACGCAGCTGGCAGACTCTGGACCAGCTGAATCTGAACCTGTGCCTCCGCCTGTGTGCCTGTGCCTGTGCCGAGCACGCACCAAGAAATTCCAGCGGCCTGTCTTGAATGGGCCAACTGCAGAACGGTTGCTTCTTGGAGGAATGCCAGCCAGCTGCTGTTCCACAGCTTTTCCTCCTGGTGCTGCATCTCAGATCGGGTTTATTGAATAAACATTGTAGTGATGCACTCAGAAAAAATCCATTGAATTCAGAGATTAACGCTGTGAAAGAAAATCAGTTTAATTCTTCTGGAAAAACTTCTTACTAAAAGAAGAGAGGTTTTCTAATATAAGGAAGTTCTATTGATTTTCCTTAAACACCGTTTTTAAGTTGATTTTCTCTGAGTGCCGCGGTGCTCTCCTCTTGTCTCCTGCCTGCTGATCCAGCCTGCGCCGAGGTGGCGTCTGCTGCTGCTGATCTCGCGGAGCGATAGGCGGCGGAATCAGATCAGATTCGGACTTTGGAGCCGCGAGTGCGACTTGGTCTTGGGCCCCGAAGTAGGTGCAAAATGCCTTGCGCCTCGGACTCGGGGGAACAGAACCTGGAGGCGATCTTTCGCGACGCGGTATTAAATCAATGCCAATCCATAAATGGCCTACGCGGCGCGTAGATTGAATTGGAATCTCTTGGCGATTTCATTATTCTGCAATAATATCGCTTAAATCGAATGGGGCCGCGAGATGAGCGAACATTTCTGGTTAATTATGAAGCGGCAGTTACTAACTCTCGACGGCATCTGGCTTATAGGGTATCAATTACGGCCCATTACGCATTTTTCTGGGTTAAACGATATCAATATCTAAAGTAGTTTGATTCTCTGGCACAACTATAAGCTAAGTGTTAATCTGGGGGACCTGAATGGTCTGTCTTTAAGCCCATTTATTGATTAAATTCTCTTGGATAGGCAATAAGTCCTTGATTTAATGGCCTCCACATTTAATGGTTCACCTTCAACTTTCTTAATCGAAATGTACTTGCCATTCCTACCTTTAATCGTTTTTCCTGCTGCACAAAAACAAGAGAATTTCATGTTTACTCCGTGATGGCTGCTTGACTCGTGAATTGTGCAAGAAGTGGACGTGACGGTGGCAAAGATGATGTCGCTGTCCACCCCCCAGCCACACAACCTGGAGGTCCTTTTCCGCCCCTACATCCTGCAGCAGTGGTTCTCCTCCGACTCCTCTCCTCCGCCTCGTCGTTTTTGCTGCCGACGATGTTTGGTCAATGGTCAATTTGGCAGCCGTTTATTTTGATTGTTGTGCATCCGGGGCAAGGATAACGACGTGCACACGAAATGGACCAGGACCCAGACCCCTTTTCCTGGCCTTTCTGGCACTCCTCTTCTCTTTCCACTCCCCCTTTTGGTTGCGTTGCAATATTTTTGCCATCGTCACGGAATTCACCGATAACCGAGGCGAGAATGGGGGGATTGGACTGGAGCATCCTCTGTTTGGCATCCTGCGGCGTCATGTCCCGTTCACATATCTCGCAATGATCATTTTTGCATGTTTTTCCACCTGCAGGTGTTGTGTGCCATTTGTATGGTTTATATCTCGTATAATCCGCGCCACAGAAATTTATCCACAAAAGGGGAAATCGAATTTTTGTGGGCTTGCGGAAGAAATGTGCAGCGTAATCCCCTAGCACTTCTATCTGGCAATCAAATTAGATTCGTGGGCTTGTACTTCATAGACTACAATGCAAGGTAGTGTACTATTAACAGAGACACTCACTTTATAGGGAGACAACTAATTACGATGAATAAATTTAAATAGGGTGCGCACCTGACATTTACGACGACACCATAAAAACCCGAGCTACTGCCATCCGGGGTCAATGAATGGCCGCTGCATTCCTCCTACGCGTGCACTTAGAAAAATTAAGTATCAACACAATAGGTTTCCCTTAATAAGGGGGCTATCTTCCTTTATCTGTACTTGCAAGGAGCTTTCAATTCCAAAGCATAAACCAGCCGATTTCTCCCTGTGTACTCCTCTTCTCCGTGGCTCTTCAAGCTCAAGTGCGTCGCATAATTGCCTGAGGAGGTGGAGTGGCAGACGGAAGCCAAAGCACGGGGTGCGCATCATTAACCTTGCAACCTTTGGTGCGCTAATGAGACGGCCAGTGTCCAATTTTGACCATTGGGCATAGGACACGCGCGGCTCGGGTTGGCACCTCATCGCCATACATCGACTCACCGTCTCTTGCAGGCAGCTGATTTCTCCGCCGATTGCGGCTGCTCAGTGGGTTGGAAAACTCCGCTGCGCTATTTGCTTGTCCCTAGCGATCCTATATCCGATTTCCTGCACGCCCCTCCACTTCGCAAGGCAAACAATGCGTGCGGCTCAAGTGGAAGTCTCTTACGGGTTCCTTCTGTTTTTTGTCGAGCTCTGGAGGCACCATTTTTGCCAATCCTCAAACAAAGTAAGAGTGCCTCGCGTGTCATTCCATTTCCGCCTGCCTCGAATCGCAAATCAAATACAGCGTTCTGAAGGAGCAGCTGCCAGGGATCCTTGCTCCTTGCTTTTGCATGCATGGAAAGAAAATATAGGTAGAAAAAAATACATAAATAGAACAAGGATTATAAATCGTAATAAGTATTTATAATTTTGGGTTTTTTTACCATACAAATTGCACATAAAACTTAGTTACCTTATGTAATCTCCGACTTCCTTAATTTTTTCTTTAAGTGTGTACCTTAATCTCTCCCTGTGTGAAATCGCGTATAGCTTTTGATTTTCAGCTCATTCAAAAGCCAACGGGCGGTGACTTCACCTCCATATCCATCCCATCTCAACTGAACTCTCTTAGTACAAAAGACGGCGTCAAAGGGCAAGACAAGTAGTGGTACTATATAGAACACTCGGCGATTCTGATTGCGATTGTGGATATAAAAGTGGCTGAGCTCAAGCTGTAGCCGTGGATTGTGGATGCCGCAGCTTGTGTGTGTTTATTGTTCTGGCGGCGGCAGCGGCGGCAAATACAGGAAACTGCAGAAAGGTGCAAACGAACTTCCGCTCCAAATCAGTTTTCGATTTGCTTTTTCCTCGGCTGCTTTCCATATCCATTTCAGCTGCTTTTGCTGTTTGCACTTTCCTCGCCCTCTTTTGTTTGGCACGCGCTCTGGCAGATGTCACCTGGAATGAAAATGAGTTGAGTGGGGAAATTATCTGGCTTTTTAGCATACTCCTCCGCCACAATCAATCATCATTCAGTGGTCACGGAGGCTGAAAGGCTGATTATCCTGTAATTAGGCAGCAGGATCAACGCAGGTCCTGCCAAAAAACCGGGAAAAAGCAAGGAAAAAACGCCCAAATGTGAATTTAATGAGTAAAAATGTGATAATTAGAAGGGACCCCCGACGAGGCCGACAAAGGGCCAAGCCATCCCGCATCCTTTCATCTTCGGGCTAATTACAGGCCGAAGTCATTTGGCCAGACAAGTGCATCCGTTTTGCTGTAATTGCCGTGTTTGTTTAAGATTCAAGACCCAGTCCCAGTTCCATAGCTCCCTTGCCTAGTTCTCCACCTGCAGCGATTCCCAGGCAATGCAAATTGAATTAGGCCTTGGCATAATATTGTCATTCAATTAGATCTTCTGGCCAGAGTCAAGCGGCTTCTCAACGTCTCCAAGGTGTTTCGCCCGTGCAAACATCAACAAATCCGCAGTCCCAGAGACTTTGCCCTGCTCCTGGGCATGCAAAATGTGACATTTAATAAGCTGCCAAAGAAAAACAAAGTAATTTAGTGCCAGGGAAAATTCTGGTTTGTTGGTTTGCGTGTGATTATTATTATTAGCAGAAAGTTAATATGGAATTAGCAAAAGGATATTTTGGTTTGGGTTAAGTAAAGGTAATTATTATCTGAAATAATGTATGTTAAATATAAATCAAATGCTTCGATTTAACTGCCAACTGCAGTAAGTCTTCGTTTACTTTGCTTTGCCATAGATTCGATGGTACTTCTTGTCTAAGTTATTGGGTTAGGTAAATAATTTAAAATATTAAAAGCTGCTTAACCTGCATAGGATACGAAAACATAATTCTTCTGGCTTATTAATGTTTTAAATAGATGTCAGAAAAATGGCTTTGGCATTGTGTCCTAGGATAAATATTCGCTTTTGTCCTTTCATTAGCCGTAACAACGAGCGCAGAACAATGTTAATCAAATAGCTCATTTAATAAGCTCCAAACCACGAGGACGTTTTACATGGTCACCCGGAAATAAAGCCATTGGGCATGCATCATGCACCATGACCTCCTCGTTCTTCTCCACCTCCTCTTGGTCCTGCTCCTTTTACCCGGCCAGTTTATAAATATTGCTCAACTGTTTGGAATAAAAATGTCAACACGCCGGGTGAGGCCGTACGCAATGCATAATAGAGGACACACAATACCTCCGAACCTCCGAACCACCGATCCTGTGGACTGCCAGTCACCCAGCCACCGGAGCCACCGCCGGAGGAGATGTCCTTTTTTGCGCATAGCCACAGGCCGGCAACAAAAAACACGTAAAATTCACATCGCCGTGCTTGTGTGTTTCTGCTGCAACGCAATTCAAAGGAATTTTTTGTGGCTAACAGAGAGAACCGGCCACGTCGACCTGTGGTCCCTTTCCTGACCCTCTCTCACTCCCGTCTGCCGAGCGTTAAATGTTTTGCGTCAATTTGTCGGCCTATCCTGCAAAGGTGAATGAAGCGATGGTACAGCAATGGTCAAAATAATAGTCTCACATTTTCAAGCCGCATCTTAGAAGGACTTTATTTTTCCATACTTGCCTGTATTGAACACCGTTAAATGTCAGGAAAGTCGCCTACCTGATGACGTCATGCGGCGAGCAAGACTCCGACTCCTTTGCCCTTTTGCATCCAGGATAATGACATTATCAGCCGCAGCAGCCTTCGTCCGCCAAACAAACGATAAGCAATTATTTGTTGGGAATACAATTTTCCCCTATTTGGCCCTGTTGGCACTTTGTTGTGATCGCTTGATCTTGCCGAAAAATGCGATTTGTCACCAGGCCACAATGCGTGTGGGTGTTCCCATTGTTGACAACACAGATTCTCAGCGGTCTTTGTCTGCGAATCGTAACAATTTAATACCCAGAAATTGGGCCAAATCGGAAAGTTAAATCGGAAGTAAAATTTTATTTTTTATGTTTTTGATATTGGCGGTATTCTCCTTTCATCTGACGTTGTGCAACACTCCTTCGCAACACTGTTCTCAGTAAGACAAAGAACACTGGAAGAGGAGGAACAGAGATCAGTGGAAAGCGCGAAGCGCGAAACTTACGCACGCTGGCGGTTTAGTTTTTTTTTCGCCTGTTTTCTTTAATGTTAAGTGTTAATTGTCTCTAATAAATAATAGTAATGGCTAAATAATAAAGTTAAACAGATAACGCAAGGAAGTTGTTTCTCACCGCGTAAGTCTTTAATTTGTGTAAATCTTTAAGAAGTTGTGAATGCATTTACAGTTGGAAAAAAGTCACTGACTTCATTGAAGATTTTAACACACACTCGCCCACGCAGTAACTAGCGTTGCCACCCAACGTTTTATCCACTGTCACAGCTTCCAGTCGAGAGGAAACTTATCAATTAAACCAAATTTGATAATTACTATCATTAAAACTGGCCGACTAGCGATGATTAACTAGATAGACACATAAATTTCCCCTCCCTTCCCAGACTGGCGGAAGTAACTATTTTGTGACCTGGGGCCAACTAGGCAAGCTTAATTCGTGGCCTTTTTCTTTCGCAGTCGTAATCGTGCATTTTAATTGCGTGTAGGCTTCATTTTTAATTAAATACAATACACATTTTCCGCTTTTTGCAGATTTTTGCCCGCTTCGTAGTCTTTTAATGGCCGACATCGGCATCTCTGCCAACATCTTAATTACATAATAAACATAATTTAGTTTGGCCGGTCACACGCATAAATGTTCTGTTCATAATTTAATGGCTCGTTTAGTTTTCGGGGGTTAATGAAATACTGGAATACGGTGATCTGCAACAACAACACCATCAATGAGTGAGTGAGATAGTAGTGGATACTTGTAGGAGTGTTTCTCATTTTTTATCTTTTGGGCAACACTGCCCACACTGCTTTAACCCTATCTTTGGCGAGGGGGTTACAACACTACGGTCACCGTGAAAGCCTCCTCCGGACTAACCAGGAATTCGTGCTTCCTGGTTTTCACGCGCAAGAAGCACAACCTATCCTCGGGATCTATATCACGAACACAGCTCTGGGCCAACTTTAGGAAGCTGGCGTGCAGGTGCTTAACAATCGATTGGGCCGTGGTCAGATCAAAGGAAGTGTGCAATAGACTATCCGAGGCATTCTCCGACACCACAAACCCCTGAGCCTGCTCCGTAATCCGGTTCGTGTTGTCCATGTTCTGCTGAACCACCTCCTCCATTGCCTTCAGATAAATTTTCGACATTTTGAAAAAGAGTTGAAAAAAACCAACAAAAATTTAAGTTTTTAGATTAAGTTCTCTATCTGTGATATATGATCCGTATTCTAATAAGGTTGTCAAGGGACTGTTCACTTCAGTACGGCCTTAAAAGATAGATTCTAGAATTTTGAGTACAAGAGCACTCTGATTGATATTTTCCTAGCACAACAAAAAATAAATATCAGTGTCTATCCTTTTCCTTTCAAATTAATTAGCAAATCGTTAAAAATTTTTTGCAGATGAGCGGTAAACGGACTCGTAGCTTCAAGTGCGCCGTACACCATCGAGATCGCGAAGTTTGCTCAGAGAACGATTTCCAGCTCGTGTTTAACGAACCGCCACTCTTCCGGAAAATGGTGCATGCCGTGGCCATGGAGATCCTGCCTGAGGAGCGGGATCGCAAGTATTACGCCGATCGATACACATGCTGTCCTCCTCCCTTTTTCATCATCCTGGTCACTGTAGTGGAGGTGGGTTAAAATATTGATTCCTCTCTGAATGTACCTAGCATTTAAATTACTTTCTTCCCCAGTTGGGTTTCTTTGTATATCATTCGGTGATCACTGGTGAGGCTGCTCCAAGGGGACCCATTCCCTCGGACTCCATGTTCATCTACCGCCCAGATAAGCGACACGAGATCTGGCGCTTCCTCTTCTACATGGTGCTCCATGCAGGATGGCTCCACCTCGGATTCAATGTAGCCGTTCAGCTTGTATTCGGCTTGCCATTAGAGATGGTTCATGGTTCTACGAGGATAGCCTGCATATACTTTTCCGGAGTATTGGCGGGAAGCCTGGGCACAAGCATCTTTGATCCCGACGTGTTTCTAGTGGGGGCGAGTGGAGGAGTCTACGCTCTACTAGCAGCCCATTTGGCAAATGTCCTGCTCAATTATCACCAGATGCGTTATGGAGTCATCAAGTTGCTCCACATTTTAGTTTTCGGTGGGTAATCGATTCACCTAAGATTGATTAATATAGATCATAATGAAACTTCTTTTTCTTGAAGTTTCCTTTGACTTTGGCTTTGCTATATATGCGCGCTATGCTGGCGATGATTTGCAAATTGGATCTTCGAGTGAATTCGTGGCCATAGATCAGACGGAATCGGTGGCCGCTGTTTCATATGTGGCCCATTTAGCTGGGGCGATAGCTGGACTTACCATCGGTCTGCTAGTTCTCAAGAGTTTCGAGCAGAAGCTCCACGAGCAGCTGCTCTGGTGGATCGCTTTGGGAACCTACTCAGCGCTTGTGGTCTTTGCCATTGCTTTCAACATTATGAATGGATTTGCCATGTTTAATATTCGCGTGGAGAAGATCCGGGTGACGGAAACGTATTTCAATGATTTCCAGGTGTGAGTCCCAGGAGGATTTGCCAAAGGATGGCCAGAGTGCAATCCTTGTTTAATATTTAATTGATATTTTGCTTACATTATGTTCATTGCGTTCTATTGAAGTTTTTTTTATTGTTTTTGGACGTCGATTAAGTTTCGCGTTTATTGTTTCGTTAGCGCCATATCTGTAGAATCAGATATATATATCATTGTATGCTTACGTGTCATTCCACGTAAATTATTTTGTTTTGTTTTGCTAGTTAAGTACAAACCTTAAATTGTAAGAGAATATTTACAACAAATCGAACTGATTAGGTGTAACATAATGCTCAAGGAATTCAACATTTTCTATTTATACTTAAATATAACTTTAGAATCAGAAGACTTTATAGGAGCTAAGAACAAATCTCCACAAGAAGCTGTAAAATACAAATAAAATATATATATATGCTTTGAGGGCTATATGGAAACCGATATTGGCAATTTATTCTAAATTCGCAGGCCTTACAAAAAATTGGGAACTACCTCAAGACCAAAACTGATAAATAATATTTAATATATGTACACAACAATTTAAATGAAATCGGTTTCAATTTGATATAGCCGAGCGGAGGTCAGCACAGCCAGCTTTAAGGATTCAATTAAGACCAAGCACCAGAGTAAGGCATAAATTTACAAATTTTGTATTTACACAATTTGTTTTATTTGTAAATAAAAATGAATATAAAACAAATAAATTATTTTAAAGCTCAAGTGGTAACGCATGGCTGCTATAATTTTAATAAAATTCAGTCTAGATATTTAACTAGAGGGGAAAAATTACAAATAACTAAGGATTAAAGTTTTCCAGTAACAGGGCTGCCACATTGTTAAACGATCCCGGTGTGGCCACACTGATCCTCATAAAGTCGCGTAGCTTTGTTACTAACTCCGTGAAAACTCCTTTAAATTGGCTTAAAAAATAAGTTATAGTGCGATTAAACCGATTCGCGTGCTGGGCGATAAGGCAGGGCCATCCATCCTTATCATTTCGATGAGTTATGACACAATCCGTTGGCAAAAAACTACAATTTCACCCAGCGCGACACGCACACCTGCGACAATCCTTCGTTTGTGTGTTAACTTTGGCTTTTTGCCGCGTTTCTCAGTTGCGTGTTTTTGGCCAGGACATTGGGAAAACATCGGGACAACCAGCTGGAGGAGCAGTCAACAAATCCCAATCCCGGCGGACACGGAATTTATGTTTGTTTGAGCACATTTCGCCGTCAAGTCATTCGTCAGTCTTGTCACATATTTCCGCGCGGTAGGGGGAGGAATGAGCAGAAATGATGGAAAAAATGCGGAAAAACAAATGCAAAATGTGACAGAAACGCAACTGAGTCCTTTTAGCAATCTGGTGGACAGGAGCTGCTCCCATTGACGCTGATAAATGCGGGTTGATTTTGGAACGGGATTATGGCGCAACAAAATATGTATTACTTATACTGGGCACTGACTGGCAAAAATTTGGCAAAAATAAATGGTAAGAAATTAATTAGCCAAACTTGAATTCTATCGCGTGAAAGTTATCTTTCTTTTCAAAGAATCCAAATCGTAAAGTACATTTATAGAGAAAAAGAAGATCGTAATTTGTAGTCAAGCCTCTAATGCGATGGCTTCTTTAAAAATACTTTAAGATCAGGTTTAATGTCTTGCCTGAGTCAATAGATTAACTTGCTGGACTGCACTTAACTTATTCCCCAGGAATGAAGCCGGTCTGGTGCAGTGGTCGTCAGTGTATAAATCATATCAATCGAAGCCTTCCTCCGCGCGGAATTCAACATGACCAGGACGGCAATCCTCAGTTTCTGGTGCGCAAACATGTTTATAAAAAGTACAAGTTAATATTTATGTAATTCCACAGATGCGAACGGGGCCAGAAGATCCAGACGGCAAAGATCATTACATTGACATATTCATGCGGAATCGGAATCGGGGAATTCCAGGGAACACACAAACAATGGAGCACGCGACCATGTGGAGCGGAGCCATGAGGAGTGCGTCCCACGCGAGTGCCGGGAATCAACCTGCAACGTGCCTTTTGTCTTGCCCAGAAACCTCACACATCTCGCATCTCACATCGTCCAGTTGTCGTCGCTTTTATCCGCAACATGGACATGGGGACCGGGATCGTCGGAATGCTTATCATGAGGCATGAGGCGCACTTGTAGCTGTCATAAGGCCAACTGAAATATTGGCAGCCCAAACAGAAACCGAAACGGCAACCAAAGAAGCAACCTTTTGCCTGCTCCCTCTCTTAGCTCCTTTCGATGAACTGCACTGGACAAAAAGTCCACTTGAGGTGGAAAGAAAAGGCAAGAGGCACCAGAGAACTGCCCCAGGACGTGTCCTCCATCCATTTATCTCACTCGACGCCGGCGACGGCAACGGGCAAATATGGAAATTTGTTGGCCCGGCCGCCTTTTTTTTGTGAGACACCGACGCTTGTCCCCCGCAAAGCCGCCACTTAAACCGCTTCATTAAACACTCCATGAACTCCCTGTCCTGGGCCAAGTGTCCTTATGTCCTGGCGGTGTAATTAATTTCTGCCACAGTCGGGTATTTGAAAAAGCTTAGAAATGCGGCCGAGGAGTGGAAGGAAGCATTTTCCGTGCCACAAGAGCAATTATGAAAAGGAGTCTAGTGGCGGGGATAATAACTGAAGCAGTCGGAGAAAGAAACTGGAGCTTCAGAAAGGATTGCAGTTATGAATTTAAAGAATGAAACTTTATAAATAGCTGCGACAATACAGGAGACTGTCATGAAAAGAATTTCCATAAGGATAAGGCTTACGAATGCATAATAATTCCCCACAAAGTAATGTTAATAGTTCCAGTTTTTACTGCATCAAAAGTTCGTTAATTAACTAATACAATCATTACATAAAACCCAACAAACGTGACATAAGCTAGTGTTAATCAAAATTATCGGATTTACTGGATCAATAATCTTTATTGTGTCGCTGAGTCAATATTAATTAAACCAACGGCTAAAGGATTTTCCAAGGCATATGAACACCTTGCCATCAACGAAAAACCAGGACACAAATCAAACAGGAATGGCCCCAAATCAAAGTGCGGGGTAAGTGAGCAAGCAATGTTTTATTATAGTTATAGGCAAGCTAATCTGATTTACGGCAAGAAAGTGACTTTAAGCCCATGTTGAGTTACCCCAAAACGAGTCCCTCCCACCTTGTGTGTCCTTTATGGGCCTTTTAGGTTAATTGCTTCTGTTGCATTCCCTCCATTAACCATTGGTCACATGAGGTCATTGTGGCTCCATTCTGGGGAAGCACTTCCTCATCCGGATGTAAAATAGGAAGCCGGCCAGGGGAAGCGACCGGGAAACACAATCAACACGAACCTAATACACGAAATTAGTTTTCATATATGCAAAGCCGAGGGTGGGAGCCTTGGCTCAGAGCTGTCACCACCCACCTGGCAGCTCCCAGGGACCGAGATCCACCACCCACCTGGCGGACACCTGTGCGTGCTTGCCGGCAATTCCGTATTCTTCGTCAACGTCGTCCTCGCACAGACAACAAAGGATTCTCCTCTTCGAGGGCAACTGTCAAAGTCGTGGCAGACATTTTCATAATTTTCACATGCTCAGGGAGCTTTCCCCCTTTCTCAATCCTGTTTTTGTCCCGGGCGTGCCTCTTAATTGCCCTGAATGGAGCTGGGCAAAGTGGAAGCCGTCACAGGGGTTGGGGTAATGCTATTTAGAGCCTGCCACGCCGAGTGTCACCTGCTGGGATTTGTGCGAGTGCCTTGCCACCAAGGTCGCAGGAAGGAATTTTCACGACATTTTCACTCTCTTGCGGAGGTTTCTCTTTTCAATCTGTTAGTATAAGTTGAATATTTTGGGTTGGGTTGGGTTCACAAATTATGTTATTTGGGATATGACTTAATTTTGTTTTTTCTAAGAAGTTCAAGAAATGATTTGATGATGATTTTTCAATCTAGTTACTTTTATCAAAAATTCGGAATTTTATCAACTTTCTTTGAGAAACTTAAAACAGTTTTCTAAAATGGGTGACAATGCCCTGGAATCGATTCTTATAGAGAGGGATCGTGCGCTTTCTATTGAGGAAACAGATCATATAGAGAAGGATCCTGTAGAGGTGAACCTCCCACTTTTACAAGAGGAAACAGGTCTTCAAAAGAAAGCTCAATCTGTTATAGATGTTAAGGATACCTCGAAGGACAAAGCGGAGACCCTGAAGCAGTTTACATTTTGTATCTTCGAAGATGAATCGCAGCTAAAGGAGCTCCAGAATCTAATCGACAAGGAGCTATCAGAACCCTACTCCATTTACACCTATCGCTATTTTGTCTACAACTGGCCGGATCTTTGCTTCTTTGCGCTAGATGGAGATCGCTATGTGGGTGTTATAGTATGCAAGTTGGAAACGGTGATAGAAGGAGTTCTTCAGGGTTACATCGCCATGCTGGCGGTGAATGTGGAGTACAGAAAGCGCGGAATCGGGAAGGCTCTCTCGGAAATGGCCATCGAGGCCATGGCAATAAAAAACGCGGCCGTGATCGTCCTAGAAACGGAGTTGACCAACAAAGCGGCGTTGGCTCTCTACCAAAGTCTGGGATTCATTCGGGAGCAACGGCTACTGCGCTATTACGTAAGCGGTGTTGATGCCTTCCGTCTGAAACTGATTCTCAAAGACTCCGCCATTTGGCTTACAACCGAGGATTAGTATAGTATGGTTAAATATATTGGTTAATGACTGCTTCTGATTGGTTGCGAGTTGGCTTTTGTCTTTGACCTTTGCTCCGTTCCCTTCAATTAGCGCCCCAGCATGCTGCTACTTGGGTAGCCCAAAGAAGACTCCGAAATCAGGTAGATAAAACTCCGCCTCCTAATTGAGCCGCAAAACGATCGATGTCGATGCCGATGGAAACTGCAGAAACAGAGTCATGCCGGGTAGGGTGATCAAACCGATCGACCAGAAGGGATAATTGCTTCTCAGGGTCAAAGTCTCGACACATTAAGGAGCTCTCGTCGCCTCGATAAGGTTATGCTTTGATAGGTGGTCCTTCATCGGCATTCTCTTTAGATTCATTCAAACTGATTGAGGGAATCGCAAAGTTCTCGAAGAATGTCTTTCAGCAGTTATTTAGAAGGTCGTCCCTGGAGATTTGTATGTTTTGACGGGGCTCAGTTCATAGTAAATAAATTTCTGGCGGCCCTTTGGTGTCTGTTACGAACTATATTCAAAAATTGATGGCGACTATTTCCTTCCTCTAAATAAAAAGATAAATACTTAATCTAACAAAGCCATCATCGATCGAGCACCTCTTTCAGGTCATCGCTTCCCTTCAGAGTTCTCTTAGGAACGTTGAACCCTTGGAGGTTCTCGTCGGAGGTCTTTCTGCCCGCAGATCGTTGATCTGTGATACCCACTTGAAACTTGCTACCAGCTTCCTCAGTTGAGTTCTGGATCCGATTCTGACTGCAACTCTGACTCCGTTTCATTCCGTGGCAGCTTTTCGCTGCGCCACTTCACCTTTCCGCCAAATGTAAACAAAAACGTCCAAAGTCAACTTTTGGGCAGGTGGCTCCCGCTCGAAGCCGCAGCTTCTGTCCACAGCTCTACAGCTCTGCACTTCCAGAGACCCGAACAGATGACATGCAACGTTGTGGCAAAATACCGCGGAGGGACGGGGCGCTAGGAGGAGCGTTGATTGAGTTGCACCTGCCATTCGCAGAAACAAGCTGGACGAGAAGGCAACGGGACGGGGATGCGGGGGGCAGATGGATGCCCGCGTTATTTATGTGGATTTTTCGGCTTCAGAGAGCCGAGTCAGCTCTGGATTCCGAGTCGCAGTCACAGTCACCGTCTGAGCCTGTCTGACCTCGTCCCCGATTGCTGTTGACATTGTGCCTGAATTTCAATTTGATGTCCACGAGGCGGCAGCTCCTGTCTACCATAAATCTTGCTCCACAAACTGCCTAGACTCTCCGGGTGCGTTTCGGATTGGATTGGTTTGGTTTGGCTTGGCATTGTCTGTCTTCATGACTGGGAGTTGCAAGTGGCGGCAAGTGTCTACTCCGCCCCCGAAATCCGAACGCACTAAGCTTGTGCCCCGCTTTTCAGGCATATCTGCCTTATCTGCCACATCTGGCTGTTCCTCATTGTCCTCCTGGTAATTGTATAATTTAAGTGCAAATTAATTGGCAGGTGCAATCAGGCAGCTTTGATTATGCACAATTACTAATTGCGATTTGGGATTCGGACTACAATATTTACATAACGAACATCCTCGTTAACTTTTTTGTAAATATTTCAAGACCTTTTATTGCCTGCCTCACTTATTAACTCGAAAATCTCAACAGATATATCTGATTAACGCTTCTTTGGATATTCATCATTAATAATGCTGAGTTTTGGGCCATCAAGGATTATGAGGATTATATCATAGGAATCGTAATTGAAAGGGTATATTGGTTACTTAGAATGATGCTCCCAAGTTATCAAAGTTTTAAATTGAATTAAGAAAACAATCATATATTTTTGTTAATAACCATTAAAATAACAATTACTAATTAAAATTAAGTACTTAAAAGAGGTATCTTGAAGTCTAAACACCCTCTAACACCTACTAATGATTTTTGATTTGATAAAAGTCCTTCGAGTGGAAGGCCTATTTGAAAATTCATGGACTTAAGTCCTGATAATCCGGCAGGATAGAATGACGATATGAATTATTAGGAAATTCCTATGCCACGCCTTCATATTTCATGTGGGATTTTCAATTTGGCACGGCTCAAACTAATATAGAGCAAATATCGATTGGTGGGACGACAGTTGGCACCCTTCGAGTCGGAAAATTCGTTGACACAAGTCTACTTGGGAGTGGGTATTAATTAAGGATTTTCCTCAAGTCTTAGTTGCAGTCTTCCGCTTTGAATTCCAGCTCATATTTATGTGGAGCAAATATTGATTGAGTTTCCTTCCCCCCATGGAAAACTCGCACTCCTCATGCCTCGCCGCCCTGAGTTATTTATCAAGAAAACGAGAATTTCATTTATAATTTAGACATTTATTTTTGTTCAATTTTTTCTCTGTTTATTTATTTATCTATAATTTTTTTTTTTGCTATTTGGTTTTCTCTTGTCTCGTGCGGAACATTTCCGCTTCCTAGTTTCCTAGTTTTTTGAGAGGGGAGTTGGAAGAGGAGGAGCTGTGTGGGCGTGGCTGTGGTTCCATTATTTTGAAAATCGAATATGTTATCTTGGGGTTTTTTGGGCCCACAAGGATTCTATTTTGGCTTACGCTCTGCTGGCTTTTATGCCAGATTAGCTATTTTCATTCTGCGATTACTTTGAATATTTCTCTATTTGCGTACGATATATATATAGCTATATAACAGAATATATGTATATATTCTGTCGATTTGTGTGCATGTGTATCGTTTCGTTTCGTTTCGTATCGGTCAATATGTCAAGTAGCTTGATAATCTTCTTGCTCGATTATTTATTGCCCTTAAATTGTGGCCAAAAACCGACAACGGAAAACTGAAAGGAAAATGATGGAAATGAAAACGCTCTGGTTGCTTTTGTATTTTGTATTTCTCTGTTGTATTCTTGAAATGTTTTGATTTTTATTTTCTTTGGCTTTTCGTGTGTATTTTTCAATTGGATATTTTTACAGTTCAAATTGATTTGTTTTTCTCTCTTTTCTCTTTTCTCTCTCTCTTGTGTTGTTTTTTCGTGCTTGTTTTGTGTGAATTTCACTAAATTATTAAATAAATAAATAAATAGTTGGCTCGATTGACAAATTAATAAACCCTCGCTGCCCTACAATAAATAAATATAATTAGTAATACTTTTAAGTGTCTGTGTGTGGGTGTGGGTGGGGGTGGGGGGTGTGTGTGTGTGTTCGGGGGTTTACGATAAATATTTGCTTTTGATTTTGTAACGCATTAAGTGACTTTAATTTAATTTAATTCGATTTGCTTAATTGATCTGAATTGAATGGTTCTTTGCTGTGGTTTTCCATCCTTTTTTTGCTTGCTTGTTTTTGTTTGTTGTTGTTTGTTGTTTGTTTGTTGTTGTTGTTTGTTGACTAGTGTGCGACTTAATAGTATTTACAATTTGAAACAATTTGTTAGGGGGCTAGTTATACCTAGATATACCGCTAGTAGCTACATAGTTCGAGAGCAGATTATGCTTATGGATGTATAAACAATTTGATACAGTTCGCTGATGCTTCGACTCGATTCATTCAGAATTAATTGCGGCCAATAAATACATAATTTAAGAAAACAGGCAAAAACCATTAAACGAAAACATGGATAATGGGTTAATTGAAATCATAGCGAGAGGCGATTAGTTCGGTTTGATTTTTGATTTCCCTCTTGATTTTTACTTGGTTTTTACACGCGAAATAAATTCAGTCTTTGGTTCTATCACAACATTTGTTTACACGTTTCGGCTTCGGTTTATGTTCTTCTCTTCTTCTTCTTCTTCTTAATTTTCCTTCATTTTTTGAGTTTGTGTGTGTGTGTGTATTGTGTTTCGGAACTGAAACGGTTAACGGTAACTGCAAACGGTAACGATAACGGTAATGCTAACGAAAAGCAAAAGCCAAACGAATTTCGAATTTAGTTTTGAACTAAATCGTTGAGTGAACTTTTCTTTTCCTCCACAGACTTCTCTGTCTCTCGATCTCTCCTCAAGCTGAATCTGAATCTCCATCTCAATATGAATCTGAATCCTTATACTTAGGACACTCCCAGGTCGTGGAGCAGATGCTGGGTTATCTCCTCGCCCTGCTCCTCCATCAGCTGGGCGGTGACCGTGTTGATCAGGTTGAACACGATGGCGAAGACGGTGAAGGCGCAGTAGACGCCCAAGGCCAGCCACCAGATCAGCTGCTCGTACTCCCGGTGTCCGAAGTTCTTCAGCACCAGGAATCCGATCGTGAGTCCAGCCAGAGCTCCCGTGAGGTGGGCAATATACGACACCTGGGGACCCTTGGCGAAGGCTCCGCCATCGAAGTACTGGGTGTACAGAGCATAGCCCAGATCGCAGGAGACTAAAATGATAAGAAAAGAAAGGGTAAAAGTTAGTAAACTCATTAACAAAGAAAAAGGAAAATAACTTAAGAGGTGACTTTTAGTGGGAAAGTGTTAAGAAAAGTTTAAAAAGAAGGGAAACTCACCAAAGATGACTACTGATCCGAGCTGCGTAGATGCGCTCTTCATGTGCGCATAGTTTAGCGTGATGTTGGCTAGGTGGGCGGCCAAGAGGGCATAGACGCCACCGCTGGCACCTACAAGGAACACCTCCGAGTCGACGACACTGGTGCCCAGGGATCCGGCGAAGACTCCCGCCATGTAGATCACACCGATCCTGGCTGTGCCGTGCATCACCTCCAGGGGAATGCCGAAGAACAGCTGGATAACGATGTTGAAGCCCAGGTGGAACCAGTTGGCGTGCAGGAACATGTAGCTAAAGAAGCGCCACACCTGCAGCCGCCTGTCTGGCCGATAGACCAGCACCGAATCCGACGGAATCGGAACGGGGAGCCCGAAGTTCTGGGCGGGCATTGTGTAGCGGTCGTAGGCGAAGATGGCAATCTAAAATGGACAGAAAGGAGAGAGGATTGGGGTTAGTTTGGGGTTCTCACTCTGATTTATGTTGTTGCTGTCTGGCACGCGACCGCGTCCCAAATAAAGTCTTATGAAAATGCTTAGGGCGAGTCCTGCCAACTTGGCAGGGCTTCAAAAACTAAACTCATACGCCCCGTGGGTTGCCCTGAAGGTTTATTTGGTATTCGTGCTGGTTTCTATTCGAAGCAAATCATTTCCACTAAGGGCATGTACTATGTAGATGTTTTCCCTCATTTAAAAATATATAAAAATCTGATATCAAACTATTTCTAGTTATATTTCCACATTTTCCACCGCTTTTCCTATGACAAAAATGCTGCCCTTAAAAAAACTGCGAGTTTCTGATTTCATATACTTTTCTGTTCGCTTTTCCTTCAGCTGTTTGTTGTTCAACTTGTTTACAATCGATTTTCGGGGGCGCCACCGAGTCAGACTCAGAAAACGAAACATGAAGAGAGACAGACTGAGGGCCGAGGAAAAGCGAGGGAAACTCTGGGAAAACTTCCGCCCTTCGTCCCTTTCCGCTACCTATATCATTTTTATCGCTCTTGGGATGAAAGTTTGCGGCTTCTTTGATTTAATGGGATGAGTGTGTGTTCTTACCTCAATGATGGAGATCACTAGGATGAACCAGGGCCAGTGCTGGCGGTGCACGTACTTGAGCAGGGCCAGATCCTCTGCCTCCGGAAGGGGCGTAGTCGGGATGGCCTCCCGCTGCATGTAGATGTGCTCGCCCTGGCGGGTGCAGCAGGTACTGCTCGCCGTGCTGCAGTCCGTGTCGTAGGACGTGGAGTTCGATGAGGAGTTGGGGCACGCGGCGGGAATGTCAATGACGGTCTCCTTGGCGGCGGTGGAATGCTCCTCTTCCAGCGCCTCCTTCTCTTGGCCCAAATCCACCTTGGTTTCGTTTACACTCTGTGCTGGGTTCTCCATTGTGGCGCCGTTGAAGAAATTCTGGAATGACGGCACGCATAAAGTGTGTAATTAATTAACTTGAACCGAACAATAAACAAAAATCAATTAAGTGCATAAATTATTCATAAAACGCAGCACAAAACAAGAGCAATTACAACACTTCTGGGGGAAATGGGGGAAAGTGCAGCAGAAATAAAAGAAAAGCCAAGAAAAGCATGCTTTTTTGTGGCCAAGAATTTTGTTTATGGTCTGGGACACGGATTCCAATGCCTGCAACTTCCTGGTTTTCTTGTCTTTCCCCCCACCACATACAAGGCTGAAGGGAAAACTGGGTCAGCCTGGTAACAGCTAACCATAAAATTTGATGGGCCAAGTTTGCTTGTGTCCCCCCAACTGCTCGAGGAGGAGGCCTCTAAAATTAGCTGGACAAACTTGAAGATACTTTGGGGGCATCTCCGCCGTTACATAAACTGCACTTTCAGCCCTGAAATCATCTTCGCTAATGGCCAACTAATCAGCTAATGGTCGGGCATTATTGTAATTCGCTGCCAGAGACAACATTTCCTCACAAATTATGTTAATCGCATTCGATTCAATTACAGTCACAGCGCAAATCTTCTTAAATTCCTCCAAACAATTGTTAAAAAAAAAAAAAAAAGAAAGAAAAAACGAATTCATTGCCTTGCACAACAACAACAACAACAAAAAGAAATAACTTCAAAACGCGTTTCTCTCGCTCCCACTCGCTGGGCTTGTATAGGCCCCTCTCTTTTTCTTAAGTCGCATTGCACACACGCACTGTTGTTGCTGTTGTTGTTGTTGTTGCTTTTGTGGCTGCCTACCTACACTGCTCGAAAAAGTGAGTGGGAGCTGGGAGCTGGGCCTTGCCTCGCTGTTTTAGTTTGTTTCTGCCTTTTTCGTTCGGTTGCCTAGCAATTTCAATATGGCACGAAATCGCAGTCGGCCGCTTATTAATTAATTTATTTATTAATTTTAATTGCCGACTGCACTGGATGTCCATGCGAGCATGAAGAAGAGATGTCGAAAGCGGGCTTGTCTTAAACATAATGAATTAATTTATAGTCTTGGCTTGCTTTTTCTTCTCTTTTTTGTTCGCTGCGGTACGGTCAGAAGCATAGTTTCACATGACCCGCGGTGTAATTTGCATTTTTTATGCTTTCTGCTGCACTCGCACCCCTAAAAAACGGCCAAAGGGTGCGAGGGAGAGAAGGAGAGAGACACTGGCACTGTCAGGTTGAACAAACTCATTACGCCTCTAAGTTTAAGTGCTTTTGTTTTGCCGCTGTGACAATTTCTATTGCAATTTGCACATTTCTTGCATCTCTCCCGTATCTCATACTCGTACACCTTGTATCTCTCATATCTCTCGGATACCTCATTAAGGTCGGGGCTTCGGGCTTACCTTAGGTTTTTCTGGCTGTCGCCGAACGATGTTTGGTATCCAAAATGCGTGGGTTTCTTGTAATCCAAAATGTCTTTAGTTTATTGGCATATTCGCTGGGTTTTCACTTGATTTCTGTGCTCGCACATTGGTAACTTGGTTTTGTTGCTCATAAATCCAGGAGCTTGTTTGTTTTGTTTTATAGAATTTATTCAGATATTTTTGATATATTTTCTGAATCTGTTTGCACCCACACACTCGCAGAGCACGACAATTTGAATATTTTGTTTCTTTTTATTCCGAGTCGCAGTCTGACTATTTCAAATTCGATGATCTCGCGTTCGCGGCTCGCACGCAACTGACTTTCTTGGGCAACGCAGCCGGTTTATAAGTGCTCGACGAGCACGAACATTTATAAGAGAGCAAACAGCGCACTTGCAACTCGAACATGTTGTGTTTTCGTTTGACCGTATAAGAGTGGCCGTATGCGGCTCGACTTTATGTGGGTGCACTGCAGCTATTCGCCTGCTGCAGCTCGAGGCGAGCGGTTTGATGGTTCAGCGCTTGGGTATTCACCGGTTTCCCCCTCCCCATCTGCTGGTTGGTTGCCCCATAACGGTTAATGACTCATCCAGACTTCTTACCAATGCCACTGACTAACAAATGCGTCGTCTTCTTGGCCATCTTCAGCGATCTGCGATCTTTGTCATTACTTACTACGTCGATCGGAGGTCTTCTAATCTTAGCTAACATATATTGTGAAATTGCATTGAGTTTATAAGGGGAAAGGGTTGCGAAATTCTTATTTCATTGTTAATCTTTAGTCACCTTTCTTCGATCAGGAACTGGAAATACAGGTTGCCAAACGATACTATAACTTATTTATCAGATTCGTTTTGTAATTATTAAAGCAGCTCTGGAAAGTAACTCCATTAAGGGGTTCTATCATTACGCATTTTCTATTTATATGTTTATTCAGTTCTATTTTATATTCCAGACAAAATAGTTTAATATACTTGCAACTCTTTGCTGCTTTACAAAAGCCTTTTTTACCTTTTCAGTCAGTTAACTTCTGATTTCAAGTTTTAAGCCATGAAAAGAACTTGTTAGTCGAATGTTTCTTGGCCAGGTCTTTCATTGAGCAAGCCGAACACATTCCTTCATGTAAATGAAAACTTTCGGTTATTAAGCCTTAAGTAACATTGTGAAACTCAGCCGGGCAATTACCAAAAGTGTTTTCATTGTATTGGAATTTGTATTCCATTCTAAGTAGACGGCCTTGCCGTGCCACAAAACAGCATTTAAGCATTTAAGTTGCACATTCACTTGAATGGTGATGAAATCCTGACTAGGAAACCATTTTCGGAAATTAAATCTTCGTCATTTAGCAATGGGTATTAGTAAAAACAACTGTCCATTCTATTCTAAGTTTGTTTTATTGACTTGAATAACAATTTTCAAAAGTCTGGTAACGGTTTTATTTATTACCCAAATCAAGGCATACAAATTATATACATTTTTCCCTTATTTTTCGGGGGAACGTGCCACCACAAGTAGCCTAAAAATGCAAATCAAGAATCGAAACAAGGCCCGTACTCGAATTCGAAACTCTCTGATTCCCCTAGATTCTCCGATTCCCGGTAAGAGATCATGGCCAGGGGGTTTTAAATTTCACACCTTTGCCAACCGAGGGAGCTGGAGGAGGCGTTGAACAGATGGAAATCGGTAGCAAAAATAAATATTTATACAAATTATTAGGCAGCCTAAGCCGGTGCAGTCAGGAGTTCGCGGGAAAGGTCACGGAATGTTGCACAAAAGGAGTAGCTTTGGCTTCCTGGCCGACAGGATCAGGCTACGTGGTTACGTGTTTTGCATGATAAGCTGGGAATTTACACAGATCTGATAGATAAGGCAAACACCCATACCCATATACCCATCCTTGCTATTCATTCTCAAACGGAGAACTCCCGCATGAAAAGTGAAAATATTTTCACAAGGTGGGAAAGAGAGAGAGCTGAGCAGCCGAGTCCTCGTCGACTGAGATTTATGATGACTTTTTAACATGTGCGTGCAACAGGTAAGCAGATACAAAAACACAGTTGCATTACATGGCCATGACCAGGCACGTCATCAGCTCTCAGTCCTCAGTCAGCTCAGTTCTCAGCTCGGCTGAGAATCATCTTCGTTGTAAATCCTTTTTTCCCACGTTCCCTCAGGTCGAGCTCTCCATCCATCCATCTAGTGCTGGGTTTTCATTGTGCCAGACACGCATCGCAACACTCCATGGACATGGACCCAATGCTCTGGCAAGGTCAACCAACCAGCCAACCAGCCAACCAACGAACCACCCACCCAAACACACAGGTAACTGAGTGGGCGTGGGTGGGCTTTTCCCACGCAGGACGTTGATTCCTGGCCCGTCGCCCGGGAATTTCCTCCAGCATGTGCTCAACATATGTGAGTGCCTCTTGGGCCGGGAATCAGGAAATTCCGCCCGCCACCTTGCGCTTCCCACCGCACAGCAAGGTGTCCTTTTTCCGCTTCCCAGAGTTTCGCTTCGCGACTTTTTGTTCCCCGCACTTGTCTTCCGCAAGTTCCGCCAAATGTTTCGCGATGCGTGTGTGTTTTTCCCAGCGCCTGTTTCCCATCCTGCCCAAGGATCTAAGGACTAATCATCGGCCGGGGGCGCGTCTTTCAAGCAGCTTCTCAGAAGGCAGATGTGGGCTAAGCGAAAGTCTGAGTCCTGAAACGATCTTACTTCACTACGTTGATTAATCTATCCTTTTCCAATCTAAAATAAGTTAAAGATGCTTACAGTACTTTAACTACTTACCAATAAATGAAAATTGTTAAAGAAAACAACCCGGGAAATGGCAGAACTGAAGAGTGTGAAAGGTTCCCGAAGAGAAATGCAAATTTGAATAGAAGGTTAAAAGGAAAACAGAACTTGACGGGCCAATTGCAAATGGCAATGCGAATGGAATTGAAAAATTGATTGAGAATGAAGGCCAATAATAATGGACAAGTAATGAGACTGTCCGCCGCAGCCGAAGTTAGAAAGGAGCAAAAGGAGCAGAAACTGCTGACCAAGGCGGCTCCTTAGCATGCTCGAAATTTATCTATTGGATTAAGGTCTCTTTTGTGGACGTCATTATGGCCAATGCCAAAGACAAATTGAAAATTTATTGTTATTGGCAGGGGCGGAGGGCAGCCAGGCAGGAAGGAAGGAAGCGTAGCAAGGATAACAGACCAGCGAATATGCATAATAAAAATGTCAATCAATGAACTGCAACGACCCGAAAGGACTTCTCTGCACTCCCCCGCATCTACAGCCACGTCCATGGCTACTCCGGGTCAGCAGTGGTGGAACGATAATTGAACATAAACATTGCATTCAAGTAGTAATTGTTGAAATTATTGTCCATCCTAATCCCGAACGAAACCAAGAAACCCAGGGACCGAAACGAACCCAGGACAACGGCATTGGGATCTGCGGTCAGTGCAGCAGCAGCAGCAGCAGCATCAGTTTTTAGCACCGAAATTTAAGCAGTTTGTCCATAAGATCCGGGCCCAGTTAAAAAGGACATTTGTATGGATGTCGGGGCCGCTCTGGAATGGTTCCCAGGACATGTCGACACTGCCACTTCTGCCATTTGTGGCAGCCAAAAGGAAGGCACCAATGCAAACACAAATGTTGATGCCCGCATTTCTCCCAGGCGCTGAGACAAAAGAAGGCCAAAGGGAGCTGGGCAAACACAGCCTTTCCAATGGCCAAATCCAAATTGGCTCTGACTCTGGAGTAAGTCATCAGCATGAATAAATAAATAGGGCCTGCTGAGGGGCTAAGGAAGCCAGATAATGGTCGAGGAAGAGGTCTTGAACCAACACAAAATATGATGAGTACGTGAACAAGGACTTTAGAACGATCTGTAAGGTGATGGGAATATATTGGCAGCTTAGCTGGTTAAAGGTATTCCCTTGATGAAAGAACTCTTAAAAGGACATCAACTGGAAGCAGTCATAACTTAATTTGTAAGACCAACAAAGTTTCTCAATCACTTTAAAGAAAGTTAGCCAATTTAAGACCTTCATAAAGTATAAAACAGAACATCCACACTTAAGCTGCTTCCCATTTGTATTTAATTTGGGTATTCAGCAGAAAAGTTAACAAAAAAATGGATGAAATAAAAACCGCATTCGGTTGGACTCTTTATTTCCTTCTCACCAGCCATAGCCATGTTAAAACGCCACTCACCATCGAGGAGCACTTGACCACTGGACCACGCTCGCGAAACTCGTGGCGCTAATCAGTTTAAAGGGCGCTTGTCCACTTTGGCAATGCTTTGGTTTTAATTACGCGGCAAAAGTTGGACCTCATCCGCATCTGCAGCCTCATCCCCGACCACCTTCTCGTGGCCAACTTTGCAATCTGGCGAATTTTTGCGCTGCTGCATCGCGCCGGGATTCCCAGTTAGTTAAAGTGCTGGCAACACATTAAAACTGCAATTCATCCGCAGCCGCAGAGGCCACACATGGCAGGCGGATTGGGGGCGCAGGATGGAGCATTTGGATGGCCCTTTCGAGGACTACAGCTCAGCAGGGGCTTGCAGCACTAATGAACATTTTATTACAAAAGTTTGCTCTTTGGATGAGGAGCGAAAACTTCTGCAAGTTGCACATCTTTTTTATAGCATTTCATTGGGATCTGCTGGGAGCTGGGAGCTGGTAGATGGGATACCAAGGCATCTTCCCTGGGCAGAACTTGGCCCAATTTGAAATATTATTATGCCAAGTGGCCAGCTGAGCCAACCCCTGAGCTCTGTGAGCCCTCTGATCTCCTCGAGGAATGGCATGCACTTGTGCGACTTCAAATCTAGCTGGGAATGCGACTCAACCCCTTTCTGGGGAGGAGGTGGTGTCTGGCGGGTGTCTGCGACCCGTCTGCACTCGTGACACCGCTGAAACCCAATCCCTAGCAGCCTGGATATTTGCTCAGCGGAACCAACTCCAAGTCCAGTCAGCTCTGTAATTCCGTTTTAATTTGCACTCCCGGCGTGAAGTGACTTCGCTCCTGGCCAGCGGAAATGGACACCCCAGACGAGAGACGAGAGTCTAGAGTCACCCCCAAGTCGAGGGGTTCCCCCATTGTGACCTTGTTTGCCCCCTGCCCCCCGGCCAAGTGCTCAGTTTTCTCTACCACTCAACGTTTTAATTACGGATTCGAGCAAACATTGCAACCGAAAATATTTGGTCAAAGAGGAAAGCGAGGAAATCTTACTGCTCCAGTGGAGAAGAGGGAAGGGTTGAAGGGTTTGCAGGCTCCTAGGTTAGGGGTTAATGGGTTT